AGTCCAAAAACAATGTTGTATTCACGCGTGGGCACGCTGTAACATTGACTAAAGTGCAAAATTTCCAAAGTTTTGGGGTCAATTTATAATTTTGGAAAACTTTAGGGACCAATCTACAAATTCAATAAAATTAAATTGCCCTCTGTGGATTTTGAAGAGGCTGAACGACGGCTGCCCTATTAATACCATATGTACGCTTTGTTTTCATTATTAAGAAAGGGAGGAGAAGAGGCACAACACAGGGAGCGACGGCTGGAGCTCAGGACAAGGATTTCTCTCTGTTTTCGTCAGTTTTAGCTCTGTAATGTCAAATATCAATTCTTGTGTTGTTGATTTCACCATGATTAGCAACTAAACCTCTTTTCTAGTTAAAGGATTTTATTGAAGTCTTGATGTTATTCAATTGTGAGATCTAACTGTTTGCTTTTCACCAACGAATTTTGAGTGTTTATTTATTCTCTTTGATGTGTATTTGATGATTATTTGGCATTATTTGAATAGCTGGTAGCATTCAATTCTCCTAGATAATCTAATTTATTGAACAACAAGGTTTGTTTGTTCCTTATAAGAGACAATGCAAATAATTACTTGGTAAGTAGTTTACTTGTGTTGTGAGAATAAATAAATAATTTTTAATGAAACAAGGTTTGTTTGTTAGAAATTGAATTGGGTCTTTGCTTGTCAAAAACTAAATCTTAGGAGGTTCCAGATAGTGTTTTTTGGCTATAGAGTGATTAATGAAGGTTTCTTAGTCACTGGTAGTTAAATAAAAAGACTGAGTTGTTAGGAGGTTCCAACAACGATAACTAATATATTCATCATTTGTTGAGTTAATCTTTGTATCAATGATCAGTTGGATACATCAAGGTGGAAATTATTCCTTTGACTAGAGTTGCTCTTATTATTGATTTTCCAAATGTATCTTTTATTGCTTGCAAATTATTTTTGTTATTCATTAGTTACAAATCCATAATCTCTCCCATTTAGTTACTTTGCTTTTGATTAGAAATATTTTCACGTCCTTACTCCCTGAGGAGACGACTCTACTCATTACTATACTACTAAATTTGTTAGGAGTAGAATCTTTTATTTTTGTTGGTTTGACAACCCACCAAGAACCAGGATGACCCAAACGACGATGCCAAAGAAGAGGGCTTGTGCGGTGAGTTGTGAGTGATGGCACTGAAGATGAAAGAGAACAAGGACCAAGGGGATAGAGAGGGCCCGGACTATTGCAACGAAGAAGCAGAGGCCCAGGTAGACGTACCCCCGATTCACCAATTACTATCTCTTCTCCATCTCCTTCTCCCTCTCCGTCACCCCTTAGTTCGGTTCCTTCTCCTATTCAGAGTACTTCGCCTCCCATTCTTTCTCCCATTCCGAGTCCTCCTTCTTCTCCCATTATTCATCATCCTATGGTCACCCATAATTAGGATGGTACTTGGAAACTCAAGGTGATTGTTAATTTAGCTAGTTCTGTTACTAACCCTCCTTTGCAGGCAACTACCACATTTCGTGAAGCTGTGAAGCATGATGAGCGGTAGCAAGCAATGAATGATGAAATTGCTGCTTTGTCTCGTAATAACACTTGGACTCTTATTCCCAAACGTCCTGGGGTTGATGTAGTTGGCTCCAAATGGGTTTTTGGCATAAAAGAAAAAGCTGATGGATCTTTAGATCGCTACAAAGCAAGACTTGTAGCTCAGGGGTACTCTCAGCGGCCAGGTGTTGAGAAACTTATAGTCCGGTGGTTCGTCCAGCTACTATTCGCACAGCCTTGACTCTTGCTCTCTCTCTCTCTCTCGCAACTGGATTATTCATCAACTTGATGTTAAGAATGCTTTCCTGAATGGCCTCTTACATGAATCAGTGTATATGAAACAACCTCTAAGGTTTGTCCATCATCAGCATCCAGATTATGTTTGTAAGCTCAATCGGGCTCTCTATGGACTTAAGCAAGCTTCTCGATCTTGGTTTCAGAGGTTTGGCTCCTTCATTACTTCCCGTGATGTTTGCTCTTCTAAATCTGACTCATCTATGTTTATTTACCGTCATGGTGGGGACATGGTTGTTCTTCTCCTTTATGTTGACGACATTCTTCTCACTAGTTCTTCTCCCTCGCTCATGTCTTCTATCATTGCTCAGTTGAGAAAAGAGTTTTCAATGACCGATTTGGGAGATTTGCATTACTTTCTTGGCATTTCTGTTTTACGTACTCTTGACGGTCTCGTTCTATCACAGTCAAAGTACATTGCCAGCCTTCTTGATCATTGTCATCTTACTTCTGCTAATCCTGCTATCACTCCTAGTGATACTAAAGCTAAATTATCTCAGCTTGATGGAGAGTTGTTTGCTTATCCATATGAGTATCGCAGTATTGTGGAAGCCCTTCAATATGTTACCTTCACTCTTCCTGATATAGCATATGCAGTGCAGCAAGTTTGTTTGTTTATTCATTAGCCTTGGGAGTCTCACTACCAAGCAGTCAAGCACATTCTGCGCTATCTGAAGGGTACTATGTCTCATGGTTTTCATCTTCACTCTGCACCTCTTGATAAGTTAGTGGCATATTCTGATGCTGACTGGGCTGGTTGTCCTAATACTCACCGATCTATTTTCGGTTACTGTGTTTTCTTTGGTCATAATCTCATATCTTGGTCCTCTAAACGGCAATCTATCGCTTCTCGTTCTAGTACTGAGGCTGAATATCGAGCAGTTGCTAATGCTGTTTCTAAAGTATGTTGGATTCATTCCTTATTTTCGGAGTTGAATATTCGGTTACCTACTGCCACCCTTGTATTTTGTGATAATGTCAACGCTATTTTCTTGTCTACTAATCCTATTCAGAATCAGCGCACCAAGCATGTTGAGATTGATATCTACTTTGTTCGTGAGAAGGTTGCTCAAAGGTCTATTCATGTTCTTCATGTTCCTTCTTCTCATCGGTTTACTGATATTATGACGAAGGATTTGCCTTATGTTCTTTTTACGGACTTTCGAGACAATCTAAACGTTCGTGCACTTCCCTTCTAGATTGCGGGGAGATATTAGTGTATATAGATATAAGGTCACAATTATAATTATGCATATATAATTGTACTATATATATTACCATGTATCAATACAACAACCCTAAGGGCTTTTACACTTTCACTCATCGTATTCTTGCTGATCACTATCATGATCTTCAATGGTGGTTGCAGGGGAAAATGAGGGCGTCCCATATCCAAATGCACATAAAGAATTAAGGTTTGTTGAGGTTTTTGTGTGTTCATTGTCAAAAAGAGGTTAGTCATTTATACAGGATGTGATTGTTAAAGTTGAATGCTAAAATAATTAGTAAGGATTGGATGATCTTGAAATAGAAAATTGGGTGAAAATTATCAATGATTCATGCTTCCCAGAGGGGGCAAGTATTATACTGAAGTTTGCTCAAATAATTTTGATGCTTTGCTTATTTGCGTTTGAACGTCAGTTATTAGCTCTTTTCATTTCCGTAAATAGTTATTAATTTTCCACGATTCTATTATGCCATCTCAAAAAATGAACATATGAAATTTGATATTATCCCCCTGTAGATGACATTATGACATGAAGACTTATTATATTTACTTTATTCTAGTATCAAGCTTATGTTTAATAATTTCAATATCCTAAAGTCATAGTTTTACATCTATCCGTAATTCAAAGACTTGTACCTATCGATAATAAAATGCCCAACTCAAGAATATACATCTACATAATTTAATGTTGTATTCTTAACCCAAGGGATTATTAAAAGGAAAAAAATAAGGTCATCTTTATACTAGTGTGTTCATATTTACTTCTAAGTATTTAGAGAATTTTGCAAGTACATCTTCTTCATTTGGTTCATTTTGAGAAGAGAAGACTTTTTTTTTTGGAGAGGGAGGGGGGAGGACTAAAGTGACTATGCATGCACAACTATAAAGGAACAAATGATTGAGATTTTAATTTTTAAGTGTATTGTCTTTCTTACCCTGAATAATATTTTTTTGAAGTCTTTTAATCATATATATTTTCTTCTTTTTTTGTTCTGTTGATCCAGGGACCAGATGATACCAGCAAGGATGTGCAGAGTTACAAAGCTGATGTGAGGAAGCAATTGATTAGCAAAGGGTACCGCCTTTGGGGAATTTTGGGTGACCAATGGAGCAGCATTGAAGGATCCCCATCTGCTAAAAGAACACTTAAGCTTCCAAATCCCCTGTATTATACTGCTTGAAGAATGAAGAAAACAACCTTTCTACACCATTTCATAAACCGTGGGAGATCTGCCGTTTTTCGAAACTTGTGATTAATTTTTTTTTTTTTTGTTTTTGGGATTTGCAATTTGTTCATGAGAGTTGATGGAGAGATTCAGTTTCATAGAGAATGAACTGAGAATACTGGTGCAATATTTTTTTTTTTTCAATTTTTTTTCTTTTGGGGTTCATGTAATCAAATTTCTTGTGTATTGATTTGCAATATGTACCATTGAGATCTGCTAAGTGCTCAGGGCTTGCCGATTGTGCCATTGGGTCAGAGATGAAAATTTGTATCATCAAAAGTCATCTTTACATTATGTCATTATGTGATCACAACTTTGTGCGGGGTTTTTTTTTTTTTTTTGGTGTGAATATGGTAAAGGGGACCTATTGAATTCATGTCTGAGATTAGTCGGAAAAATGATCTCGATTATCGAGAGTAAATTACGACGGCCAATATTGGCATTTGAGGAAAAATTTGTCTCCACCTAAGAAAATTGCTATATCAATTACCAACTTAAAAGACTGGAGCACGCCTCACGAGCGTTGTCGTACTATTTAGCACAGGAGGAAAAAAAGAAAAGGAGAAGAGAGTTCAAGGTTCCAAAATCATGTAACCACAAATTAAGCCAGACAAATTTATTGAACTACAAAATTTAACAACTTTAAAATTTCCGAACACGTTAAGGTTTGATTAACCGCAATATATATGCTGAAAAATCAAACTAAATGTATTCAATTCGGTAGACTAACATTAACAAGTAGAGGGATTTTCCGAGGCATCATCATACCAAAAACTTCAGTCATGTCTAATTCTTCTGGTTTTCCTCCATTAGGCAATGCGAAATCAAAATTACGAATCAAATTCGCAATTGTGAGTTCAGCTATTACCAGAGCAAATCCAGAACCAGGACAAGTTCTCCTTCCATAACCAAACGGCGAGAATGCAAATTGCTCGTTGTTAAAGTCAACGAATTGCCCTTTTTTCAAGTCAACAGTGCTATTCAAGAACGGGCCGAAATTCTTCCTCTTCTTCCCAAAATCGCGGATCCCTACCGACTGCGAAAACATTGATGAACACTTGTGTTCCGGGAGCGATATCATACCCTAGAACCTTAACACTCTTGTTTGATACTCTAGGAATTAACGCGATTGGAGGATGCAAACGGAGAGTCTCTCTAATAACTGCTTTTAGGTAAGGAAGTTTCTCTAAGTCATCCTCAGTAATGATCGTGTTATTTTCGGATTTGCTATTTGTGAATTCTCTCAACTCATTTTGTAGTTTAATCATGGAATTTGGATTCCGCAGTAGCTCGGACAATGTCCACTCTAAAAGGGAAGTCGTAGTGTCTGTTCCACCAAGTCCCAAGTTCTGCATGCATTCAACAAGTGTAACATTTCATTCATGAATAAAATTATTTTTTTGAAATCCGTCCAAAAAAATAATTCACTTTATTAAACTAAAACATAGTATAATAAGTTGACCTATTTGTGTGGAACAGAGATATATAGTATGGAAAAAAATTGCATGGATTGGGGTTAAACCTTACCAAAATGATAGCTTTAATTGAATCAAGATCAAGATCAAGATCAATATCAGTGGTCTTTTCTCGCTGGAGTCCAAGCAATATATCCAAGAGGTTTCGATGCAATTTGTTACCAATGCTGAGGTTGATCATTTCTTGGCTTTTCAAAGCTTTTTCAAAGATACTATCTAAATATTCATCAATCTCTATTGCAACCCTATTCACCTTTGCTTCCATACCATTAATATGATTTATCCAACCAAGCCAAGGTATATAATCAGCTATGTTTGGATATGCACATAACATATTGCAACCGAAAACAACCGACTTCCAGTTGTTACTACTTCTGAGTACCTCTTCCCTATGGCTACTAAAGAAATTATGTCATTAGTAAGTGTTGCGAAAGCCTCACTTAAACACACAATTGCACCCGATACACATGATTCCCTCAAGTTTTTCATCATTCTCGCGATCTCTTCTTCGCGTACACTTCTGAATGATTGAACTTTCTTCTTACTTAGGAGATGAGAAACAGCGATGAACCTTGCTTGCCTCCAATATTCTCCATAGGGTGAAAACGTCATATCCTTAAAATTGTAGGTAAGCCTTCCAATGAACGTTGATTTAGGCCTATCAACGAAATACGAGTCGTGTTTTGTGAGAGCCTCTTCAGCTGCATCAGCTGAAGAGATGAACATGGTTGGTTTTTGACCTAGGTGAAGGAGCATTACCGGTCCGTACTTCTGAGCTAATAATTTGAGAGAGCGATGAGGGTTGGACGAGAAGTGATGAAAGTTTCCGATAATCGGAAGTCTTGGAGGTGAAGGTGGGAGATTCTTTGGGGTATTGTTTGAAGAAGATATAATCTTTAGCCATAGCAAATACAAAAGTGTACAAATAGGGAGGAGAAGAAGAAGCAACGAGAGCAATGAAAAATGTATGCTCGTTGAGCCATATTCCAAACCCAAAGCTATTGGAAATTGCCATATGTCTGACTACACTGAGCTATAAATTAGTTTTGAGTTGGATGGATCTCTCTCTTAGGTGCCTTTATATATAGATGATGATTTGTTTTGGAATACGACTTAATGAATGTAATTTCATATGATACTGATGTATGAAAATAAGTGGTGATACATACAAGAATGAACAGTTGCGAAACTAGCCCCTGGACATCTTTAGGGGCAAAGTATAGGTAGAAATTATTTTTCAAGAAAAAAAAAAAATCTACATTAAACTTTTTGTGAAAAATTTCAGCTTACTGCGGGGTTGGCTGATTCCTTTTCACTCTGATAGAAATGTGTCAGGAAAAATATCAAAAAATGATGTAATTGAAGTCAAATTGTCCACATAACGTTAAGAAACATAATACTCCCTTTCGTTCCATAATTATTGTCCAGTTTTGATTGTCATTTCTAGTACAAATTATACTAAGAGTGAAATCTCAAATTGGACAATAATTTTAGGACAGAGGGAGTATAAACAAAATGGTAATGTAGCACATGAAAGACTGATTCAAATCATTATCATTTCTTGTAAGTTTAATTTACTTGTGAAGTGAAAATTGTGTATGGTGATTCCCTCGTTTGCTAATTGTTTGGCCCTGTAAGTGAATACATTAATTCCTTCTTTCTCTTTTTCTTTTACTCCAATTTTCGGGTGGACTACTAAGAAAATGATTCTAGACATAATTTGTATGGTCTTAAAATTTTTCAATTTTACATCTTACTTGATTCTTACTGTAATAACGAGTCATTATCATCCAGCCGTTATTATTACGTTACGTACCTAACTTTGAAAAAGTACGAAGATTTATTTAACTTCAGATTCATTTTTTCCATTCAACGAATAGTTCGGCCGCCTAACTACTAAGGTGAACGGGAGTTACCATACGCCACAATCAGGTTTCGCTTGTCAAACAATGCGGAACCCTTTTGTACATATTTATGCGCAGTTTTCAGTACTTGATCTGTCCTCAAAGATTATTCACATTACATTAGAAATTTATATATATTGAAAATAGTATAAATTTTAAAATTTAATATGAACTATTTCTTTGGTATTGAGGGTGTACAAGATTTTTCTTTTTTTTTTTCCTTCTTTCCCAAAATGGTGCTAAACTAGTAAATGAGATATATAGGTGAGGATGAAGCCTATTGACAGGCTTGAGCTTTGGCATTTGATTGGTAGAGCAAACAAGAACTAAGGAACACAGTGGTAAAGAGAGCTCATGCATATATCTCCTGAGATCATATGGTTTTACAATAAGATCGGTGGTCCTTAACAATGTAGTTTACCTGTTGACTTGATTTGCTGACCCAATTCAAATGTAAATTAATCTTACTTTTAATTAAGACAACATTTTTAGAGGTATTCTTAAAACAAAAGACTAGTTAATGAGACATCAATTATCACTTCATCATAAGTTGAAGGAGAGCCTTTCTACCATTAAAAATGCCGTCGAATCAATTATACATATTGAGACTGATTGAGTTTATTTTTATTAACGTTAATTTGGACAAAGTTTCATATCTTTACTAGATATGACAACATTATAGTTCTCCAAAAGAATACAATATATCTTACTATATTAGAAACAAAAACCACACGTAAGAAAAAGCACCACCATTTAGCATGTGGTATTTCCACATCATATTTTTAAAATAAATTTTTATTTACACATCTCCTAGACTTAAAAGGTAAATACAGTCCAAATTCACCTCCACCTCTTATTTTCGCTAAAACAAAAAAACCACGGGTTCATAAAAAACCCAAATCTGCATCCCCATCTCTGCGACAATCGACTCCTTACTCAATCCATTCTTCACGATAAAAAAAAACACAAATTTCTCATCAATCATCAATTGAGAATATGTGATGAAATATACTCCTTTCCTATTAGCATGTTCAATTTTTTCATTAGTGATGATCAACTACATTCTAATCAGATAAAATTTCGACTTCAAAAAATATTCTCTTTACCTCTTATATAAACACAAATGGAAAAAAAAAATTCTCATTGATCTTGCTTCGGCCGTTGTGGTGGTGCCATTACAGGTATTAAAATTTAAATGATTTTATTCCCACAGATCATTTATTTGGCTTTTATTATTTTTTATTTTTTCCGTTCAAGAATAGTGTTATTACTATTATTTTTATGCGTCCATCCGTTACAGCTACCGTAGCCGTTGTCAGGTAATATGAAATGATTTCTTATATGGTTAGTTAGCCTAGAATTTTTGTATGATTTTAGTTCTATTTGGATTGAATTGATTAATTGGGTTTTTATTACAAAGTGTGGTTTTTTAAATTTCTTTTTTATGTTTAATTCAATTAGAGTGATTTTTCTTTTTTAATTATGGAGTCTCATGTTTTTTTTTCGTATATGGTTAGTTATGAAGTGTGTTTTTTCTTTGTTTAATTACTTTTGATTTTGTTTCATACTCCTAGTTGACCAATTATTATTATTATTATTTTATTTTATTTGCAAATGAAGCGCGTTTTTTTTTATGTTTGGGCTTTCGAGAATATAATTTTTTGGATTTGGTTTTTGGATTTTTTTTAGTTTCTCATCATATAAATAGTTCAAGTCGCTTCTTCTAACTAATTTATGGGGAAGTCTTTTATGAATTTGAGGTGGAGAGGGAAGGAATGATGTTTCTACGTTTATTTGTATTTTTATACATCATTTTTACCTACAGAAAAAAAAATTTCTCAATTTTTAATGGGCTATCTTTTACTTTCTTTTTTTTTTTATTTGTCATGGTGATGTGAGTTCTTTTTTGTTATAACTTGAAACCTATGTAAAGTTACATTATTTTCATTCTCATATTTGTGATCAACCAGTTTCAACAATTAACCAGTTTCAAAATTATTTTTTTGATATTTTACTACCTATAAACTTTTGGAAGAAATAGTTCCAACAATTAAGCGTACACCCTTTGGAGGAAGTTTACTACAAAGGTATTATAAATCTCCAAAACTAAGTATTGATTTGGCACAACCAATGGAGAACATCAATAAATTATCTTACTAATATTTAAACTTATTAGGATGCTTTTATATTTTGTGTAGCATTTACTTCAAGACATATATTTAAACAAGTCTATTTATATTTAATAAGTAACACTTAAAAAATATTTCTAAAATCTTCAAACATTTCTAAAAACGTACGGGGCCAAGTACAATTTCTTTTTATGCCAAATACAAATATTTCTGTGATCACACTTATAAAACATTTCTAAAATATATCGGCCCAAATACAAAATATTTTTTTTTCAGATACAAACATTTCTAAGATTTACAGATATATTGAGCCAGAGTCGCGCATTGCACTACCACACATCACTAATTTTATATATAAACTAATGAAAATTCCAGTAGAGTTAATGAAATTCCAATTTATTGTAGCCTGGCATCTTTTTACTAACGTTGCTGTTTTTACATTCAAAACAAACTCAGTATACAATAAACCTCTATTTCACGTGTTTTACTTGTTTATTTTTTCGTTGCATCTGTGGTTGTGATGCTAGCTGGTTGGCGATTAATTTGGGAATTTCATGCCACAAACTTATATTTAGTTAAAGTGATCTAACACTAGGGAAAAAAAAATAGTGGTCTAACACTGCACTATAACAATGCTCGCCGATCAAAATCTAATACTCCAACTTTTCTAGAAAAAATAGTCTAAATTATAAATTATAAATTACAATGGAAGGGAGTACAAAAGTTTTGATTTTTATATTAGTATCAAACATTTCAGGGTCATAATACTTTGCGAATTCACTCTATTATTTTTTTGTCACTTGGTTGGAGCTATTTATGCATTTCATCCATCGCAAAACAATTGTCCTAGATCTTCAGTTTTAGCATTTTCTTTGCTCAAAAAAAAAAAGAAGCTATATTGTACAAATATCAAAACTCAATGTAGACCCCTTTAAGAATAAAGAGAGTACAATTTATTCTAAAAAATAAAAGTACAAAGTATATACAATCATTTCGAGAAAGGATATTTTCTTTTTCTGTTCCTTTTCGGAATTTGGTTTCATTCTAATCAAATTGAATTATTACTTTTTTTTTCTTTTTGGAATTATTATATTACTTAAGTTAGTTAAAAGTGGTAGGATATTGGTTTTAGAATAACGATACCTACAATACAGCATTACATATAGGAGTATATATTATTGGCTAATGATACTGTCAGGGCAGTTATTACCATCCAGAGCGAAAAAAAAATGTAATACTCTTAATAATTCAACTACTTGTTTTACTCTCCTCTGAGTCCTCTCTCCTCACCCGTCCTCCCCTGCTTCATCGATATAGCCACAAGTATCATCATCCTCTGAGTCCTCTCTCCATGGATATAGCCAATATCCTTGCAACCAATTAACATCCCATGTCCACAGGTATCATTATCCTATTATATTTATGATATCACTCTACTCCACAATTCATGACCAATCAAAACGTTCAAAGACAATCTGAATTCAATAAATTCATATCTGAGGGAGCAATAGCCAACTTTCCGTGAGAATAAGAGCAAATTCAATGGAAAGTTAGATGACCCAAGAAAAAAAATAGAGGTAGTTTCAAATTCTATTTTTATCATCACTATGGCCACTTTGATGAAAATTAGGACTTCGGAGAGATGTTGGAGAATATAATTGAATTAAATTTAGGTGGATTAAAAAAGGGCAATAGACAATTGGAGGCTGAATCTTCTTTCAGTAGATTGATTTGTTATAATTCTATTATCTTAAGCACTTCCAAATGATTCTCAAATCCCAATATTGAGTGAAAAAAATTTTATAGATAAGGCAAACTCCAAATCCGGTCAATTTTTGCATTCATTTTATGATTGCAAGGGAAAGATGAACATACGGCCGAGGTTTCTTAGATTGGAATACCTTGAAACTTTGTTTTGTTTTTATAAAGATTTTGGATCTGAGAAAGAGAAAAAATGAAAGGGGAGGAAGGAGTTGAGACCAAAACTATTAAGAGGAGAGAGAAAAAAATCCCTTTAGCTAACAAGAGCAATATAAGAAATATAAGTTATATTTTGCCCTGGCAGCTAATTACTGTCCTGACAGTATCATCTGCCTATATTATTCCCTATGTTCCAAATTATTATCCAGTTTTAACATTTATTTTTAGTATAATTTGAAAAAAATACTCTACTTCAAAATCGCTTTTACTAGGTACTAATAAGTTAATTGTCACGTTGGTCTGAACACTGGAATTCGCTGTCATCATCTTTCACCGACGTACTTAAATAATCCAGCCACGAAAATCCGCTTAGTTGACTTCAAGAGAATCACAACGATGTTTCAATCCTCCAATGAATTTCAGGCTGGTTTTACCCAGAAACGTCCTAACAGCATATATTCATCGTAATCTTTTCGAATCCTTAAATATACCATGCTTGATTTTAATCCATTTTTTTTCTGCCTAAACATATCATTCAGAGTTGGTGGTGGCTGGTGGATGCATTTGAATTTTGTACTTTTGAGAACTATTTAAATTCCGCACCTTCGCATTTCATGGATCTACGAATAATAAAAGTTCCCTCGTTCCATTTTTTCAGATTTTAATTATTCCTTCCAATGCTGTTTGGTGCTTGAGTTTATTATCTTTCCCTCTCAAATTTGTTATTAGCCAATCATTTCGTAAGTACCTGATTACCAACCATATCATTCCCAATCTTCTAATGCATGATATCTCATAATGATTATAGTAAAAACGGTAAAATTAAGTGGACTGTTTTTCTAAGGAGAAATGATGAATAAAAAAGAATACTGTAAAAAGGAAGAGTGAGCGTTCCTTTGAGCCGTTTAGTAAAAATTTTAAAATTTATTGTGAATTATTTTATATGAGACATAGTAGTATAAATAAAAAAAGAGCGTTATTTGGTGGTTTTATCATTTCATCGCCTACCGATGCATTATTATTATTATTAATAACTATACTAATGTCAGCAGTGATTAAAATATATATTGGGAGAGTTTTATTTTCCGAAAAGGACCTACTCGGCTCAAATCCGGATTAGTCGGGTTATGACTTCGGATACCGGATGCGTAATATACCAAAAAAATAACTATACTAATGTGTGAATACAAAAATCCATTGCATTGGCACACAGCCATTAGCGGCCACTTATAAATATTGATGTCCCCGTATTCTAGTTCTTGCACTCCTCGTCCTTTTTTCTGTTCTAAGCACCAAAAAATCAAATCAACAAGTTAAAGGAATTAGTGATCATTAGGGATCATCGATCACAAGTGAAAATGTCGGTTCATTTCTCCATGTTTCTGCTCTCTGCATTTCTCATTGTTCTCACCGTTAGCGGGCAAAGGGGCGGTAATGGTGATTTTGCTGATTATGGCGGCGGCAACGGAAGCCCGGGAGGTTCCGGCAATCAAGGTGGTTATGGCGGCGGCAACGGAAACCCGGGAGGTTCCGGCAATCAAGGTGGTTCGAACCAGGTATTGCATGATTGCATCTATGCTTACAGTAAGAACAAAGGGTTAGTTATTAGTATTTCATAGTAAAAAAGTGTATTTAATGTTGTATTATAAATGAAGTACGGATAAAAAAATTTGAGTTCACGCTAAAGTTACGTATAAAAAAAAGTAGTATTGTAATTCGTATTTATTTTTATCGAGTTTCGGAATGGACTAGGCGAGTCATAGTTTTGAAATCGTGGACTGCATAATATATACAACTAATTCCTTTCCATTTTTTCTTTTTTTCTGATCTTGTTCTACAGCTGCTAAACTTGAATTGCAGATGGGAAGTGAAGTTGAAGACAGGCAATATTCAAAATGCTGGTACAAGGGGAAATATTGGCATACAAATCCACTTTCCAGATCCTTTAGAAGTGAACATGTCAGTGTTTTTATTTCTTTTTCCTTTTATCTGTTTCCTCTTTCTAAATTGTGTCTGTTATTAATAATTGCATTGATGACCGCAAAATAGTGAAATACCGTCCTGATTATGTTTTGTTTTGATTTACTTCTTCTGTCTTATAATATTTGTCCAGTTTAGATTTATATTTTTTGTAAAATTTGAACTATAAATGATAATTCAAATTGGGCAGTAATCTTAGGACGGAGGAAATATTTCTTACCAAATTCGTATTTATTATCACATTTTTAACTCTTAGATTAATTTTTTTTTTTTTTTGAACCAAATTAATACACAAGCAGACCCCTAGTGAATCAGCGGTTACTGCAACCGTTCACCATCTTCAACCTGAAAGAATTCGGCGACAGGGGTCGGACTCCGAACAACCCGCCGTACTTCCACCGGAACAATTTGGACGTATTTCACTTCAACGGGCCGTGTCTCCCGAACATTTGCAAGATAACATTCCTTAACGGAGAGGCATTTTCTCCGTACAGGGATCCTTGGTATCTGCAATCTGCCACCGTATCAGTCCGAGGACTCGCTTCTATCAGCGGCCCCTCCGGCACGGTCTCTGTTGGAAGGTGGATTCCGCGTAATGATAATATTAACTCCTGGAATATCACCCTGAACTTCTGCGTACGAACCATCATTCAAGATTAAAAGAGAATTCAATCAGCAGCCTCAGAGTAACAAATCCTGATTGTTGGAGAACTCAGAGGCGCCCCGTTGATGCTGTTTTGTTCTTGTTTATGATGAAATGCTTGCTTCATTCCTTCGTTTCTGTTGTGTTTGTTGTTGTTATCATGGTCGTGTGTATTTTCAGATGTGTATTTTTCCATTTCATTTCCGTTTCGGAGCAAATTCTGCTCTGTACGATGGACACTTGATGTTGGACACTTGATGTTGGATTCGTTGTGATTTGTTGAGCCAATCTAAATGTAAATTAATCTTCAATTTTTAGGTAATTATACAACAAAAGACTTGTTGACAACTAACTTCATCATAAGTTGAAGGAGATACTTTTTACCATTAAAAACGCAATCGAATTAACTATCTATTGAGACTAATTCGTGTCCATTTTAGCAGCGCTTGGACGAAACTTCATAATGTTTCGAATGTCAACATAAAATTTTAAAGTATAAATTTCAAAATTTAATATCTATTATTTTTTTTATTAGGAAGTGAGAGGGTACGATTTATCCAATCTTTGTAACAAATACACGCTTTTATTTGGCAGACGAACAACAAGAAGTAGAGGGACTTTATAGACTAAAGAGGCAGTGTCTCAACATTTGTCTTTATTTGCAAGTAATGCCCAATTTTAAAGTAAGTTTGCTTTTGTTGTGAATATTCTTCCGCGCGCCCTGGACTTGAGCTTGTTGTGGTATGATCGGGATGTGCAAATTGAGCACACTTTGAGAGAAAACAACTCGAATGTGTCGGCACATTAGCTGAAAAGGCTTCGGATCCAAAGAAAGAGGAAAAAATAGTTCTCTTTTATCTCATGTATTCTCAAATTGTATCTCCTTATGATTAGATGAGAACTAGTAAAGAACCAAGTTGGGAAAAATTAGCGTTCATACTTAAACCTTTGGGTCTATCGTCAATTCTACCTTATTGATTTTCGATTAGTCAATTTTGTCCTTTCTGTTTGAAATTTTTGTCAATTCCACCCAATTGGCCCAATTTCCGTTAAACTTAACAGATTTTCGTTAGTTTTTAACCAAAAACACCTTGATAGTTTCAGAAAATTGTAAAATTAACCCTGAAAAATATAAAAATAACAAAATAATTCATTTTTATTATTATTTTTATTTCATTTTATTTCTCTATATTACTTTTCATAACCATCAAAATATACTACACGATCTTTAAGAAAATAATTATTTATTTTTAAAATCTATTTTTCATGTGCAACACATGTGATTTAGGTTGAGGGGTAATTTTGTCATTTTAAATTTTTAAAGTTTTAATTTCTTTTTTTATTCGTCTTTTTTTGAGATTCCTTTCCTTATATTTCCTGACTTGTATATATTGATACTAGAATAATTATTAAATTTTAATAATTAATTTACCGTTTTATTTCATAGATTTATGTATGAACGCCAATTTTTCTCAAAGTCTGCTATAGTGGGAGAACTGGGCCAAATTAAAGAGAATTGGAAGGACCAGACCTAAAGACAGAAAATAATAATAATAATAATAATAATAATAATAATAATAATAATAATTATTATTATTATTATTATTATAATTCCTTTTTCTCTTTTTTTTAAGTCAAATGAAAAGGGTCCCACAGACCAAAAAAATTAATAAAAAATTAAAGAATTAAAGTTTGATCGAATTTGACCGTTAATTTTTTTAAAATTCCGTTAAATGGATCAATGTTGATGAATAAACGAAAAGATTGTCATCAATTTTGTCAGAAAAAACTTAATGGTGACCAAAAGTTATGATCTCTCTTAGTTCAGGGACCAAAAATGTGTTTTGTCCAATGTTGAGAGGGATTAGTCTTTGGAAGAGAGTTTGGAGAGAGAAAGTTTGTAGAGAGTTTATGTTGACAAGGTGGCCCATAGTTTATCTATGAACAAGCAAAAATCTATTGTGGCCAAAAAATTAAATGTTTAGTAAAAAATTAAAAAAAATATTAATGTCTAATATATTTATTCAATTAGTGGGCCACTATTTTTATTTATGTGTATGAATTAATTTATAGTTAAAGATGCCCTTATATGTTATATCCTTCATTAAAATGAATGTCATAGGATATACTCTCTCCTGTCCTATAATAATTGTCCAGTTTAGATCTTTATTTCTAATTCAAATTGTACTAAAAGTGAAATCTCAAACTGGACAATAATTTTGGGACGGATGAATAATACAAAACCTTCATCCGCCTGGCAGAAAGTGGTTTAGGTAAAGGACTTCATATTTTCCGAGGTAGTGAGTTAATTCGATTATCATTGTTAGCAAAATTTCATAATAATGTTGTAAATATACAAAATTTAAAAAAAAAAGTGAAAAAGAAACATCGTTCATGACTAATTGCGGTATTCCACGCCATTAAATTAGTTAGTTATAAACGACAAAAAGTGGTCTAAAACTCGGCAAATTACAATTCTCACCTATTAAATTCTAATATTTTTTAGTCCCTGAAAAATAATATACATTATAAATCATAGATTTTTATCACTTTTCATACAATCTACAATGTGAATTATTTTTGTAGAATAAAGATTATACAATATTTTGGCTTCTATACTGGTATCAAAACATTTCATAGTCATAACACTTTGCAGATTCACTCTACCACTTTTTCTTTTCTTTTTCTTTTCTTTTTACTTGGTGAGGGGCTTATATACTCCTTTTTTATCCCAAAATGATAAGGAAAAATAATAAAGAATGATGTGTCAAGATCTTAACTATGCCCTAATCTTAAATGCATAATCCATGTATGGAAAGTTTTAACAATGGATGGGTGAGATCATTTTCTTGTTATTTTTTGCTTATACCAATCATTATCCTTTATTTTTAGTATATCTTGTACTCCCTCTGTCCCAAAATTATTGTCCAGTTTGAAATTTCACTTTTAGTACAATTTAATCTAAAAACAAAAACCCAAACTGGATAATAATTATGGGACGGAGGGAGTACTTAATTTAAAAATTTAAACTAAATTATCATCTTGAGACTTGGAAGAACATCATTTTCAATTAGGTTCTTTTTTCCGAATTTGGTTTCATTCTAATCAAATTGAATTGCTTAGTCGAAATTGATGGGATACTGGTTTTAGAATAACATACAAACAGTAAAACATTACAATGATATATAGTATATACTATTTCCACTATTAAGAAGCTGGTTAAATTTCAAAATCACTTCTACTACTAATCATAAATTAACATCACGGTCAGTATGTCAGAATCGTTATAATTTTGTACTATACTTATCATTATCATTTATCATTGAAGTACTTAAATATTCCAGCCATAAACACCTGCTAAGTTGACTTCAAAAGAATCAAAACGATGTTTCAATTTTCCAATGCGTTACAGGGTGGATTTAATACGAAAACTAACAGCATATATTCATAATCTTTTCCAATCCTTGATTATGCCATGCTTAGTTTTAATCCATTTTTTTCCTCCTTAAAAATGTCATTCGGTGGTGGAGTGGCGTGGATGCATTGGAAATTAGTAGTTTCGAGTACTATTTAAATTCCTCACCTTCCAATTCACGGATCTACGAATTATAGAAGCTCCCTCGTTCCATTTTTTTAATAATTTGTTTCAATTCTATTTTGTGCGTTAGTTTTTGTGTCTCTCTTCAATTGTCGTTCGCCAATCATTTCGTAAGTGATTAATTACCAACAATATCATTCCAAATCTTCTAATGCATGATATCTGGTATGACTCATTGAGTCTCACGAAATAGTATAATCAAGTGGACTATTTTTATGAAACAAAGGTAACAAGTGATGATTTATGATGGATAATTGACCATAACTAAGTTGTGGTTTTGAGAATAATTGTGGTATGAAATTCCTAAGGAAAAATGGAGTGAAAAGGAATATCGTAAAATGGAAGAACAAATGGTACTCTCTTTGTCTCATAAAAATAGTTTATATTGAACTTTGTAATTTACTAAAAAAAAAATAACGTAAATTAGAAAATTATAGTTTAAAATATTTTTTTAGGACAGAGAAGATACGATAAGTAAAATGACTTAACCAATATGCTAAACGTCTCAATACAAAAATGCATTGCATTGTCACAGGCATTAGCGGCCACTTATCTATTATACTTAATTAAAGCAACATACAAGAAGGACAGGTGTCAACTCCACATTCAATATTTTTCCGTCAAAAGCTATTTTCGGTATAAAATCATTTTTGACACATGGCACTCTAACTATTCAGAAAAAATAATGTAAAAAAAAAAACCCAAACACTAATTTTCAGCAAAAGCCCAAAAGAAGCCACAAATTACTCCCTTTTCGCTTTCCCAAATTTAAGCCATCACCATCAATTTAAAAATCTAAAATTTGTTCAGAGATACGATCACCATCAAAAACCACAAACCCCAAAATCAGGGATACGATACGATCACCACAAATACTCGGGATTCAATTAGATTTTTCAGTTTTGTGGAGAGTTCCGACTTCCGAGCAGTGACACTGATGAAACGGCCATAGGTACGATCGGAAATCCCTCAACATGATCCACAAAATCCCTTTTGATGATTCTTTTGTGTCATATTGATCATTTTGTTCCCATTCAGACCCTTTTGATCATTCTTTTATATCCTATTTTCCTCTTATTAATCTATGTATCATATGGGTTAATAGGGTGTTGGAATTCAAGGTTCTGAAAAAGATAAAAGATTGAATCTTTTATTGGTTTTTTTGGTGGATTTGAGTTTTGCCCTTTTGAGATAATGGCAGCTGATGTGGCTTTTGGGTCTGTTAGGACTCCTTCTTGGATTCAATTTTAGAACTCACCCAAGAAGAAAGGAAAGGTTGACGGTAAGAATAATAGCAAATTCCGGGTCTCCTGCGTTTATTCTTCTATAAGAGATCCGTACCGGACTCTAAGAATCCATTGGAGAGCTTCTAAAGCGGAGGTTAAGAAGACTGTCTGACAACTTGCTCTTCAGGTATTTTTGATAAATTTTGATCCTATCTCAGAAAAATTTGATCTTGCGTGTATTTTGGAGTTCTGTTCTTTGAACTGGAGACTCTAACTGTTAATGCAATATCTTCCCAGATACTGCAACTGAATTGATAATTATATGATTATGACTAATATTCTGTGATTCACTGGTTCTGTTGTAATCTTTCCTAAGAACTGGTTTGTTTAAGGTTTGAAATCAGCTGGGAATTTCGCCTACATTGATAATTTATATTTTATAACAGTGTTGATAATTTATAATTGGCTGGGATCAATTGATTGTATTCAATGAATGGATTTTGTTGTTGGCTTTTTGTTGTTGTAGTTACTTTGATGAATCATTGTCATACTAGGATTCAAGTTCACATAATGGATCTTCATCCACATCGAAGAACATAGTTCCATAGGAATGAACGAAAGAAGATCAAATGAAATATTGATTACTCTTATTGTCGTGGTTCTAATATCAGCAAGGCAAAGTTATCTCAATTTTTCTGGGTGTTTGGAATGGTTTTGGCATTCTTAGATACAAAATACATCTCAAGTAATGAGAGATCAAACTCAATGTTGAAGTAAGAACTCTATCTTAATAGTTTCCCATTTGGTATAATCCCATGATAGTGTAATTGATAAAAAGAAAAGATATTTCCTGAACTGATATGCTTCTCCTTGACTTCATTCACAGATATGGAACTACAAAATAACTGTGTGAAAGCAAAGCAAACAGAAAAAAAGTGCATGGATCCACACTTATGGTATTCCCTTTTTTCGATCCTGATCTTGAAAGGGAAGGAATTCTGTTTGGTTCCAATTCATGCACGTATGTGGGACCCATTTCAGACGAGTTTCTATAACTTACCATGACTTTTGATTTTGATTATAGATCGTTGTACCTTTTTTATTTGACATCATAATTTTTTGTTTAACTTTCTCTAAATCTAGAATCTGATGTTTTGTCAAAAAAATCCGTGGAGTAAATAGTCATGTTCTTTACGCGAGCTCGGAATCAGTTGGGAGACCGAGAATATTTACACATTTGATGGAGAATGTAAATGTCTCTTATGCGTTACAATTTTTAACACAAAATCTGATTTCGATTGATTTAGTTGTAATCTAATATTTGATCGATTATACTATCATGTGAAGAAATAAAACGAATATTTGGATTATAGAATCACTACAGAATTTACATTTCACGTTGTTGAATTAAAGATGGAGTTTCTTGCATTACCACTCAGATTTGTTATTTCCACATCTAAATATAAAGACAACCATGATACAGTTGAAATCATTCACTTCCAGTGCTTGAATGGAGGAAATCACGCCATTTAGTATGAGAATGATACAAAAAACAAAAGATAAGCTAAAATTGTTAAAGCACTAGAGGGGCCATGTCGCATAGTATAGATTTTAAAGCACAAAATAAGCTAAAATCATTAAAGCATGTTTTGATTATATGTTACCTGAAAAGCTTTTGCTTTTTTTTTTCTTTTTGGTTGCAGGATCTTTTTGTTAAGGTAAAGCCAAAAGTTCAACTTTGATAGAAAGGTAAATTTTATTATTCAGATTCCTAGTTGATTTTTTTTCCCATCATTTGCTTGATTGAGTTAGCCAGTTCTTATGTAACTTTTGTTAATGTTTAGCAAGTGTATTGATCATTTAAAGGGTGGTTCAGGACACTCTTGTGGTGGCTTTAATAGCACTAAATAATTTTTTCAGACAAGAGCATCTGGTAAGTTTGAATGATAGTTAATTAGTCTTTTGTTGTTATTGCGTGAGTATCATCCATTATCAACATCATTTGTTTTGGTTTTCATGTATGTGTTTCTGTAGCCCTTTAGTTTCATAAATGGTTCAACCTTGCTGTACATGTAAGTTTAGAAGAATGGTAGGTTGTGCTTAATTGTTTGATTGAAAGTTAATTGAATTGGCAAATTTTGTTAAGTTTCATTCCTTTAGTGGGGAACTGTCAAGGACGAAAAATCAATTCAGAAAGACCTGGAAATCATCAAAGAGAATGGCACTTTAGTAACGTTTGAATCATCAACCTATGCAGAAAGGTTGCAACGAGAAAACAATGATATAGTTTCTTATGAGCCCTCAGGCGATGGTGTCCCTGAAAATAGCAAGTCAAAGAAAACCACTACAGGAACGAAGAAGAAGCAGAATAAGATTAGGCAAAAGAAAAATCTTGACTTTGAAGAAGGTTACGTTGCAAAGGTGTGAGAATGGCCGCAATCAAACAGAAACAAGATGAAGATAAAAAGGCAGCAAGGTTGCATTCGTTTGATGGGAGTAGCAAATCCACCTGCAACCTGTTTTCGGAATAAAAGACAGAGACAGTGATTTTTCTGTGTATGATTATTTTCATGAGTAATTAGGTAGGTAGAGGCTTTCATAATTTTTTGCAAAATGTTAGTTTTTGTGCTTGGTAGATCATTGAGGCCATAATCACTTTTAAACTTATTGCCTTCATGTGAAGCAAGTTTGTTTCCTCAATAGCCTGTAATTCATAGATGCTGTTTTTTTGGATGCTATAGGGATTTAGAATGTGGTGGTTTGTTAGATGCAATATATATGAAAGAAGAAATCACTTTGCTGGAGATTCAAGTACTTCTGCTCTTATGATGTGTTTTTTTTGTTATTTTTTTACAAGAAAATTTAATTTACACAATTATTACCATATAATATTAAGAAAAAATGTTGGACTCCCGGGCATTCGCTCGAGGCAAGCATCTAGCAAATAGTGATGTCCCCATATTCTAGTTCTTGCACTCCTCATTCTTTTCTCTTTCTGCCTATTAAGCACCAAAAATATCAAATCATCACTTTAAGGATTTAGTCATTGTTAGTGATCATCATTCAGAAGTGAGAATGGCGGTTCACTTCTCCATGTTTCTGCTCTCTGCATTTCTCATTCTTCTCACTGTTAGCGGGCAAAGTGGCGGTAATGGTAATTTCGCTGATTATAGCGGTGGCAACGGAAACCCGGGAGGTTCCGACAATCAAGGTGGTTATGGCGGCAGCAATGGATACCCGGGAGGTTCTGGCAATCAAGGTGGTTATGCCGGTGGCAACGGATACCCGGGAGGTTCCGGCAATCAAGGTGGTTATGGCGGTGGTAACCGGTACCCGGGAGGTTCCGGCAATCCAGGTGGTTATGGCGGCAGCAATGGATACCCGGGATGTTCTGGCAATCAAGGTGGTTCGAACCAGGTATTGCATTTGCGCTTACACTAAGAACTCAGGGTTAGTTATAAGTATTTCATTGTAACACGTGTATTTAATGTTGTTATTAGAAATGAAATAGGACAAGTAAAAAAATATTTGATTTACGCTAAAGTGATGTTAAAAAAAAGAAAAGGCAGTATTGTACTAATTCGTATGTATTCTTATCGAGTTTCGGAACGGACCATTCTTGAAGGCCCAAATATAAGCCTACATGTGGTTCCACCTCAAAACCAATTGGTGATGAGGGGAGTAGCACATGGGGTATATATGTTGGGTTCAAGTGTTTCTTTCTATCCATGTAGGACAAGGGAACATGAGGCCTTTTTCTTTCTTTCATTCATTTAACAAGCATGAGAGTGAGACTTAGTTTTGAAATCGTGGACTACATAAAATATTTACAACTAATCCTTTCCATTTTTTCTTTTTTTCTGATCTTGTTCTACAGCTGCTAAACTTGAATTGCAGATGGGGAGAGAAGTTGAAGACAGGCAGTATTCCAGATTCTAGTACAAGGGGAAATATTGGCATGCAAATCCACTATCCAGATCCTTTAGAAATGAACTTGTCAGTCCCCTTTTTCTTTTTCTTCTTTCCAAATTGTGTTTGTTACTAGTAGTAACCCGGACTTTTTAATTTGGAGAAAATACCCGTGTCGACACGACATGATACTGGTTCCAACATGAGTGTTGGGCGTGGTACTTTAATTTAAAATGTCCAAAATTTTTAAAATATTGATAAGAGTCTGACGCTGAGATTCTCGCACCCGATACAACACCCGTATCGGAATCCAGGTAACATAAAGTAATTGATGGCCGCAGAAAACTTGGGTTCTTGATGTTGATTCGTTGTGAGTTTTCGTGAAATCTTTTCTTCTATTTTGTTTAATGGTTTTTGGATTCTTCAGCTCCTGTTGTTGTCAATTAGCAATCTCATTACCCAGTTGAGGCTCTTTCCAGAGAAGGACCTCTTCGGTAAACAGGTTGCCTGATTGCCATATCGGTAGTGATCGGTCTTCTCTTCTGGTGAAGTTACCGTTGATTTGTTCGTATGAACCAGTGGGATTTATGTGCATAATGTGATCGGAAAACACAACAAATGTTAACTGGTTTGACCAACAAAATGAGGAAGTTTGAAGAAAGAGCAACGGTTGAATGCTCTTCGTTTCGTTTATTGAAAAAGGTTCGATGTTTCATCCCTACTGTCGGTTTTTTCGTATGCAGTTCAATGTTTCTTGTTATCTTCAGGCAAAAACAAGTTCTTTTTGAGTTTTGACCTTTAAATCCTACTTGATAGTTTGGTGCTCAATAGCTTACAACAACGTTAGACGCCACGAAAAGCCTTCATAAACCATGCAGAATTCCTTTGTATTGACACAAAAGGTATCATCTAATTTTGATGTCTCCGTAAAGGGGACTTGATGAAGAAGAATCCAAAGGAAGTTCTTTGCTCTGATCTGGTGTACATTTTACTAAAATTAAGATCAACTGAGCTTTATTAATGCGAAAGGATCAACAAACTGCTATAGATGTAAACCATTTGAGATATATTCATCATTCATCATTCTAGCTTGGGTTGATCATACCCCTCTGCAGCAGCATGAATCTTTGCGCAATATTCAAATAAGCTACCATCAAAGCAGCGCCTGATTGCTTCTTTAGACAGGAATCCCTCTTCGTCCCTTGCAAGAACATACAGAACTATCCATTCTCCCTTATTAGCAATCCACCCAAAGGGATCGAATGCCAATCTGTTTCCTTCCGTCATAGCCCACATTTCACCAAATGTAAGCTTGTCTGGCACAGTTTTCGCGTATTTGCTGAAAATATTCTCAAAGTGCACAGGAAGATACCTAGAAAGCCCTTTCTCATGTATTAGTAATTACCCAATTGTCAAACCCGAGTAACAATAGAGACGATTAAGAAAATATCTCCTTTCTTCCCAAATAAATTATTGTCCCAGTTTGGATTTTCGTTTTAATTCAAATTGTATTAAAACTAAAAATGTAAACTGGACAATAATTTTTGGACGGACGGAAAGAGTACCCGATCTTGGTCACTAAGATGACTGTCACTAAAAGTCCGAATTACCGGATGTGATTATTCACTGTTTTTCATCATTATTACACAATTCAATACCTGACTAAAGATCTAATTGATTCAATTTTCTTACCTTCCTTCGTGATCATAGGTATGGGAATCACTTCCGTGTTTGGCCCTATGAATGTTGTAAATGTAAATAGGGAACAATGGAGAAGGAAACCAACCCTGCCCAGATGGAAATTTTATTGTAATTATTAAGATAAGATCCAAAGGAAAAAAAAACATCCAATTCGGCTATATATACAGGATGAAAAGAGAAAACTTTAACTCACCGGTAAAGTTGGATAACTTAAGCCCATATTGATGAACGCGGCCAGAAACAGAGAAGCAAGGATGCCAAATCCAATTTGACGAAGTCCTGGAAAGTGGAAATTCGCAAAATCTCAGAGTAATGAAATATGATGAATTAAAGAACGAAATTTTTGAAGCCGAACAAAAGAAAAGATTACCAGAATAAGTCTCCCATGGATAAATGATTCCATTGCCATCTTGATCAAAGAAAGCACAATGCTGCTGAAGAACACTCATGTTATGATGCATATGCCCTGGTGTCCCATATGGATGCTCCATATCTGGAGCTGCCAATCCTCTTGCCAAATCTGAATTCCAAACAACACATCCAAATTAAAGAATTGAAAAGAATGAATACAAAAGCTCAATCATACAAGAAAACAGAGAGAGAGAGATAGTTTCATGGGCTTATTAGATTATTAGTACATGGTTTAGGAATAGAAGTTTCCAAATCAGTTCTGACTCTTCTCTCTATGGTCACAGGAGCAAGAGGAGCTACAGGGGACAGTGCTGCATTCCTATCAGTCTCCACAGAAACTTCCATTTTCTCCGTTCTTCTTCTCTTTCTCTCTGCTTTTTTTTTTTCTTTTGGCTCTCAAATCAGATGAAAGATGTACCCAAACGAGTGTCTTGAGTCTTCACCGCAAGAAAAACTCAAAAGGGTTGATAAAGCAGAGGAAAATGAGGGGAAAATTGAGAAGAGATTGCTGTAATTCATTCTGGGTGGAGGAAGATCCTCGTGGCAAACATGCAAAGCATCTTACTTTGTTGCTTATTAAATTTGTCTTTTGTTAGGCTTTGTTGTTAAGATTTTGACATTTGGCAATGTGTTTCTTTTTACATTGACACGTTACGAAAGAGGTGGCTTTTGATTAAAAATGGACGTTTTGAGCCTTTTTTTTTTTGGCCATTTTTCTGATGATGATTTTTCTCTGTTAATCCCCAAAAAGGGTCGGTTTGGGGTAAGCTGCCCTCAGATCTCGTTTGTGTTTGACCTTTGAAAGACTCTGAAGAAAATCTAAGCCAATATGAATTGAGTTGAAGAAGGTTGAATTGAGTCCCCCAATTGTCTCAACTTTCAACCGATCATTTTGGTTGGATACTTGCGAAAATCACTTGCAGTGTGATTAAGGGTCTGTTTGGGAGCTTTTTTTTAATTGTTTTTTCTCTAATAAGTGTTTTTTTAAAAAGATTTTCTAATAAGTATTAATAATTAATAAATATACTATCTAAACATATTTTTTATATTTTCAATACACTTTTTAGTTTTTACTCTTTCTTGTTGGAATCATCTCATCCGCAATTTCGGTAATGATATGTTTTACATTGCTATCTTCTTTTTTTCTTTTTTTTTTTTTTTTTTTTGGGAGAGGCTTGAGCACAACCTTATTTCTGTCAGCCGGGTTAACATCTGCCAAATACTTCCTTAAGTACACTTGGGAGAAGAATACTATTTCTCAAGCTCGTAAAAATGTATCTCAGCATTATGACCTGGTAAATAATCTTCTTTTATCCACCAAAAAAAATATATATATTGCATTGGATTTGAGAATTGAATTAAAATTGATACAAATCTTAAAATTCAATATGGATTATAAATTATTTTCCTGCAAAAGAAGCAGTAATAATTACTCCCTCCATCCCATAATTATTGTCTACTTTGCCCAAAAAATTTTGTCCCAAAATTATTGTCCAATTTGACTTTTTATGGATCAAGTTACACATTTGTCCTTAGTAGAAAACATTATCCATAAAATATTAGTGGTTAAACAATTCCTTATGTAGGGATATATCTGGTTTTTAAGGTAAAATATAGTTAAGTTTGACCAAAAATAAAATCTTTCATTTTTAGTAAAACTGGACAATAATTATAGGACGGAGGGAGTATTAAAGAGTCTCAATCTTACATCGGTGTTGGGATACTCTAAATATCAATATATAAGCTCCACGGGCTACTCCCCTCATTACCAATTGGTTTTGAGGTGGAACCCCATGTGAATTTTTTTATGGTATCAGAGCCAATCCGCCAACATTCAGACTCAAAAAAAACCCAACAAAAAAATAGGGTTGAAATGTGAGGCGGTGCCTGGGCTGAAAAAATAGGACAAATTCAACCCAAAAAATACGTTGATCACAGAATAAAGTCTAATTTTTGCGCATCTCATCATCGATCACTTATCCTCTTGATCATTTGGTTTCTAGAGTAACGAATTATTCTCCCAGGTTTTGGATGAAACAACGACATACTCTTGTGCAATATTTAAGGTACGCCAGCTACACAGTTCCAGTCCTTAATTTATTTTTATATTCAAGTTGTTTCGATTGCAGTCAATGCTCAAAAAGTTTTGTGGCCATAACTAATTAGCTTCTTCACATGATTAACATGTGGATACGGACGTAGTCTGAGGACGAGGACTTGAAAACTGCTCAGTTACGAAAGATTTCTTTATTCATTGAAAAGGTGAGGGACTCATTCTTTAATTTATATATCTCTATAATATTCTCTCCGATTTTTAATTATACTTCCTCTATTTTAAAATAAAAGTCATTTTAGACTCTGCACGTAAATTAATTAGATAATTATTTAATAATTAAATTGTATGTTAAATATCTATTTTACACATTATTAATTATTTTGGAACTATAACCAAGACTAGATGAAAAGTGATTAGCATCATTTATTAAGGATATAGTTAGGAAGTTCATCTTTAATTTGCCTTGAAATCCTAAAACGAATTATATTTTTAAATATTTCTTCAAACCTAAAACGACTTACATTTCTAGAGGGAGTAAGACACAAGTAATAATTGGTTTCTGAAAAATTAAAGAAAGTAGTTAAATCAGTTTTTTTTTTTATAGAAAAATGTCATATATTAAACTTGTTAGAAATCACCCAGCCTTGTGATACAAGTAATTTGGCATAAAAAACCAAGTTATATCATCTGTTACATGAGATTTGACATAATTAGTTATGACATGAGCTACTTCATTTTCCAGACGTTGAATCCAAAATATGGCATCGGAAAATAGATCTAATAATAGTTATCTAATCTCTAACAACACAGATAAACAAATTCATAAACAATCAGTTTCTCTTGTAGTCACATTATTGAGATTGAGATTGAGTTAAATTAGTTATTTTTTAGTGAAATGTTATCTTTACTAAAAATGGTTTCACATTTCGAAGAACCAATCAATTTAAATTAAAGTTGAAAAGATTATAGTTTAAAAAAAAATCGTTAACACACTATAGTTAAAACTTTAAATACTTCAAGACTTGAAGTGACTATTAAATGAAACCAAGAAAAATCTTTAAAATATATTATAATAAGGACCAAAGAGAGTATTAATCAAACTGATTGGGTTTTATTAATCCTGCTAAAACCATTCAGGCCAAAATAAGTAAGGAGTGAAAGAATTATTGTGTGTATTATTCACATGATACATTGTGGTATTTATAGTACAATAGTGTACAACCCTAGTCGTCTACATAGGAAACCCTAATTAGGGTTTTGATTATTTTCCTATTCTATCATCCCCCGCAATCGTAGCAGGAGAAGTAATCATGCCTAGATTGGTTCTAAACAAATACAATTTATCCTTAGGTAAAGATTTGGTAAAGGCATCTGCAAGCTGGGATTGTGAGGAAATATGAAGGACCCGAAGAAGACTAGCAGCAACACGTTCACGAACAAAATAAATGTCTAGACCAATATGTTTGGTGGGAGCCTGATTAACCGGATTTGCAGCTAGGTATGTAGCGGAAAAATTATCACACAAGATGACCGGGCGATGTGAGAGCTTGACTTGAAGTTCAGATAGAAGATTCTCCAACCAGACGGATTCAGCCAACGCAGAGGCAACAACACAATACTCAGACTCAGCAGAAGATCGAGACACAGTGGATTGTTTCTTGGAAGACCAGGAAACTAGGGAGGAACCCAGAAAAACACAAAATCCAGTCGTAGAGCAGCGAGTAGTAGGGCATCCTGCCCAATCAGCATCGGAATATGTAACAAGGCGATCAAGGGGGCCAGCACGGAGATGTGTACCATAGTGAAGTGTGACCTTAATGTAACGGAGAATGCGTTTGACCGCCTGAAAATGCTGCTCACGAGGATCATGCATATGTTGACAGACAAGATTAACCGCATACTGAATATCCGGTCTAGTGAAAGTAAGATACTGTAATGCACCCACTAAGCTCCGATAGAGAGTCGGATTATGAAAAGGCGGAGACTCATCAACCAAAAATTGAAAAGCCGGAGCAAGTGGAGTTGCAACTGGATTGGCATCGGTGAGATGACTGCGAGCAAGCAAGTCTTCAGCATACTTGCGTTGGTGTAAAAACCAACCACCAGAGTGAGGAGCAACAGAAATACCAAGAAAATAGCTGATTGGACCAAGATCCGTCATTGCGAAAGCTCCTTTCAGCGACTGAACAATAGTAGTGAGGAGATGATTGCTGGAAGCTGTCAAGAGAATGTCATCAACATAAAGTAACAAAACAGCCATATCCGATCTAGAAGAGTACACAAACATGGAAGTGTCCGAGCGACTGCCTATAAAATCCTGTGTGAGCAGAAAAGCAGTGAAACGATGAAACCAAGCTTTGGGAGCTTGCTTTAAGCCATAAAGAGCTTTGTTCAACCGACAGACATAGTGAGGATGGTCTGGATGAGCAAAACTAGTAGGCTGTTTCATATAGACAATTTCATTAAGATGACCATGCAAGAACGCATTTTTAACGTCCAACTGATGAACGGGCCATTTTCGAGAGGCAGCAATACTTAAGACAGTCCGAATTATCATAGGTTTAACCACCGGACTAAACGTTTGGTCATAATCAAGTCTAGGCTGCTGATTGTAGCCTTGAGCAACCAAACATGCCTTACATCGATCAAGAGAGCCATCAGATTTTAACTTGACTCGAAAAATCCATTTAGAGCCGATAATATTGGCAGAAGCAGGGGGAGGGACTAAGTCCCATGTATGATTAGTGAGGAGAGCATTAAATTCGTCATTCATAGCGGCACGCCATTCAGTGTATTTATTCACTTTAGTAAAGGATTTTGGTTCAGTAGGGAGTGAAGATGATGTAGAGGTAGCAGTAAGAGAGAGTATTTGTTTGGGTTTACGAGTACCATCACGAGTTCTAGTGACCATATGATGAATAGGGGGATTCGAAGTGGGAGGATCCGAAGTATGTGACGACGAAATGGAAGGTGTGGGTGCAGATACTAAAGGAACGGATGACACATATTTTTGTGAAGGAGAAGCAACCAATGGAGAGGATTCTGATGAAGGGAGGGATCGTGAAATAAGGAACGAGGGATTTTTAAAAGGAGATTGGGGAGGATTATTTTGGGGAACCGAAGAGAGTTGAGGAAATGGAAAAAAAGTTTCATAAAAAACAACATGACGGGAAGTATAGACTTTCTTAGAAACGGGATCAAAACAACGATAGTCCTTATAAGATTCAGGATAACCAAGAAAGACACATGGAGCGGAGCGAGGATGAAGCTTATGAGAAGTTAAATGAGAAAGATTGGGAAAACAGGAACACCCAAACACCCTTAAGGAACCATAGTTAGGTGGATGACCAAAAAGAAGGGAGAAAGGAATGGACCCATTTGTAGATTTAGTAGGTAAACGATTTAACAGATAGACACTAGTATGTAAAGCCTCTACCCAGAATGCATGGGGTAAGTGAGCTTGATGCAGAAGCGTGCGGATCATATTGATTAGTGTTTTATTCATGCGCTCAGCCTTGCCGTTTTGTTGAGGAGTGTACGGACAAGAGATACGCATTGTGATCCCTTAGATTTAAGAAAAGATTGAAGATAATGAGAATGAACATATTCAGCTGCACCGTCAAACTGAAGAGTTTTGATGGAAGCATTGAATTGAGTTTGAACAAGAGTATAAAATTCAACAAACTTTTGAGGAACCTCGGATTTATTTTTAAGAGGATACACCCATAAATAATGAGTGAAATCATCAAGAAAGAGTACAAAATACTTGAAGCCACTAAAGGAATGACACAGAGAGGTCCTAACATCTGTATGTATAATATCAAAAGTATTAAAAGTAACCGAAGAAGAAGGCATAAAAGGGAGCTTATGATGCTTCTCAATTTGATAAGCCTGACAGAGACTAAGTTTATTTGAAGAGATCACAGAACCAGGAAGACTTCGACTGGACACTAAACTGGACAAAACGGAGGCATTCGGGTGACCAAGGCATTGATGCCATAATTGAGAAGAGACGGAAGCAGCAAACAGCGGACAAGACTGAGAAGACGGTGCAAGGGATGGATGGAGCAGTGAGGGCGGAAATGTATATAGGGAACCAATACTATTGCAACGTAGACGAGAGGTCCTCGTCCAAAGGTCCTTCACAGAAAAACCAAAAGGGTCAAACTCAACAGAGTATTGATTTTCAGTGGAAAATTGACGCACAGAGATTAGATTTTTTGTAAGCGAAGGAACATGGTAAACATTAGGGAAACGAAACTGAGAACAAGAGAGTTGACCAACGGATTGAATAGGTAAAGAATGACCATTACCAATAATGACTCGAGTAGAACCAGTATAAGGTTTTGAATTAGTGAGAGTATCTTGAGAAGGAGTCATAGTGTTACCACAAGCAGTGTCCATATACCAGGAGGAATCAGCAGATGGGGGAATAGAAGGCCGATTATTGTGACCCACAAAGTAAGTGGGCTATTGAAATTGATAGCAATGTCGAGCAGAGTGATTGAATTGATTGCACAAGGAGCACCATGTACTTGAAATCGGGTGCTGGGGAACTTTTAGCTATTGAAGCAGTGAAAAGAACCGGATGTCAATACACTGGAATTACCCTATCTGAAAAGCAACTGGAATTTGCACAATGCAAAGTTAAGGAAGCTGGTCTCCAGGTACAGTGAAAATTCATCATATGTGTATAACTAATTTAATTTAATTTGACTTTTATACTATGTAAATAAATAAGATCAAAAGAGTATAATGTTCGTTTTACACATGTTTTTACAACTAAAATGTACGTAGGATCATATCACACTCATGCTGTGTGATTATCGTCAACTGCCAGACACCATCAAATTTGACCGAATCATTTCATGGTTCATTATTAATTCGTTCTCATTAACATAATTCTTTTTTTCTTTTTTTTTTTCTCGCGCTTTTTTTGCCGTTTATTTTTTTTAATCGTAATCAATTAAATCTTCTTCAATTATTACAGTGAGATGATGGAACATCTTGGTCATGACTACTTTGAGAAGTTTTTCAGCCATTGCGACTCGGCGTTGGCAGAGAATGGGGTTATTGTCCTACAAGTAAACACTCCTTGTTCATTCGATTTTGGTTAACCTAAAAAATCTACTTTGATCATAATTTGGAAAAAAGATATTGTCAAATCTTATTAAAACCTCATAAAACCGCTGAAATAGAGTATTAAGATGAAACGGAGCGAGTAATAATAATATTGTCAGACCCTTATCTCCAAATTAAATTGCAAAATTGTCTTTATAATTTTTGACATGAGAATATTGGAGTGTTTTGGAATAATGAATTTTTGTATTCTCTATTTTCTTAGTTCTCATCAATACCAGATCAGAAGTACGAAGAATACAGAAGAAGCCCAAGTTTCATTAGAGATACATATTTCCAGGTGTTTTCGTGCCTTCGCTAACTCGACTCATGACAGCCATGACTGCTGGATCCAAGCTTTGGTAATTCAAACTTGACAACATTTCTTGTTAAAAAAAAAAAAAAACTCTCTCTTTCCGAAATTACTTTCCGATTTGAATTTTTATTTTTAGTACAAACTGAATTAAAAATAAAAATCCATATCGCACAATGATCTTGGGACGGAGGGAATTAAAAAATTGACAGTGTTTCAGATAATTTCTCAAAAAAATTGTACTCCAAAAATTGGAAAACCCCGGGAGTAAAGTGCCTCAAAATTTGCAGCGCTGAACACATGGAAAACATAGGATTTCATTACCTTCCAACGTTGAGACAGTGGAGGAAAAACTTCATAAAAAACAGAAGGTACAAGTAGTATAAAATTTTTCGTACTTTTTCTTACAAAGGTAAAACCAAATAATTAATGAAGTGTTTAACCTCAGACTGCCCGGACTTATGAAACCAGATAGGGTTAATCATCTAATTGTAGATCGTCTTTTTAACTTGGTGTAAATCATTTCTGTTTTTCAACTCTTGTTCATGATGAAATTAAAGTCAACCGTTTCTTGACTTATGCATACATTTTTTTTTCTCGATTTTGGCATACATTAAATCAACTCTTGTTCACATTCTTCACCTGCGACTGTGAGGGCTTTGCTGATTAAACTGTTAATAATAATAATGTTTATATATTATCAGTGAAATCCTTGCTTTGGGGTTTGATGAGAAGTTCATTCGGACATGGGAAATGTACTTTGACTATTGTGATGCTGCATTTAAAACCGGCGTAGGAGGGAATTATCAGGTATCTAACCCCTCTTTTTCAAACTCGAGTTTATTGTCTCCCTTTGTCTCAAAATTATTATTCAGTTTCAGATTTTATTTTTTGTACAGTTTGAACTAAAAATGAAAACTCAAACCGGACAATAATTATGGGACGGAGGGAGTATCTGTTATACTCTTTTTATTTCGGAATTATTGTCCAGGTTATAATCTTGTTTTTTTTTTATTTTTTTTAATAAATTTTAACGTATTCATAACCCCATCATTGGTGTTCGGTGTGTCGAGATTGTTTTCAGGTGAGTTCCCTTTTGTGGTAGGTTGTATTATCAAGGCCCGGCAATGACGACTTATCATCCTTTGCCGATTCATGAAATGCCGTATCAGCTCAACCTACGAATTCATGAAGTGATAATTTTCAGCATCTTAAATCTCCAAAGGCAGACGAATAATTGACAACATAAGAATTCAAGTTGAAGCCTTCGTTTTCTTATGTTTTCCTTATCTTTCAGTTTCATCATTTAATGGAAAATTGTCGATATTTCCTTTCTTTCAGTGAAATGGTTCGTCGGTTTGTCCATATAAAGAGAAGAAAAAAAACTCAATAAAAACATCACAATTTCGATGTCCGAAAAGGTTAATGTTACACAATGCTTCTTTTATTTTTCTACGCCGACTAAACTGCAAACTGCAATAGAACATAGATCGTTATAAGAAGGAATGTCCTAAGTGATAAATTCATGTGTAAAATCGGAATCTTTTAACGTGAATTTATCATAACAAACTCCTCTAGAGATAATAATTGGAAAACGAAAAGCAAACTTTTTTACTTCATGTTGGAAATGAGAGTTTGAGCTCAAATTCATCATAACAAATTTCATGAAAGGAGTACCACTGCACTAAAATTCAAGTAGATGGGCATAAATGTAGACGACGAATTGAATTTTCTTCTATGGCACTTGCCAAATTGAATTTTAGGCCCTATATGTGGTCAACCTTGTAAACCAAAAAAATTCTGTTTTCATTCAAACTCAATTTTCATGCACATTTATCATTTCAATTTTTTCTTTTTTGTATATTATTATGATTATAATAGTTATTTTTTAGAAAATATATTTTATGTTTTAAAAGAAAAGAAAAAAAACAAAACAAAATTGGATATGGAATCCTTCGCAGGAGTTGGGCTTACAATCGAAAGCAATCCCTTTCCAAAGGATTCCAATTTACTGTACAATTGGCCCAATACTTTGAGGGCCGAAATTAACATCCATTAAAAGGACTCTCCCTCTTTAGAGGCGGAAGAAGCTACACAGAGTCGCACATTACCAGACAGAAGACAGAGAAAGAAAAGAACAGAAGAGAAAGAAGATGGCGAGCGAATCTGCGGCGGCGGTAGAAGTTCCAACCGGCGGCGATGCACCACCGGCCACGACGGAGGCGGTGGCAAAGGTGCCTCACCAGCTGGAGAGAAAATGGGCTTTCTGGTGCGACAATCAATCCAAGCCAAAACAACAAGGAGCAGCTTGGGGCAGCTCCCTCCGCAAGCTCTATACCTTCGACACCGTCGAAGAGTTTTGGTGGTATGATTTTCCCATCCAAAATCCCCATTAATTATTTTCGTAAAACCCCAATTCGTTATTTAACTTTTGTCAATTCGAGTTTGTGAAACCTTATCGGATCCTAGGGTATCAAATTTTTTAAATACTCGTGTCTTGTTGCTTTTGATGGATTGATTCAACTCTAATGTGAATCGATGAAAGATGAATTCCTTAGAATATCTGACTAAATGTGCTATCTTAGGCAATTGTTTTTTTTTTTTTTTTGATAACTTTCTTCCTGTATTTGTTTAACTGTTTTGTGTTTTGAAAACTGGCTTGTAATGGTTTCTTGCTGCTATGGGAGCATAAAATATAAGCATGGCTTCCTATTATAAAATGGTTGCCGTTTTTGGTAGTAGATTCTCAGGAATGTTTATGGGGTTTTGTTCTTTTGGTTCTGTGTATTATGAGTTTTGGAGATCGGAAAGAAATTGACGTGTTACTGAATGTCTTTTGATTCTCTTGCAGCTTGTATGATCAGGTACTTAAACCCAGCAAGCTGGTGGTGAATGCGGACTTTCACTTGTTCAAAGCTGGGGTTGAACCGAAATGGGAAGATCCAGAGTGTGCCGGTGGAGGCAAGTGGACCATTACTAGCAATAGCAACAAGAAGGATGGCCTTGAAAAAATGTGGCTAGAAACTGTAAAGATCTTATCTTTCTTTGCATTTATTGTCGGTTTTTGTATATACAACGTATCTGCGGTTTAAACTATTTATTGGGTGTTCTGTTTATGTCACCTGTTAGTTAACCGTTGAGCTCTTGTTGACAGTTGATGGCTTTGATTGGTGAGCAATTCGATGAGGCTGATGAGATTTGTGGAGTGGTTGCTAGTGTCCGTCAAAGACAGGACAAGCTTTCTCTGTGGACCAAGACTGCTGCAAATGAGGCTGTCCAGGTTTTGTTCTTTCAGTTTACCGTTAAATTAAATGCGTATATCGTGTTATCATGCCGTGCCAAGTGTCTGCCGATTCTTTATTTTCAACCTGTATTGTATTTGTACTCTATGTAGTAAAGCTTGTGGTAAAATGCGAATGCTACCATAAGTGCGCTTGATGTTGTTTTTTCTTGACACGTGTTGGTGCAAGGTTTAACAATGGGAGGTCACAAGTGGCACAGTTATTGCTTTGAAGTGCATATCTAATGCTCGTTATGTTGGGTTTTAGTTTTGTTGATTTACATAGCTATAAATTCAATGTTGGAAAATATTGAGGGTGGTTTGGGGTAACATAATGGGCTTGGAGACCCAAAGCTTTTAGGAACCAAGTTTTGGAAACTTGGCACTCTTTGCTTCAGATTCAATGCTGATTAGCATGATGCTATTCTTTTTTCTGTATTTGGTTGGCCTTTTTATCAATTGGAGAAATCCAGTCCCAGCTGCTATGATAAGTTTAAAAATCTTCTTTAGTTTCAAGCTTATTAGTTGTAGTTTTATTTGCAAAATTGGAAGATTTGAAACCAAGTAATAGATGTTATTTGCCAAATCAGTACAAAGTGCTTGAAAATGATGTCAGTTGAGGTTTTTATCATCATTTTTTTCTTCTTTTTCCTGCTCGAGCACACAGAGGAATATTGATTTGTTATTTCTGTGATATAGATGAGCATTGGAAGGAAGTGGAAAGAGATCCTTGATGTTACGGATAAGTTATCCTATACTGCCCATGTGAGTTTTAGTTTTGCTGTTACATGTCTCGTGCTCCGAGTTTGCCTTGTTATTTTAATCATGTTGTGGTTTTGCAGGATGATTCCAAACGGGAACGATCAATGAAGAACAACAGATACTTCGTCTGAAGAATCTCTAGCTCGTGTGCGAGGTTTATTTCAGATGCAGCAGAAACGTTGTGGATGAGGACGATCTCATACTACAACAATATAGAAAGTTCATGAGATTTATTTGCTTGCTTGTAACATTTTGGTGCCAGTTTTGCCTATAGTAGTTTAGGGAAGCTCTTTCAAAATTATATAAGCATTGTCATTACTTTGTTAGAAGTTATGTTCCTGTGAACTGATTTACGATGGCTCTTTTTGTAGAATTTATCAACCAAAATACCCAAATTACATAGAGCTTCATTAATATTGTTGTTATTGATCCCGTAGAAATGAACTCGCTTGAGTTATAATGGGTGGTTCCGTGTTTAAGCTCATCAGTTTCATTGTCTTTTCACTTCTTTCTCCTTTCCATGGTTTCAACTTCGTTGGAGTTCTTGCCACCTTAAAACATGTACTAAGCCAGTTGCAAATAATCACTTGCAATGGTTGAGTATATCTTGGATTTTTCCTTTTGCTTTAGAATTCACATTGCACATAGAAGAATTTATTCACCAAGCAGATGATGATCAGCATAATCTATATCAAGAAATGTGGTTGATTTCAAGCGTTTCGCTAAGCAAAGATAGGAAGCCACATTTGATAGAAGTGGTATTCTAAAGTATCTTCTATTGCGATTTCAACAACAAAGGATGAAGAAAAGCAAACCAAAAATTACAGTCACAAGTGTAATTTAATAAATAAAAATTCTAAAAAGAGAGGAAAGTGATTGAAATATATGGTTGTTTTTTGCGTCCTGTGATGAAGGAGGTGATCTACTAGGGTTTATACAAATCTCTCTGAGCTTAGAAAATGTGCTCCCTTAGCCATGGATATGGCATTAGGAGAAATCAGTGAAGGTCCAAAAATCAAGCAAGGAAGCCAAGTTTTTCTCCATTCTTCTTTGCTAATCGAATTAGCCCTTGTCTTTGTTTGTTGTCTGCTCCAATTGTTTTGCAGAATTCATTTATCACCTGCAAAAATAAATTTCATTCATTTATGAGTCACAATTGAGTCACATGTTCAAATGGCAGGACACGACCAGCTACAAATTTGTACTAAACACCGTCCCAGTATACAGTCTTAGTTAAACAATAATAGTCCCTAAAGGGGATCAGTCTATTTCCCAATTGTTTAAATCTCAGTTATCAAGTAGTGTTAAATTTGGGAATAAATACAGAGAAAAACACAAGATGTACATTATTGTGACCAATTTGGCTTAATTGACTTCTTTAAGATGAAAAATCAATCAAAAGGGATTAAATTAAAACAGAAATTTATAGGAAATATTACTCATTTCTGCTTTAATTTTAGAAATATGACGCTATCATATATTCTCTCTGTCTCAAAATTATTGTCCACTTTGGTTTTTTTTTTTTAGTTCAATTTGTAATTGAATTAAAACTACAAACTGGACAATAATTATGGGACGAGAAAGTACTAAAAGTTATATTTACTCTTTTTCGAATTAATAACCAAGACTATTATTTCGAGATAGAGTGAATATTAATCCTGACCTGAGAGTGTAAAGAAATGGCTTTGCCTCTCAATTGATTGAATCTCTTCTTCCCAACAATGTCACGAACCACAACAACAATGGGAGCAAACAAACCTTTCCCTGCATTCACGTTTCCCATCATCGGCCGTGATCTCACCGGCTTCCCCACCACCCGAACTTGACCGGCAGGAACCACCGTCTTCGCCGCCAACATGGAATAATCTTCACCACCCAGTAAAGATGATTTCCCCTGCCAGCAGCTCCCGTGGAAAGATGAAGTTAAACCAGTAGCGCAAATCGATGTTGCCATTGTTTCACTCAATATTTTTAAACACCTGTCTTTACGAAAGTCGAAAGTCTGAAAACTGAGAATCGAGCGTTTTTGCTTTTTCGACCTTCTTTTTTTTTTCTTTTCTTGCAACTACAATATCAAGTGTAGCTAGTTTGGAAGGATTTTGTTTAATGCTGTGGTTCTTAGGTAAAAGATTTTGTGTGATGAAGAGGATTGGTGAAGTGGTGTAAGAAGCAGAGCCTGTGGTTTATATTGGATGGGAGAGAAATGGGAAATATGTGAAGGAGATATTATTAGCCACACACATGCATTTTGTTTTTTTTTTTTCATTTTTCATTTCTGAGTCAATTTGGATTTTTCTTTTCTTGCCGTGTATTATTTGGAAAATTAAAATGTAAAAAATAATTAATTTTGTTTGAATGGAATCTTCCCTCGAGGATCTTTTTCTTCAATTTGAGTGGTTGTTTCCTGTCCAGGTGGATCTATTGAACTCAGATATTCATCTTCTAATTTGTTGAATGCACATATAAATTGGTCATAATTCGTGGCAAATTCAAATAGTTAATGAGAAATGGGGAAGAAAACGTGTGTTATTTTACATCATATGCAAAGTACTTCTTCCATTTTATAAATATAATCCCTTTTTTTTCAAATGTAAATGGTACAATACAGAGGGCCTTTTTTTTTTTGGAAATAAATTGTCTTTTATTTTTCGGCCTGAGATAAAGCATATTAGCCAAATGGTTGTTTTTTTTAGTCACTGAGATCATTTAATTAATTCTTTCAATGAGCTTAATGGGAAACCCATGGGGATTCTAAGTGAACTTTCTAAGAATATTGCACCGAATGTAACCATTTAACTCACGACTAATCCATAAGAAATTTAGAGCCATAAAGCATGTTAGTAAATATATATTTAAATTATCAAAGTAAGATATAAAACAAAATTATAATCTTTCTAATAGATAAAAGAAAGAGTTTGAGAAATGGAAATTGGATTGGGGCATGATAAAGGTGCTATCCTAAGAAGAGATACGTCCCTTCCATATAGAGTTTGTCAGCGTTCTTTTCCGAATATACAACAATCTCCATAGGAGTTTCGGTGGTGGCACAGCTTTCTCTATTGTGAACGATCATGATCCGACTTGTCCAACTCAGATATAGAAAATGGGTTTATGAAATATAAAATCTTTGAAACTTTGTTTAACAAAAACAAGTGCTAAGAAAATCATTTATAGGAATACTTTTGTCAAAAATGAGTAGGAGAAGAAGGTTAAGAATAACTTGACTAATATTACTTGTTCTCCTCTTTCTCCATCACACAAGTTTAAATATATAGTCAACAATACTTTTAGCAGCAACAACTATAATCCCCTAGTATTTAATTTCAACAATAACACCCACATTTATCCCATATTTATTTTAGAAATAATGTTAGAAGTAATGGTATTAATAACAACTCTAATTTTTAATAATGAATTAAATATGTTTCCAACAATCCCCCACATAATTCAATATTAAAAATATTTTGAAACATTTTGATATAAAATTTGTTGGGCAAAAATACCATGCAATAGGTGATATGTGTCTTCTGGACTTGAACCTTCGCTTAGTGACAACTAGGTCCATATGGAGAATCATGGTAACGTATAGTTTCGAACCAGACTCTTTAATCCAAATTTTCCAAGTAGCACACATGGTATGGATAGTTAGATCAGTTCTAACGGTTGTGCGCTCTTAACAGCCATGTGCGAGTATCTTTAATTCATGAATACTATTTAGGGATTAGCCTTGATCTCAGAGTAGCGACCTCACTACTAGCAATCATATAGGTAAGTCCTCCAAGAATGTTTGTGATTTACACCCTGTACATTTGTGTCTCAGACTCATTCAGAGATATACTCTTCTTTTTTTCCATCACAAATATCAACACACATCTTAGGAATGAGAAAGGAATATTTTTCTTTATATATGTGTTTTGATAATAGCCATCTATGTAGTTTCGTTTGTACCTATTGAACTTCCTTCATGGGATCTCCAATCACAGAGGTTAGGTGACCACTATAATGACTTGTTCATAGGCTTTAAATCCCATTCCCCTTGATGATTTAGTAAGCCAATCTTTTGTAAAGATTTTGGCTAAGTTATTTTATGCCCCACAATCAAGACTTGTCTTGACTTAGCAAATATTTATACCATACTTCTGATACCAGAGATATATCTCATTTTTCCAACTGTTATCCAAAATTCATCCCGACTTTGTTGAGCTTTGCTCGATTATAATCCTTCCCGACGTTGAAGAAAATTGATTTTCTCAAATATATTAAATATGGGGCTAATATTGGACCATCTGTTTTATACTTTTACATATCCCCTTCACTTGTAAATGCACCGTTTTAGCTACTTTAATTCCACCCAATATGATATCTTATTTTTATTAGACTTTTTGGGTCACATTTGGATTTGTAGGCACCGCTAACTGTGTACAGTTTTATTTCATTATTTGACAACCACCACAGTTTAGTAGTCAGTATTTTTACTATTAGAAATCACCATGAGAATGACCAGTAGTCTACTATTAGGAACTACTAAGTAGCCAATAGCCTCACTACTAGGAATCAAAATATGATGATAAATAATGTACTATTAGGAGCTACTAATTTCAATTGTATTTACGTTGTTCGTTGCTGGCCAATAGTCTTTGTTCCTACTAGGAGTCATTCATGTTAAAAATAGTCACAAGCCTTTTCTATCTTGTAGAAATCATATATTTGGGTCATTCTCAAATGATGCTAATGATGCAAAAACCGACATCTCACAGAATTTACTTACGTAACAATGATAAGTTTTCAAAATTAATTCATTTTTTATGTTAAATACAATTAGCAAACCTGACAAGTATCTCGACTCTTAGAAATCAAATCATCTCTAAAGCCTTGAATTTATCATTTGTAGAATCAAATAAAATGCAATTGATGTAGTGTAATTGTAAATGCATTTATAATACATACCATAACTACTCAAATCATCTCTAAAGCCTTGAATTTATCATTTGCAGAATCAAATAAAATGCAATTGATGTAGTATAATTGTAAATGCATATATAATGCATACCATAACTACTCAATTATGATACTCTTATCAATTAAATGTTTACAACATAAATATAATTTTTATCTCCACTTTTAGTGCTATTCTTACACAACTCGGACATGTGTTAGCTTTAAGATTTCCAAATGAATTTTTTTGTCATTTTAAATTGCCACATATATTCTCAAGACATTCTCATGAGTCATGATGGACTATTTTTTATTTCAAACAGAACAAGACAAAATTACACTTGAATAAAAGTCTATATGACATTAATACTTTTTTTAAAAAAAAAAATACTGATAAACCACATAAATTTATTTCAATGCCCTCAATAAAATTCCATCACAAATTAAAAGTCCTTAGAAAAATATAAAATACTCTAAATATATGTGAATGCACACAATTATAAAAAATATATATTTAGGAAATAAAACACACACAAAAACTATGACACAACTAGTGTTAGTGCATGTATATACACACAAACCTTTTTTCCAGGACCATTAATTACCATTTTGATGACCAAATTAAATTGGTTTTCAATTGAATTATTAATTTCTCAAAGAAAAACCGTTACCAAAAACTACTTGAAAGCTTTTGTGAAAATTCATAATTGTTGGTCAAATGGTTTTATTAGTATAATAACTGCCATTTATTATTTTAAAATCAAGAATGACCATTTAAAAATACTAGAAGAAAATGGAAGTTTTAAACCATAAACTAGAACAATATTTTCCTTACTTTTATTTATTTATTAAACATTTTATTTTCAGTTAGCATTTCATTTGATCAAACTAAATGCAGGGCGCCGAGTTGGCATGAGCGGTAATAGCAAATAAATTTTTTTTTTCATGACCCGTGATTATCTATTCAAACATGCTGCAAAACTTAGTTTATGGACTCAAAGATAAAACCAACTTTGAAAAAAATTTCTTCATGAATGAAAAAATACAACAAATATGCAAACCACGAAGTTGCAAAAACTATATATTTTTTATATAAAATTCCCCACACACATGATTACATAAGTAAATTTATGCAAAATAATAATTAAAATAATCGAGACATCAACAAATAAATTCCACACGTTAAGGCCATTTCTTTACGTTTCATGGTTGAAAATAATCATAAAAACACACACACAAAAAACCATAACTACATCTACTTTAACATGATGTAAAATTATTTTCATGCCACATTTAAATTTTAACATTGTGATAAAATTATGAAAAATACAGCAACAAGTAATTTTAGTTTGGCAGAACCATTATTCTTAAAATTAAAACTTTCTTACTCATTTTAACCTTCTCATAATTTATGTGGAGACTGAAGCAGGTGAACACTCCAACTTAGCAGCACTAAGGGGCAGATTGTCGGACTGAACAAAATTTTTCCTTACTTTTATTTATTTATTAAACATTTCATCGTCATTTCAGTCAACATTTCATTTGATCAAACTAAATGCAGGGTGCCGATTTGCCATGAGCGGTAATAGCAAATAAATTTTTTTTCATGGCTCGTGATTATGTACTCAAACATGCTGCAAAACTTAGTTTTATGCACTCAAAGCTGAAACCAACTTTGAAGAAAATTTCTTCATGAATGAAAACATGCAGCTAATACGCAAACCACGAAGTTGCAAAAACTGTATATTTTTTTATATAAAATTCCCCACATACATGATTACGTAAGTAAATTTATGCAAGATAATAATTAAATTAATCGAGACATCAACAAATAAATTCCACGTTGAGGCCGTTTTTTTACGTTTCATGGTTGAAAATAATCATAAAAACACACACACAAGAAACCATAACTACATCTACTTTAACATGATGTAAAATTATTTTCATGCCATATTTAAATTTTATCATTCTGATAAAACTATGAAAAATACAGCAACAAGTAATTTTAATTTGGCAGAACTATCATTCTTAAAATTAGAACTTTCTTACTCATTTTAACCTTCTCATACTTTATGTGGAAACTGAAGCAAGTGAACACTCCAACTTAGCAGCACTAAAGGGCATATTGTCGGACTGAAGCAAATCCAAAGCGTAGTCACTTTTGCCACTGTATGAAATAACTAATAGATTATCTCTTCTTAGATTGTTAGTAAATATATATTTAAATCATCAAAGCAAGATATAAAACAAAAATCATAATCTTTCTAGTATTGAGGCATGCCAAAGGCGCTGTCCTAAGAAGAGATACGCCCCCTCTACACAGTAACTGCGTTCTTTTCCGAAAATACAACAATCCCCATAAGAGTTCCGGTGGTGGCAGAGCTCTCTATATTATGAACGATCATGATTCGACTTGCCCAACTCAGATATAGAAAACGGGTTTATGAAATATAAAATCTTTGAAACTTTGTTTAACAATAACAGGGGCTAAGAAAATCACTTATAGGAATACTTTTGTCAAAAATGAGTAGGAGACGAAGGTTAAGACTAACTTGACTAATATTACTTGTTCTCCTCTTTCTCCATCACACAAGTTCAAATATATAGTCAAAATACTTTTAATAGCAACAACTATAACCCCTTAGTATTTAATTTCAACAATAACCTCCACATTTATCCCATATTTATTTTAGAAATAATGTTAAGAGTAATGCTATTAGTAACAACTCTAATTTTTAATATTAAATTAAATATGTTTTTTAACAAGACATTCTAAAGAGTTGCGAAATTAACCAAAAATACGTGTTTATTAGATTTATCCTTTTTTTAGCAGTATAAATACACTGAGATGTTCTAAGGACTTGTTTGATAAAGCCACTTAATGCTTAAAATTATTAGATTGAGTATTTTTTTATTTCAGTATGGTTGATAACAAAAAATGAATCTCTTAATGAACTAAATGATGCTGAAACTGCAGTACAAAATATAACCAATAAAAGTTAGCTCATTGCTTATTCCCTAACTGTTTAATAAATTTAGTGTTTTTAATTCAGTATTAAACTTTCAAAATTAAGCACTAATTTTTATCAAACAGGTCCTAATAATTTTTTGACCCTGCTAAGACTAAAATAATAGTATACTTTTAAAACAGATATCTCGAGTGTAAGATTAAATACTAGACAAAAATATTTCAGACACCCATTCTTATAATTTCGTAAGTTTTACGATTCAATTTTCGAAAGCCAAGGAAACCGATTGAGCTGTTATACATATGCTAAGTGCCAACACTAACTACTAAAATTGGTTAATGTTAATAGTGTTAATCTTCATGTTAGTCTATTGACACTATTTCTCTCTAAAATATGATTTGGATTCAGATGTATTCGAAATCCTAGACTAGGTAACACATAGTTTAACATCGACTATCAAACTTACATATAATACAACCAATCCAAAAGGTCTAGTACTTGTTTGTTTGTTCACTTATTTTACATTTTAACTCATTTTACCTCTTAAACACAAAATTCAATGGAAAAGAAAACATCATCCAAACAACTTTCTAATTTACATTTTAAAATCCAATTTGAAAGACTTTTTGTTAGTGTAGTGACCATTTTTTGGAACTAAAAATAGTTCGGTGACTAAATCTAAAACTTTGCACACTTATTTCAATTTGCTTCTAGTCAAAAAATACTTTCTACAATTGATGGTGGTTAGGAAAAAGTTTTTTTGGAATATGTATTGAAATATCAAGTCAAAAAAATCATTAAACAATCGAAAAGTGTCAATTTTGGTCATTGTAAAAAAAGAATTTCAAAAATTATTACTAAACAACGGAAATGTGTCGATTTTGGTCACTGTAAAATATTAATTTTAGAAACTATTTCGTGATTTTAGTGATCATTTTACAGTTGTTTAGTGATCATTTTTTAAATTCTTACAGTGACTAAAATGGGATTTCCATTGTTGAGTGATTGTTTTGAAAAAGTTCAACTTTGTAGTGACTAAAATGGGATTTTCATTGTTGAGTGATTGTTTTTGACAAAGTTCTTTTTTGCAGTGATTATAATTGACAGTATTTAATTGTTTAGTGATGACTCTTACTTGATATTTCAAAATGTAGTTCAAAATATTTTTTCCAAAAAAATTTCCAAATAACAGGGAGGAGCCCAAGGAGGCCAATGGTCTTACTCAATAACTTTTCTTTTGATGTTTAAATGTGAAATTGTAGGGTAATATTTCTGGCTCATATGAGACCAAATTGGACAAAAAGCTTTGGATTCTATACAAAGACGTGTACAATATAATTAAGCGGCTTTGAACTTTCTTCAAGTTTTCTGAATATGAACATTAATTTTTATTCTTGGACATGAGAGATTATTTCAGGTAGAAAATACTCACAAAATTACAAAGTTGATGGCTTTGAATCAACTTCTGACCGTAAATGTATATGTCGGAAGAAAGTTCTTGGAATTAGTTGTTAGTACTTAGTGGTGATGTTTGTTGATAGCAGACTTTTCCGGTTTCCAGCTCATGAGTTGAATTCTTCCGTCTTAAGTTCGTGTTTCCAATTTCTTGATACATTTGGTCGGAAATAGAAAGTGTTGTGGTTTCTGTTCATATAGACACATTCACATATTCTAACCAGGCTAATTTGCACGTCTTTAAATGTTACAAATTAAGAACAAATAATTTTGAGACCCAAAAAAAAAAATACTCCCTCTGTCTCAAAATTATTGTCCAATTTGAGATTTCACTTTTAGTATAATTTGAACTAGAAATGAAAATCCAAACTGGACAATAATTATGGGACGGAGGGAGTACCATACAATGGTAAAAAAAAGTTCTCATATTTTGTGGATAATTTGTGAATGTGAAACAATAATTTTATGTTAGTGGTAATTTTATTTTTTCATAACCTATTTCACCCTATATTTTCCTATCGTTTTAACATTACGATAAAGAACACAAGGTTAAGTTATTTTCACTCAAGAAATAAGATAGTAAATGTCAATATTACTAGATATTTAAATGGCTATATCGGTTTTAACTTTATGAGATTTTGGAGTTCAAAATAACATTATTTTAGACGCTGAAATCTCTTGTTGCTATTGGAAACTCAAAATAAATCAGTTCTTTGTTAGACGAGTAGACAACATTGTTTTTAGACAACGTTGTTTTTTGTTTATTTGGTCCGCAAAGGGGATTGTGATTGAGAAATACTCTCTCTGTCCCAAAATTATTATTCAGTTTGAGATTTCACTTTTAGTATAATTTGAACCAAAAAAAATGAAAAGCCAAACGAGACAATAATTATGGGATGAGGGAGTAACTTAAATACCATCATTAACTAGAGAGGTCGGTGTTCGTGGAGCAGAAAACTCTTGGGGCAAATTTACTTTAATCTCAAAACTCAAGGGACTAAATATTTCTTAAAAAGTTATAATACTGAGTCAGAAAGTCAAGACAAGAAGTGAAGGCGAAGAATCCTTTTGGGGCAAATAAGGTGACGACAAAACAGGTATCTTGAAGAAAGTCCACTCTGCCATTCTGACCAAAAATCACTCCTCCGATCGACCCTGCATTTTTCGCCGCATTGTTTCCTCGTAGAATTAATTCCGACAGGGAAAGGGAAAGGAAACGATCGGCGAATCAGAAATCTTCAATTTTCAGAGAACCCGGGTAAAAAATGGTGTTATTCACAATCCATTTCTTGGCATTCGTTTTTCTCATGGCAATAGGAATCCGCCGTGTTGTATGTTCATTCACTCTGTATCTGAAGAACCCATCTCAATATGCATCGAAACCATGGTATTTTTCAGAACACAGATGGCAAAACTGTGATTTCTATGCTCTCCTCATAGCCCTCCCAATTGGTTCATTCATACTGCTTTACCTCTTCCTTGCAATTTCAGGCCAGCCCAGTTTTAGATTCTCATTCTTGCAACAATCCTTTGTGGTTTTCTTGTTCTGGGCCTTTTTAATTTTCATCATTTTTAAGGAAAGTTTCAATCTTTACGTTATTCCTGAGAGCATTGTGTTTATAGTTGGGGGCATTATGCTTCTGATTGAGTATTTGATCAACGGAAAGGGACTTATTGGTCTTGGTGCTGGTGTGTATGAACAATTAGGTGGAATTACTTTTGTTTGCGCTGCTTCATGCTTGTACTTGTCATTGAGGCCTTCAGCGTTTTTTGCTGATTATTTGTTGTCTTGTGGGCTGGTTTTGAAGTCTCTTTGGGTTTTGCAAGTGGGATTGTCATTGTATACTGATGCATTTCATCTAAAAGGGTGTGACAAGATTACTGTCCAGCCAACTCAAGGGCTGGTTGATGTTAAGTGTGAGCTTGAAGAGGATAAGTTGAGGGGAGTTGCATTGATGAATTTGCTTTTCACTGGGCATGCCTTGTTGGTTCTGGTAGCTAGCTTTGGTCTGTTTGGGATGTTGCACTGGATTAGCAAAGCAAGGACTGGGGAAGCAAGTGGACCTTTACTTGCTCAAATTCGATCCGATGATGTAGTGATGAATCAAATCCCTGTCTTTGAGATAGAATGAGGCATAAGCAAGTTTCCAGGTGGATTTCAATCGGTTGTCTTCAGAAGAGTTTAGTCATTATCTAGAGATAGGTAAATATTGATCTTGCGATTTACTTTTATTTTTTTCTCCCTTCCTATACTGCTGGAATAGGAAATTTTGGTGTAATTATAATTCAATGAAATTGAGTCAATCTTCTTTGTTCTCATTCATAACAATTACTTAAATGTGGGGTGCATGAGTTTAAAATTTCAAGGCTATATTATAGCTGTAAAGTATCATTTTTTGTGACAAGTAAACTCAAAAAATAGCAGAAACTCAATGGATACCTAAATTTCACATTTCATAAATTTTGGCGCATGTGTTCCTTTAAAGTTTTGACAATACTGGGACCAAGTAAAGGACAAGGTATCACTAAGTTCATGGCTGTTCTTCCCAAACAGCATTGTATCTTTGATATTTCCTTTTTCAATACTCAGTGAATTTGGTAATGGTTGAGAATGCCGATCACATGTTTGGATTTTTTGGATTTTTCTGGTTTGACATATGTAGATATTGATACACTTCTGTGTTGGGATTTATGAAAGAAATAGATCCATATATGTCTGTTTTAACTTAAATGTATGTTTTCCAGTAGTAAGTTATTTATGGCATTCACGCAATAATAAGTTGCGTCCTTCGTACATGATGAAAAATTTTGGATATCAAAAGGCAAAGAGTAGGACAGGCATTGTCAATAGCTCTTAAAACTGACTGCTTTATCGCTGATGATACCTGAACAATCACTATTCCTATAGATGTGTGCTATTCTAGCCTTTCGTATCTTGTGAGGGAAGAAAACCTAGGGAAACTCAACCACTTCCTGCGGAAGCGACTAAACCATTGGATTCTGATTCTTGATCGAATTCTTTTGATCTTATTGATGAAGTTATATCTTCTTTTCAGTAGTTTGGGTCTTGAGAAATTTAACAATTTCCTTAAGGCTTTTGATCCTGAACGAGTAAATAGACATGTGTTAGCTGAAGGCGCATTAAAAACAACAGAAGATTGAAATAATAGATAGGAAAAGAAAGTAAGACAGTTATCACAAGAAAATCTTCTGCCATATTGATGTGTATAATATTTTCCAATAAAGTCAGCTCATTTCTTTCTCGTTGATGTGGCATTTATGATGTTTGAGCAAACAAGTGTGAAGCTTGTGTGTAATTTTCTTGTGTGGTTCAGCAATGTGTTTCACATACCTCGACTCTTCTTTTTAATTGGATGTTCATCTTCCGTCCCAATCTTGTTTAGTACCTGCAAGAAAGTAGGTAAAGAGGGCTCATAAGATTCATTGTGTTGCTGTATTGAAGGTTGTATTTGCTTTGAAAAATTTTATGCTGTGTATCTGGTGAGATGGGGAAATGGGTTCCAGGGGAATGCATTACACACGATTCATGTCTAGTTACCTCAACCAAGTTTTCCAACCGCTGTCTCATTCTTCTTTGAATGAAACCTCGTGTGCTCTGTTTCAGGAATAATGTCAGTCCCTAAGGTGGAATTGGAATCTTCTGGGTTCTGGCTGAAGAATGTACTTTTACCTTGACATGATATTTTACAAATGCATGGAAATTTAATAGGTTCCACACAGTCTTCTCTAGCCTCTTGCCTTCAACATGTCTTGATGTGATTTCTGCCAATATTATCATGATAAAATTTCAGATTTGAGCTACCGAAGTATGAACTAGTTCATTGGAAAGATAAACCTAGTTTGCTTCCTTCTTATCTCTGCAATCCTGCCTTCTTATTTTGTTCTAGTGATCTGTAACGTGCGCGTGCACGTGCGTGTGTGTGTTTGTTTGGGGTGGGGGGAGGGGGCTAATAGTATTAAGCTTTTCTTTTATGTAAGCCATAAAGCCTGGCAAACTAATATTCAGGATCTTTCTTTTAACTTTCCTTTAAATTAAAGATATAAACCACAATGCAATCTATTGTTTTGAGATGAAATGGAAAGTAAGAAAGTTAAGTTAGTACCAAAAGAAACAAATCCCCCATTGGTGCTTAAGTCTTCAATGGGCTCTCCTCTTAGCTCAGGTGGTGGAATTGGAGACCAGGTACAACGGGGTGCTTTCTCAAATGCTTTTGAACTTCCAACATCCATGAGTTCCTAACATTGAAAATATTTTCTGAATATTTTGGAAGATTTACTATAGTTAACTGTAAATGGTATCCTGTATGAATAAGTTTTTTGTATTACCTGAAAGAAGGCTGTTGAAATAATGACATCTGTATCTTCTTTGAAGCGCATAGGGAATACCGCAGTGATCTTTTCTGGCTGTTGAGGAATTTTAATGTAATTATGTGTAAGGTACACAATGGCTATAGAAAAAAATTTGTTTTGCCTTGGAAAACAAGATTTGGTCTTTTATTCCCTTTAAGTGCTCTATATACTGATGGTGCTTTTTATCCAGTAGATTCTGTCTGTATCAGCAGATTAATGTGATGCTCTCCTGAATAGAAAGTCCAATGCCCTTAAAGGCAAGATAACACTTGTACGTTTCCTTTTATATCTAATTATTGCTATACAAAATCAGCATCACTAGTGATACTTGGTACTGGTATGACAACCTGCTTCTTAAATATTTTTGCAGAGAAGTGGATTTGGTTGTAAACAGGTTGTGTTCAAGTCTACTCAATGGTTCTTTATTTTACAGTGCAACCTCACTTATTGATTGCAAAGATTCTGGTTTAAGTCTGTTTTCCAATTTTACTGTATCCTTTCCTGCTGTTGATCATGGAGAAAAAGATAGAAGAGTTAAACATACCTGTCTGATGACAAAGAAAAGCTCCCTAGGGTGGTAAATAAGTCTGATTGGTCTGAACATTCCTTGAGACACCTCTAGAGAATTAACATTCACTAGCATATCTTTCAGCTGCGAGCTCAGTATAACTCCTTGAACGGAGGCGATGCTTGCTATCATCTTTCCCGCATCTAAAAGACTCATTTCATGCAATTTTGGTAAGTCATTAGTTGTCATCAAAGACAATGTCATTTTTACTCAGTTTTCATCTCAATTGTTCACTTTTCTCTCTGTTAAAGTTTTTAACATATTCTTGATTTGTGGCATTTGGAATCAGTTATATGGAACATGTTAGAGGAGTTTATGATGGATCTCAAAAGAGATAATAAAGCAAAAGTAATCATTGACCTTTCTTTCTTGGAATTCTTGAGAAGTCAAGTCTTAAGGTCAGCTGGTATCCTTCATTTGGAGGTTCAATTATCTCCACCACATCAGGACAAATTCCCCTTACCATCTCCAGAGTATAACGTGGTAATCCAGTTGAAAGAACGAACTCTTGATGTAGGAGCGGAGTTGATATGGACAAGTAGGCGATTTGTGGATGTGATGCAGAAGCCTGCATTACATGAAAGTAAGTTTCTCCTTGACCTTTTGAGATTGCAATTTGTCTACAACCATGAAATTTTTGCATGTTCTGTTTTTAGAAATTTTTGTTTGTCAATTTATGTATTATGGATTTTTCTTTGGCAAAAGGAGTAGTGTAGTGGACCTTTTTATCATTTTGATTTCCTTGCACTTAGAGGAACTGTAGGTGTAAGGTTTTTGCTGCATTAGGATAGCTGAGACCTATTCTTCACCAGAGCTTAGTAAAAAAACTCTTAGCATTTGCATTTTCATACTGAAACAACTGTATTAAATGGAAAAGGTCGTAAAGAAACTAGAATGAGAGACAGGAGAGTGGAAGCAAGGGTAAAGCATGGATCAACAAAATACATTTAGTTTAATTCTACAGAGACAGTTGGGAAGTCATAAGAAACATGCATGTCTCAAAAGAATTGATCCTCAGTTTTACATGCATTTCTAGCCTGCCTTAGTAAAACAATAGTGAGGTTCAAAAATTATGGATTTGTACCTGTATATGATATTCAACTGATCCAAATTCATGTGAATGGCTATCAATCTCCAATGGTTTTTCAGCTCTGCATCAGGACAATCAACAGCTTTTGTTAGTGTAACAGCTTTACGAGATCTTAAATATATACTATGAAATTCTGAAACATAATTCTTGGAGATAAACCAGAAACTCCATCTTTTGAAAATTGTTAATTTTGTTGTGAAATGGTAAACAAAAATGCACAAGAGAAGCCTGCTGGTGTCTGATTTGGATGGATCTCATCAACCTTAGCCATGTTACCATGCCAAAAAAAAAAACTGTACACATTCGATGCGTTCGACTAACCTGTATAACCTGAGCAGAATCTCCTTCAATGCAGGTGATTCCCTTTGAAAACATGCCATCTTGTGTCAGCGGTGTAAATTTTTTGTTTGAATTTGAACAAGAAGAAGAATGCATTGCAGCTTAGCTTATCTACTACTGATGGATGGCAGAGAGCAGTTTTTGAGTAAAATGGAAGTCTTTCTAATGCAATCATGCTTTTCAAGTTCTGAAGCAATGTACGTGTTTGTTATCCTCCACTCACAACCAATGCTTACAACCAAAGAAAAAGTACTAGGCTCATCAGCATCTTCTGTTAGCATTCTTCTCCCAGACCTAGAATCAGCTTGTACAAAATTCATCCCTCAAATACTAGAGAAATGGCAGTTGGTACACCTAGCCTAGTAGTAGTGTACAAGTATTCCCCCTCTAAATGTACAAGTTATTAGCAAATAGCCCGCTAGTCCCATTTCAATAGTTTTCTTTATTGAACTAAAAGTATAATGTGATTACTGTTAAATGGGACCGGGGATATACTAAACATCAAATTATCTATGTACAATCATGCCAATAATGGTATTAACAATAAAAGAAATATTAAAGAATTGTTTTTGATGACTTAAAATACTTCAATTACTTCTAATGAAGAAGATTACTAGGCAAAACTACCGAATTCCAATAGACGAGTACATGGTTTGATTCATAATTAAAAAACCGCCAACATCAATTGCGACATAGACTGCTTCAAAAATGAACAATTTGGCTAAGAATTGAATTGTTTATGGGAGTCTGCAATAATCTGATTCATTACCAGCTTTAATTAATGAAAAAAAAAAAAAAAAACTACTCCTGCAGTCATAAAATGATAGTCTTTATAGCCAGAGGCATGAATGCCAGATAGATTATCTTTAAAAATAGTAGTGAGTGGCTTAATTGGTTCATTTATTAAATAAAGTAATCAACCAAGAAAAAGCAAAAAAAATGGAGAATGAATGTGTGAGAGTTTTTTTATAAAGCCAATCCAACCAGAAAATGGAACATTTGCATATTGCAATTGAATTTGGTATCTTTCTTTGGTTGCACAATCCAAACCAAATTAAGCCACTTTGAATGGTGTTGGTGTTGTGTGGCCTTTCACAATCATGAAAGCTTCGAACTTTGTCACAACATGTTGAATGTGAGGTCACATGAAATCAAAGAAAGAAGCAAAATGTCACTGCTAAATTGCAAATCATGTCTGACTTAGTAAAATTGCCACCTTTTCCCAACCAACCGAACTTATCTTCTTCACCAATTGTGAAGATTTATTGAAAAAGCAAGAATAACAACGAGGAGCAAAAATTAGCATTCTGCTAAAGGTAGATATTTTTGTTGGGATAATATTATCTTTAGCCCATTAATCTTTGCCTTTTATGTTTATAAGAACTTTCTTACATGACATTTATATTACCTTTGAAAAAAGATTATACTTATATTACATGTTTTGATATGACGTTAACTTATATTTATTTTTCCACTGCTAATGTCTTTTTTGATGAAACACTAATCACAGTCAACCAGTAAACGATATAATGTCATTAACATTATGTAATTCGTGTATTTTGTATTGTAGCGACAACATTTTTATACGCAAATTGTTTTTCCTTTGTCTATTATCTTCATTTTCACCTATATTATCTTAATGTCTCAAGTGTTGGACACAATCCAATAATCCTAAAACGGTTTAGGATAAGTTAAAATTTGGCTGTTTTGAGAAGCTCCATTCAAATAGTCCATGGCCTTTACCATGTCAATTGGGTTGCTTGCTTCTTTGTTTTTTTGCCCTGAATTAGCCTTGTACTCCAAGATTAACACAATTAATTTTAAGAATTTCTTCAAGAACAAGACACCATAATTTAAGGAAACCATTTCCTCAATATTCCAAGGTTTTTACTAGTTAGAGTTCAATCTCTAAAACAAACACAAAAACGATGACTTAGTGGTAAAATTTCTAGATTAATTTGCCTTTTTAATGAAGGCATTTCTCCCCAGATCTGAAGGGATAATTATTTGTTTACTGGCCCTACAAATAAATAAACGACCCCCATACTTTGTCAATTGTCCCTTCCTAAGTTAACTACCATTCCTAGACGCATTCAAAAAAACTCTGAATTCCGAAATTACAATCTCATTAAATAACAAAATTTGTCAAACACTGACAACGAAAGTGAGGGCACAAATCTTTAGAAAAAACATTTCATTTCTTTTAGATTCTGATCCTTTAAATTCAGGGTTTTGCATCAAATTGTTGTTTTCTTTTCTTTTTTCTCCTTTCCCCCTAGAAGAAATCTCTTGTTGGTTATGATCAATAATTTTTCTTGGAAAAAGGAAAACCCAGAATGTTTTCTTGATGCAGTATATTCAATTGAATTGTCTTATCTTAGCTGGTAAAAAACAATATCTGACAAAGTATTTCATTTCCTAGAAGGGATCAATTTTTTGTTGTTGTGGTTGTTTTCCTAGAATCTTCGTTTGAACTTATCTTTTGATGAACTGAATTTATCCCCTGTTTTGGGTTTGAAAAACTGCATCGGCTATCTGGGCTCATGCAAATGGGTTTGATGAATGAAATTTCCTTGTCAAAATTGAATCTTTACGAATCTACAGCTGTAAAGCCTTGATTTTGATGATTGGTATGAGATGGGTTTTTTGATTTGAGGTTTCAAATCACCTTCTTTTTGTTCTGTCTTTATGGTCTTTGATTCGTTTGTTTTGAGGTGTAAATATTAGGATAGTGGTGGTTTGTGCAATGGATAGGAATGGTGAGAGTGATAAAAAGGAGCCTTTAAATGGTTTAGACTCTTCGAAAACTGCGTTGAATGGCGAAAGAGAGGAGGAGTGCGATGAATCACAGTCATTGTTGCCTCCAAAGAAAGGGGGGTTATCTAAGAAGAAATCAGGGAAGCCTAGAAGGAAAGTTCAATGGAATGATAGTAATGGAGATAAACTTGCAGAGGTTTTGGAATTTCAACCAAGGTAATGAGAGTTTGGGCTTCTTTTATGTTCTATTCAATAGTAATCTGCGTTGCAATTTTCCATGGACTAGAAAACTCATGATACGAAGATCTGTGTTAAGATAGTGAGTAGTTAATTTGATCATCTATCCCATTGTTTTCTTTGTGGAGATCTGTTTTAATGGTTTATATTGAAGTTTTCTAATGCAAAGAACAGTGAGGTTGCATTGAGTGGATTGGTAACTCATTGTTAATTTAGTTTCACAATTTGAATGACTGACAAACATTACCAATAAACAAATGAAGTACTTAAGGTTTTTGTAGATTTTTGCTGCTACTGGAAGATGTAATGCGGTTTAGACCATGTTTGTTCGCAATGTATATTGTTGCCTATTAAAGCTGGTCTTTAGCTCTGTGTGATTGAGATTCGGTTATGCTTGGCAGCTGAATGAGGAGGTGATTTCTTGCTATGATATACTATACTACTCAGACCAAAGTTGGATTTGTTTCTAGTCTCTCTTGTACTTCCCTTGAGATGAAACTCGAAAGTGCTTCCCAGATAGCAGAATCCACCCTGCTATTGGGGAGTGGAAAAGAGAGTAGAAGAAAATTGGCATTTCAATTCCATTTTTGGTCGAAGATGGCTTGAGAAATTATTAATCTGTTTTTGTAAGAACTAATAGCCGGTATCTCTTGTCAATGACCATGCTTCGGCCTTCAGAGGCTGATATTAGCTAACCTGTATCTGCGATGCTGCCCGCTAAGTATAGAATATTCTGCATGAGGACCCTGGAGTGCTTTAACATGCATATATGATGTTTCTTATACGTGCAGTTCCGTTTCAGCTCTAAGCTGTTTTGAAATAGTTACATCTCTCATCTTCGGATATCTAAGTTTCATACTCCTTTGGTTTTGCTATATGCTGTATCTGAAATTCTCTGTTTATGGTTTTTGTTGCATTTATAATGCATTTGCATATTGGTTTTGTCCTGGCTGTGTGATCTGGAGCTAAACCTGAAGCCACTTCAGTCTATTTGCACCTGGATTTGTTCTAATCAGACAAATTCAACACCAGCATTCCAGAAGTATTGGCACTTTGTAAATCACCTGTGTTATTTTGTCATTTGAAATTGTTGGTATCCTTGTGATCCTTTGGACTAGAAAGTATCCTCTTTTCTCGGCAAGGCATTTCCTTGGTGCTATCGCAACCTGATTACTGAGTAGTTATTGTATGTGATAGAATGAACTTTACATGCTAGTAATGGGCAGTGTTCTTGTTCGCTTGTTTTCCTGCATGGTTGTTTTTTTCCTGATAAATTTCAGATGTACCTTACAAAATTCATGTTTACGAAGACCATTGACCATACACTTTAAACAAAGAGTATCCTGAATCTGTGATCATTAAGGAGAAGTGAAGGCCTTGTATTTATACTGCAAGAAAATAGTAGTTCCACAGGTTCAATATTATCAGTCTGTTTATACTAAACAGTCTTGGCGTAATACATTGGATACTACAAAATTATTGATTTGAAGTGGGGTGCCCATATGCACTTATTCTTAAGGGAAGAAATATCTTTTAGCATCTTGTTGATAAACCAATTCTTTCTCTTTGAGGATTTTGGATATTGGCATCCTAGATTTAGCATAAATGCCTCAATTATCCTGCACTCTAGAGTCAGTGCCTTACAGCAGGATATGCACTTTACTATCTAGCCATTGAGTTTCTGGTGCCTTTATAATGATAAAGTGATCAATGTGCCATTACTTTTTGTGTGTGTGTGTGTGTGTGTGTGAAGAGCAACCGGAATATTCTGATGTGACATTACATACTATCCCATGACATCTACATAGCGTGTAAACATCTGTGTACTAAGGAATATATGGTTGATGAACCTGAGGATTGGCCATTGTGTATTTCTCACTTACCTAGGTTATCAGATTAGCTGAAGGAATTTGAAATTTGTCAATCTGTCCTGATGTTTCTGGTGTATGTTTGCAGTGATGTGAGTGACTCCGAAGATGAAGATTTGGAAACCTGCTTCTGTAGAATAATGTAGATATCAATGTTAAAGCTTCCAATTACAGTTTGCTGAATGGATGAGGTTGATGACTTGATGACTGTCGATAACATCATACACAGAAAGCTAACAATTCAATAGCAAGCGGAGCATGGTCTCAAAGAATCAAACCAGTCGCAATACAACTTGAGATGAGTGATTTTCAGGAAATATGATAGGTGTTCATCGCTGCAGATTGATCCAAACTGCTACAGAGATGTTAGCTAATGAACATTGACAGTCTTCTAAAGAGAAAGTGAACAAAGACGTGAATAATATTGCCTAAAATGATTGGCGGTAACCCTTTTTCCAATATTACCATTTCACAGTGCATCTGTTGTAGTGTTTGCAGCCCAAATAGAGAGATATATACAGAATTTGTTGTACGTTGTGATCCTTTGAGTTCTAACAAAGTTGTAGTAGGTTCGTGTTGTATCATAATTTCTTTGTTCAATTTCTTCTGTTTGGTTTTGCAATCATATAGTTGAAAGGACCTGTCTGTTGTGACTTTTAACACTTGCATTATTCCTCCAGATCTACTTAGAATGAACTGAATAACGACTATGCTCGAAATTACTGCGAAGGTCAAATCAATTTGATGCACAACACACAACCATTTCTCCATTTGTAATTCTGTTTCTTCAATACAATAATACATTCTGGAAGAAGGAAAGCAGAAATCAATCCAGAGCAAACTACAATTAAAGAATACAAGCAATTGGTATCTGTATCTTTCTGAGAACAATGGGACACCTCCCTTTGTGTTCACAATTCCACATTTCTCAATTGCATGACACTGATTTCTGTGATGACACAACTTCTGTAAGCGCTTATTCTGCACAAACCCTGCAACCAATGTAAAAACTTCCTTATGGAATTCAGATCAACACACTTACACAGCAGAATCAACAACTTGACTATGAAACCAACCAATTCGAGAGGCTTGCATTAACCGAAATTTCCTGACTTGTCCTGAGACAATTCGAGTTCAATGAAGAGGTCAATGGCAAAGAATTCGACTTCTTATTCACATTTGTAGCTAGCTGTAACACGACATTTTCCTTCTGCAGCTTTAATTGCTGCTTTGAATTCGCTTTAACTTCTTTCCATTGAGAGAGATTTTCAATTGGATTGAGCACAGAACACCCAAACTGGCTTCTGCTTCGAGCACTTTGATCTGGTTCGGTTTTGTTAAGATCTTGATTTGGATTGTTTCCTCTTCCCTGAGCAGCCAACTGAGAAGTTTTAGCTCTTTCATCTGATTCCACAGGAGCAGAATTAAGCTGTCTACCCTCCACCTGACTCATGTTTGAAGAACCATAATCATGGCATTCCACAAAATCTTCTTCATCAAAATCAAGTTCTTTATCATAATCCTCATCTTCATCATCATCCAAATCAATTTCATCAAGCTCAATATCATCCTCTTCATCATATGTATCTCTGCAGTTCTGATACCTATAATTAGCAGGGAAAGATCCAAGCTTTGATGACATCAAATTATCTTCATAGTTCAAAAACTTCATGCTAGCGCCAGCTGTTTCTTCCTCATCATATCCCCACATTGTTTCCTCATCCTCTTTAGGTAATGGCTCATAAGTCTTGACATTCAAATTGAAGCTAACTTTCTTTTTTACTTTCGCAATTGTGGATTCTTTAGGCTCATATCTACAAACAGAAAAGCAGAACAGAAGCTTAAACAAAGAACCCTTTTTATCCAAGATAAAAATGACATCTTGAAACCTATTTTCATCAACAAACACGAAAGAAAACTTACATAATCTTATCAGCTGAAGATTTTTGAATATCAGCATTGTCAATTTTGACTGCAACATCAGAATCCAGAGGTACATATCTTCCATAACTCTACCAAAACAAGGAGAAAAAAAATACTTGCTTTATTAGTATTATAATCAAACAACTCTTGTCCCAATTGAAACTAACATATACAGTAGATAAAAAATTCAAATAATCTAAGTTGGATGGTTCTTACTGATGCACCAGATTCAAATTTGCTGCCACCCTTCCGTCTTCTCTTTTTCTTGGTGATACCAAAACAACCCAGAAAACATCCCATTGAGATTATGCTAAAACTTTTCCAGCAACCCCCTGCAAATGAGCCCAGAAGAAGATGTTTCTGTGAAGGGATTTTATTATAATGGAGTAAAAATACAGAATTTGAAGGGTTTTTTTTTTTATTTGCCTCCAATGGTAGCTTTGAAAATAAGAACGTTGAAGAAAAAGGTGGAAGTAATAATGAGTACTGAGGTGGGCTAACACGAGTTTTATTTAGTCAGGTGACTAGAAAACTATGGAACAAGAAAACAAAAACAAAAACTGGCTTTTGTATTTCTGCAAATTCTTAGCTTTGATGAAGAAGCAGATTGGGCCCTACAATCTTATCTGGCAATTTGAAGCGTTTGGAATTATATTATAGTGAGTATTATAATCTCCTTTATGGGATCTAGAGCTCAACGGTTTGCAAGTTCAAACAGATGGAAAAACTTTGTCATATGGAATGGAATTGGAATTAATGACTTCCTTTGTGACATTGAGGTTTGAAGTTCTTTTGGTAAACCTTAAATGTACTTATAAATCATGCAAACATTGGGGTTGGAGTGATAAGACCAAATTGCAAGGGGAAAAAAAAGGTTGCATTAATATAATACACTCTTTCCACAACCGGGAAATGGAGAAAACCATTGAATAAAGAAAGTAAATTATTTTTCAAACATGGATAAAATAGTCTTTAGAATCTAGAATGACTCACTTCATCAATCAATATATATATATATATATATATTATACTCAACTATTTTGGAATAACATTTAGATCATTAAAAAAAAATAGTCATTCAAGTCATCACAGAATTTTTGCATAGGAATTTGATTGGTAGACAATGAATTTTCTAATTAATCTATGACATATGATGGTTATGAATTTTAGTCTTTAGTCTTTTTTTATTGAATAAAAAAAATATTTTTCAATTAGAATCAACAAGGTTCAATATCAAAGAGATTATTCTTTTTTAAAATTGAGTTAAAATGACTTATATTTATCTTTAAATACTTTTTTATGCCTAAATTGAAATCGGTCACCTTGGAGGTACATTATTAGTGAATATTGTAATTTTTTATTTTTTTTAATTCACTCGCATAGTAGGGGTTGGAGTGTTTAAATTCCTATCCATATAGTCGTTGTTTGGTTTTCTAGACAATAACATTCTTCATTGTAAAAAAAAAAAAAAAAAAAAAAACTAAAAAGAAAAGATAATATTAATGTAACAACAATATCACAATCAACCTCAAAAATTGTCACAATCGGTAGTGGGTAATACTAACAATACTTTGCTTTGAGCCTTTGACAATAATCTAACCGTTAACCTTTATTCTTATTATGGTCTTCTAGATATCCAAAAAAAACAAAAAAAAAACAAAGGGGATTCTTGGTGACTTTGTTCAATCTGTCAATGGCATTTTCTCCTAAAAGGGGTACATGTACATCTTTTAAAACAGAGGGATTTCTTGGTGATTTTGTTCAATCTGTCGAATTGCATTTTCTCCTAAAAGGGGTACATTTATTTTAATCCTTTATTTTTTTGTTAATTATGGAGACATGCACCAAATTTTTTTTGGCCTTTTCTATTTGGCAAAGAATCTATCTGTTGCAAAGCAGCCATGATCGTACTTTCTTTATAAAAAATACAATAACAAAAATGATAAATAAAAATGATGGTACTGAAAATCTATACTATTATTGTTATAGATAATTATCATGAAAGGGATATCATCAAGAAAAGGATAGATAAGAGCTGGAGTGATAAGTGTTGAGTAGTTTATAATTTAAAATTTTTATCATTATTATCTAATATTAAAAATAGGTTAATTATTATGTGTAGAAAGCCTATAAATATGGTTTCTATCTCAGTTTTTAAAATTCAATTCATTCACAATATAGTCTTTTATTATTTTCCCGTCAACTGCTTTTTTTATTTATTTTATTTAAATTCTATTTTTTCTTCTCGATATCAGAGCAAGTTCTTTCCTACTTATGTCATTGTTTTCTTCAAAAAAAAAAATTATGATTCATACTTCTGCTTATCATTTTTTTTTTTGGTTGTTGTTTTGTCATCTTCAAAGAAAAAATTATGATCATGATTTTATAATCATTCTTTCATGGATATTAGCATATGTGTATGCTTAAATCTCAAATTCATGTCTTACGTTCCTTTTCTACTATTAATCCAATACTTTTTCCAAAAAATATCCACAAACAATTGATTTAATACTTTCTCCAAAAAATATCCGCAGTCATCAAAAGAACTTATCACATATCAATTCCATTAAACTCATAATTTTTGTCTCCACTAACCATCATTTTTATCATTTTTTCCCCACAAATTAACTTCGATTAATCCACAAATTTTAGTTTCTCACAAAGAGAAAAGACACCAATTAGTCATTCCACAAAAATTTCCATTATGGCAAAAGTCTCATCATTCTCTCATAAGAAGAGTTTTGACTTGTCATACAAAAATCAAACAATTTACAAAAACCCTCATTATGACAAACGTCTAATCTTCTCCCAAAAGAAGGATTTTGACTTGTCATACCACAATCTAACAACAAAACTAAAATTTCGAGCAAGTTGTCATTATGACATGACCAGAATCACTCAAGGCTGAGAATCGATCTGCAAGTTTTTCACTGCTGCAATTCTTAATGATGGGGAAAGTCGTCAACACAATCAAAGTAAACTGAGTCTCCAGCACCGACTCAGTTTGAGGGAGGATGTTAAAAATAATTATTAATAGTAGAGTTGGAATCTATTTTAGTGATAGAGATTTATTTTAGTGATAATTTCTAGTTAAAATGTATTAATTATCAAGAGTAAATTTTATCACTAAAGTTGTGTTTATCTAATAGTATAGACATGGTTATAAAGGAATATTTATGTATACATCCCAACGTTTACACCTGCTAGCGAATTCATTCCAAAGTTTTAGAATTGGTTAATTACGTCCCAAGGTTATCAAAATTGAGCAGATCCATCCCATGACCTGCAAACCAATAAAAGTGACATGGTATAACAGGTAAAATCATTTGGATCCCATATTTAACATTTTTTACTTCTGTTTATTTGAATTTTTTAATTTTTTTTAGTTTATTGAAACAAAAACAACATTTATAAATGGAGAAACTAAAAACTTTAATTTATTTGTAATAAATCTAATTTATTTTATAATCATATTCATCTTAATTTTTCGATAAAACTTAAAGAAACTTTTCAAAAAAAATTCTTCATTTTGAGTGAAAAATAGAATGATTATACTTACACACACACATACACATATATATTTTGTATTCAAAAATTAATTAATTTTGAGTTTATCCAAAATTATAAATTATGTCATTTGTGATGCGTAAATTATTTTGATTAATTAAGTAAGTTTTTTCGAGTTTTTTTTTTAAATTTAGAAATTTTGTTTGTTTTTTTATAAACTAAAAAATGACAAAAAAAATTTAAAAAAAAAGAGAAAAAAAGAATAAATATTAAACCCAATAGATTTTTACCTGTTATATCATGTCATTTTTGTTGTTTTGCAGTTCATGGGATGGATATGCTCAATTTTGATAACCTTATGACGTAATTAATCAATTTTAAAACGTTGAGATGAATTAGCACACTAGTGTAAACATTGGGATGTATCCACTCATTCTCCCATGATTATAAATATGGCGTCTACCTTTATTTTGTATTTTAAGTCAATAACAATGTAGTCTTCAAAGTTTATTCTAGTTTCTTTCTTCTCATTTATTTTTCTTCATTTTCTCATTTTCTTCTTAGTTGTGCCATGCTTCCGCTTATTTTTTCTTTCAAGAAATAAACCATCGGTCTTCTATTCAAATCTATGTTCCATGTACTTGGATATTCTAAACAGATCAAGATTACAGAGTTTTTCGTCAAAATTACTCCCATGACCACCACAAAAAATCATTACCCAGCCCTATTGCATTATTTCTCATCATCGTTGACATCACCCATCTCTGATTCGAACTCCAATTCTAAAAGTCCCAAACTCCATCCCGGGTCTTTACTCTTACATTCACTCAAAGCTAGCCGTAGGCAGCATAAACAACCGACTTACCCTCAATCGATCACAAAAATTCTGTGATTGACTAAAGAAAAAAAAATCGTAGATGATAAAGAGAAAAATATCTCTATCTACAAAACTCCACACTATAGCAGAAGAGAAATCTCCTCTAAGAGGATGAGATTGGACTTGTCATACAACAATCTAACACGGCAGTGGGAATCGATACAGATCGTTTCTCAACAATTTCTAACAGCCAACAAGTTGAAGACACTACTCAAAAGCACACATTAAGTCACTCGCATTCTCACCATTCATATATCAGAAAAAGTAGCCCAAAGCATTATCAGAATCAGTCAAGAAACAAACTGTGTCTCTAACCCCGACTCAGTTTGAGGGAGGATATTAAAGATAATTATCATAAAAGGGATATTATCAAGAAAATGATAGATAAGAGCTGGAATGATAAGTGTTGAGTAGTTGATAATTTAGATTTTTTTTTATTATTAGTATTGAAAATAGGTTAATTATCATGTGTAGAAAGCCTATAAATATAGCTTCTATCTCAGTCTTTGAAATTCAATTCAGTCACAATATAGTCTTATATAATTTTTCCGTCAACTGCTTATATTTTAATTTATTTTATTCAAATTCTATTTTTTCTTCTTGGGTTGATAAACCATTTATGAGGAATCACAAAAGGCAAAAGGAGTGAGGAAAAAAGAAATGTTAGCTTAATATGAATAGAGAGGAATCAATATACACGAGATTTTTTTAAATTATTTTTTATTTTTTTATTTTTTTTTATAAACAATATACACTAGAGAGGAATCAAGATACACTAGCTTTAATTTGTAATGTGATCGATTCTTGATTAGATGCTCGAAAATACATTATGTACGTTTGTATCGTGATCTTAATTGTGAGTACTTTCATAAGCTAACCTTTCTATTTCGTCACCCCTTTTAATGTCGGACATTTCTTAATAATTCACTTGATACTCGAAAATTTGCAACTAGTGTCGAAAAATATGAGTTTGCAACTAGTGTGTTGATAATAAATTTCAACGTCTTATAATTATTCTAATCACTTAAAAAGTTTTCTTTAAAATTACTCACATAAGGGTTTTAAATTCAAGTTCTATTCATGTCTAAACAAAGTTTTTTCTCAAGATCAAAATATAGAAAAAAAAAACTCAATTGTTATTATCTGTTACAAAATTAATTGAGAATTGACTAGCAATACGACCTCAATATTATACGTGTCTTTCATGACACTTGTATGAAATTAATGAAAAGAGCGAACGGTGATACGACCGTAACACGTCTATTATAACAGTCGGCGGTGCAAAATTAACACGAGAATCGAGTACAGACTGATACGACCGTAATAATTTTACGCATTTATTTAAGTGGTTTAAATGTTAATTTCTTTTTTTTTTCTTTTCCAAGTAGGATCGGAAATATGTTGTTTGTTTTTTTATTTTTAATTTGATTTAATAATAATTTTATAACAAGGAAAATACGATAATAATTAAATCTTAGAGATACCGAGCATATAAAAGAAAGAGACCCTTGTCCTGGAAAAGGAAAAAAATATCTCAAAGCACAAGAAGTACTTCACCGAGGAGCAGATAAATCTTGACCGTTGAATCCAATCAATCTGGACCCTTAATTTCTTATACCCAAAAACACACACTCACACATCACTTCTGTCTTTCTTCTTTCTCTCCTCTTGAGCCCAGTAGCCGTCTGCCCCTCCCAGCTTCATCCGTACCCTATAATTCCCAGCTCTACTTTTCCCCCTTTACAAATCCACTAAATCTTTGTATTCCAATCGAATAATTAGCTAAATTAATTTGTATTTCCTACTCAAATTTTCAATTTTTGTAATGGATTCAGATCAAGGAAAGCTTTTCATTGGAGGGATTTCCTGGGAAACTTCAGAGGAGAAGCTCCGGGATTATTTTGGTGGGTATGGTGAGGTTTCGCAGACTGTGGTGATGAGGGACAAAGTTACTGGGAAGCCCAGAGGTTTTGGGTTTGTGGTTTTCTCAGATCCCAATGTTCTTGATAGGGTTCTTCAAGATAGGCATGTCATTGATGGCCGCACCGTAAGACATTCTATTAGCTCCTTCTTTTTTTAGTTTGTTGCAAGACTCTAGCTTTCAGCTTTCTGTATGATTTTTTTTTTTGGGGTTCAATTTTTCGTTTTTTAATTTGTTTGTTACAGTTTTTAAGGACTAATTTTAGCTGGATTAGTAGTCTGTTTGCTTGCCCTGATTTTTGGCTCTTTGATTTATGTATTTGGCTTATCTTCAATCCTATGTTTTTAAGCATGAAGGGTTTTGTGGGCCTGGATTTTCTTTATGGGCATTGGATGAGAACCTTGTTTTAGTGTCTTTTGCTGGGGGTTATACAATTTGTGAACTAATGTTGTTAATTTGTATTGTATGATGGAAAAAAAAGGAGTTCTCTTTGCTGCAATTTTTCTTTTTAACTTCGTAGCTGACTGGTGCCTTTGCATGCGGGTCTGATTATGTGTGTATTATTGAGTTCTGAGTTAATTATGCTAGTTATTTGTTTTCTTTTTCCTTGTTTGAGTATGAGCTGGATTTCTTCCTATCTATTTACTCAATGGGTTTCCCAATTCTGGCATTTGCACAACATTGGCTAAATTGCAATTAATGAACTTAAGATGTTAGCATTGGGCTTGGTGTTTTTTTTTTCCCCGGTATAATACTAATGGTATACATTAAGGCATATTTGATGGCTCTATGCATTTATTATTGTCTTTTCTGTTATTCCATCGCGCATGTCCTCATAATATGTTAAGGTTTAAAAGTCGAGCTTGTTTTTTGTAGTTTTTTTTTCTAAACTTTAATTATGTTTTCGTTGGGTGGTTGGTTCAGAATTTTCTGAATTGCTCCGTAATAACTTGTACTTCGCTTTGTCTCGAAGAGAGAATTTTATTATTTGCATGTGGACATGAGTATGGTGCTTCAGAATGATGGTTGAAGCAATTTGATCTTTCTCTACATAATCTATAACAAACCATTTGATTTTTAAAGGGTCATGTGGTGTATCTTAAAAACTTCTCTGACTCTGTTAATGTTTTGGATTGTTTAGCATATGTCACTCTGATTGTTATGGCAAATTGTGCATGATACATCTTTGCTTTGATTGCTCCGAATGTCATTTACGTGTCTGATAATTCTATGTTCCTGTGCATTTTTTTGTGTCTCTCCATCCACATTGGTTGGTTGAGTGGTATCCACTAGTATTCGACATAAGTATGAGTTTCTTATTTCCAGGTTGAGGCTAAGAGGGCTTTATCTAGAGAGGAACAACAGGTATCTAAAGTTGGAAACCCGAGTAGTGGTAGGAGCTTTGGTGGTGGTGGAAACACTAGGACCAAGAAAATTTTTGTTGGGGGATTGCCTCCATCGCTAACTGATGATGCCTTCCGTCAGTATTTTGAATCTTATGGTAACGTCACTGACGTGGTTATCATGTTTGACCAGTCGACAAACCGACCTAGGGGATTTGGCTTTATTTCTTTTGATTCTGAAGATGCTGTTGATAGGGTCTTGCACAAGACATTTCATGACCTACATGGAAAGCAAGTAGAAGTCAAGCGCGCTCTTCCAAAGGATGCTAATCCTGGTGGGGGTGGCCGCTCAATGGGCGGTGGTGCTGGAGGTTACCCATATGGTTCTGGTGGTAACTCAAGTTCGTATGATAATAGAATGGACTCCGGTAGGTACATGCAATCACAAAATGCTGGAGGGGGCTATCCACCGTATGGTTCTTCTGGATATAACACATCTGGTTATGGGTACGGCCCTTCGAACAATGGAATGGGGTATGGAAGCTATGGAGGTTATGGTGGTGCAAACCCTGGTTATGGCCCTGCTGCTTCTGCCTATGGAAACCCAAATGTTCCTGGTGCGGGCTTTGTAGGTGGTGCACCAGGTGCACCAGGTGCACCAAGAAACACATGGAACGCTCAGGGTTCTTCTGGATATGGAAGTGTTGGCTATGGAACTGGTAGTGGTGGAGCTGCTGCGGGACATTCACCAGGCGGGGCTGCTGGATATGGAAATCAAGGTTATGGTTATGGTGGATATGGTACAAATGATGGACCCTATGGAAATCCTTCTGCATATGGGGCTTCTGGTGGGCGCGGAGGGAGTACTCCAAACAGTAGTGGAAATGGTTCTGGCGACCTACAAGCAGGTGGTTACATGGGAGCTGGCTATGGGGATGCTTCTGGGAATTCAGGATATGGAAATTCAGGATGGAGGTCGGACCCCTCACAAAATGGACCTCATGGTGGACAAGTGGGGTATGGTGGAGGCTATGGCGGTGCGGCTCGGCAAGCCCAGCAGCAGTAATTGTAACCCCTACTAGAATCTGAGAGCTCATCCAAACTTCGGATTTTATACGGCCGATGCTTCACATTGGGGCCGATTGGCTGACTGTTGCGAAATGTCACAATCAATCTAGGACTGGTTGGATTGCTTGTATCTGAGTAGTTTGCCATTACCTATTTTTCTAGTATTTAATAAGTAGTATTTGTGAGGAGTAGAGTTTATGTCTTATTTATTATCTGCTTTGAAAATGTAGTTTTAATTTTCAGCGTGCTTATGGCTGCGGTTACTGTCTGATCTTGAGTTTTGGTATTTGTAGTGTTAACATATAGCAGTTTACCTGATATTTGGTGAGTTACTTGCTATGGGTACTGTTGTGATTTTAGATTGTATCTTTTCGTCCCTAGCAGGATTATACATGAGTTTGGAAAATTTATGGTTATTACTCGTGATGGTAGTCATCTCTGAGTACAGCTTAGCTCTACTGAATTTGATAAAAAGGTTACTTTGGTGTGATACTTTAGGAAAAATGAGATAACTTAGGTTCCTTTGCAGCTACATCCAGTTTGGGTAGATCAATTCCTAATGGATAGCGATAAATCTTAGTGGTAGCTTGATTTTGAGAATGGAATAATCACTTCCTCCTGTATTTGCCCTTGTGTTGTACAGGAGGTGGCACGAGTTCTAAACTGGGTGAATTGAAGTTCCTTCTCATGGGTAATTCACAAGGTTTCCCTGGTGATGTGTTTGTTTGTGGGATGTCACAGGAAAGTGAAGTTTGGCTGGGTTGATTGGGTGCTTTACCGGAAGTTGTCTTGTTGGAGCAGGCCAAGCTGCTGGTAGAGAACTTGCGCTATCTCAAGTATCTTCATTCACTGCATGGTGAGTTGAAGACTTAGACCAGGGAAATTGTGTTTAGAAATTCTCGCCATTTCTACGCAAATTATAGTGACTGTAGTATCATGGTGGTTAGAGGTTATAGTAGTATTTTGATGTGCTTTTTTCTGGATATTTTTCATGGAGTAGGTGCGCACCTAAGGGTTTTTTCAGGATTTGTGGAAGTTGGTTTAATCGTAGCTTTTGCTTCTTAGTAGTATCTTCACTTTAACCACCGTCTCTATAGCTTAAATCATTTTAGTAAGTAATTAACCTGATGTGAGATAGGCACTTATTGAAGATGCCTGTTTTCATGTTGAGCAGAATGTGATCTACTGGTCTTCTTCAACCATCTTACGGGTTTGGACTCATGCAGTAATTTTGATGGTTATGCGTAACATTAGAAAGAAGGTTAAGGTTAGAAGTTTAGTTGTCTTAAACTCATACATGAGTGGATCGGTGTTGGTGTTTGTTGAATTATGCTCTAGAGAAAGCAATGGATATTAATCTGATGGGGGGTGGAAGAGATACAGTGAAATAGGTCGATTCCCTTATGTTTCTGTAGCACTAAATAAAAATGGTAGGGATACAATCCGCGCCTCCCTCTTCTTCGTCCTTCCTATCTTCTCCTGTCGCCTCTCTCAATCCTATTTGCCCTTTAACTTCTTTTTTTTTCTTCTTTTCGTTGATCCTGTTTCCTTGCTTGATCGCACCGTTTGAGTGGAATTTGTAGTTTCGTCCACTTCGGTGATTTGATGAAAAAAAGTAATGTGTTTTCAAGGTTTTGGCTTTTGCGTTGAGTCAAAATTTGGCTGATCTGATTTAGTATATGAATTTGTATGGGTCGTGGTGCTACGGATTCGCCAAAAAGATGCGGAAACATAAAACTAGAACTGGATCCAATTCTAGTAGAAGAGTGTCACGTTGTGTCTCTTAAAGAGGACCATCAAAATTCTTAAAGTGGCTCATCAATTTTTTAATAATCAATATTTTTTGAGTCTATCAGAACTTCAGAGATAAATACGTTTAAAAATTATCTAATAGGTCCATAGATCAATCAAAATTGTATAGGAGATCCATCAAGATTGCGAAGAATCTTATTAAATTTCTATATAGAAGTTCTCTCACAATTTTGTACAATTTGTACAAAAATTGAAAACGTAAGCAGGATAACAATTTTGAGACCGATTTCAAAATTTTTAGATTGCAGGTCCATAAAAAAAAAAAAAAATCAAAGAGATCCCACAAAAACACACATTGGCGGTGATCCATCAAATAGTCAAGTAATTATGTCCATAAAAAACTACAATGGCTTTTTAAACACACTGGAATAATCAATTGGGTGATGATTTGTTCCCTACAGTACCGAAGGATGAAACATTGCCAGGCCGAGAAAAAACAACCTGCAAATCAAAGAGATTCAACTGAAATGTCTTAGTGGACACAACAAAGCTTTGTCACGGAGTTGTATTTGCGGAAAACATTGAACCTGCACCTGATAATCCCCTAATGTACATGTCTTAAATCCAGCCGCGCAGTAGTCAAAGTAGTATTCCCATGTCCGAATGAATTTCTCGTCAAACCCTAAATCAAGGATTTCACTGAGGACACAAAGATTAAAATCAAACCATTATGAATGAAGTATTCATAAAAATTCATTCGAATCTAACCAATATACCTTTTGTTTCGGATGAAGTTTTCCCTCCAATATCTCAGGGTAGGATAGTAATGAAATCCTATGTTTTCGACATTTTCAACACTGCAAAATTTTGATGCAGGATTTCTCACTTTCTTATTTGAGAACATATCTTCTTCTACAAAAAACAAACTCAACTATACAAGTTAATCTTCGTCAACTTTTACCAGAGCTTCGATGCAGCATTCATGGCTGTCATGACTCGGGTTAGTGAAGGCAAACAACCACCTGGAAATATGTATTCTCTGATGAAATCTGGGGACTGTCTATACTCTTCATACCTTTGATCCGGAATCGATATGAACTAAGGAAACAATATTATAACAAAAATCAAAACATTGTACCACTAGGTTCAGAAGTTTAGGCAGTCATTTGTATTCAGTATTACCTGTAGGACAAAAACCCCATTATCCGCCAATGCCGATTCGCAACAACTGAAAAACTTTTCGTAGAATTCATGACCAACATGTTCCAGCATCTCACTGTTAAAAAGAAATGCTATTGGTGTTAGAATTATATCTATACGTGGAAAGAAAAGTTAAAAGAGAAAAGAACCTTACCATGATATGATTCTATCATATTTTATGGTATCCGGCAATTGACGATAATCACAGAGGAGAAACTTTATGTGTTCCTATAAGTAGTACAAAATGTGTAAGAATACCAAAGGATATATAGTTAAATCAACTGGCAATGATCGGAGAATTCCAGCGAATCAATACCTTACCTGTAAACCGGCTTCTTTCACTTTGTTCTCGGCGTATATTAGTTGCTTTTCAGATAAGGTGATTCCGGTGTATTGGCACCCGGTTCTTTTCACTGCTTCAATAGCTAAAGTTCCCCAACCACATCCAATATCAAGTACATGGTGCTCCTTTTTTATTTTGGCCTGAAAATTTTACCAGGAAAGTTGTAACCGACATTGATGATGATGATCAGCAAATACTCAAGGAAGTAGTCTTTACCTTTTCTATAAGAGAAGAAATCTTTCTCAACTGAGCAGTTTTCAATTCCTCATCCTCAAACTATCCCATGTACATATAATAAGAAAATAAATTTATTGAATATAAGAGTGAATTTTAATTGTTCATAAGAAATGACTCGAGTTAATCACCAAAATAAAGACCAAGACTTGTTAATTACCTTAAATATTCCAGATGAATATGACATTGTTTCATCCAGAAACAGAGAAAATAGTTCATTACTCTGCAACCAAAACAAGGCAAAGGAGATGGCTATAAGCTAGGTGGTTTTTGTTCGGTTTCATATCCAAAAAAGAAAAAAGAAAAAATGAATTCATCGTCTGTATCATTATACTCTTTTTAATTTAGTATCTATTTCTTTCTTCCTTATACATGCTAGAGTACTTACCAAATCATAATGTTGAGATATGTTTCGACGAGCCTGAGTAAGACTATTTTTCCTCAAAACATGCTTAAAGAAGTACCTAGCAGATGCTAATCCCGCTGACATCAATAATGGTGTCCACCACCCCCTACAACAAAAGCTAAATCCATCAAAATACCAACACTAAGGAGATACTTGAGCATTCTAAAAATTTTATTTCATTCCAGTTTTTACATTGCACCCGTCTAGGTGTGATAATTTTTCATCGTATACCATTTGATATACAAGTACTTAGAAATCACGCTTTACCTTTTGGTAGAACTTTCAGAAGGAGCTTTCACATCTCTACTGGAAATCAAAATCTGAAATCCAGGAAAATTTGATGTTAAGATCCAATATTCTTCATCACAATAATGATAGACTCAAGTTGGTTTGCCTAGTCCTCATGAACTTACCAAGAAAAGATTAAGCAGACCTTCATTCTGGTCAACAAAGGAAATGTCTCTGTCAATGTAGGCATCCGCAAATCCTAAATCGGCTTCGGTCGCAACCTAGGAAATGACCGTGTAAACAAGATCATTATGCCGAAGTACAAAGAGTTTTAGCATTATCTCCACTCCAAAATGATTGTTCGGTGGTTTGACTTAGTACAAAAAATGTACATTTTTTCCTTTTCAATATTATGCCCCCAATGAATTAGGACTGGAAATGAAGCAGAAATAAATAGCATAAACTCATACCTTCCAGTAAAACTGAGGATTGTGAACTTTGACTGAAACTTCCAAGGAACATTTCTCCGGATCAGTACCTCCAAAGGTGAGGCTTGTACCATCTTCTTCTAATAAACTGTTTTACGTTGCACGTTTTAGTACAAAAAACAGAACTCTAATTTTGGGATGATCCGGAGTAACAAATTTTCATTTGATCATTAAAATTGAACACATTATAACTACTATCATGTTGAATAGTTAAAAGCATGTACTAAACTAACTTACATTAAAGAGCCTGTGGCAATGAAGTCATTGAGAAACTGAATAACGAGATTTCGCACCCATTTTTCTGTCCAGCTTCCGGAAGACTTCATTTTCAGACAGAGCAGCAACTAACTAAGCAACCACAAAAAAAAAAAAAAGAAACTGAAAATGTAATCGAGTTACCAACAATTCAACGATTCGAATCAGAGTCACTTGTTGCTGATGGTGGAATTCGCTTTTAAAAAACGATCAAGTGATTGAGATTTTGTGATCTCTCTCTTTAGAACAAGCTTTTAAAACTTTTCCTTGTGCTAATTCCTAATTAAAGAAAGGGGAAACGTATGGGGCAATTAAACCTGGCTGCTAGCTACTAGTATTGACCAGTTAAAAAAAACTGCATTACGATTTGGTCAACGAAGAGTGCGAAAATCTCCAAAGATAACGAAAGTTCACCAAACAAATTATTACCAAGCATGGGATCCTAATCTTATGTATGCTTACTTGTATAAACCGTGACGGAACCAAATATTTCACAGAAGACAACTAATGTGTTTAACATCATTATACAGTATGTCTTTTTAAAAGTCAAAGTTTCTAACTGAAATGTAATTAACATACCACTATTCATTATAAAAACTGAAGGGCACTACCATATTTGTTTCTCTCCTAGCTCTTTTTTTTTTAATAAATTTTTTTATTTATAGAATATACGTATGATTCATGTAATGGTACTACATTTTCCTATACGATATTCCGTATACGGCATTGACGAACTAAAATTAGAAGTAATCACAATAAGTCAGCTCATAATCTTTATGCTATCGTTTTGGGCCATGGTTTTTGGGGTACAGCGTATGTCACAGATATGATCACTTTAATTACGCCTTATTTTCTTTGTAAGATAATCTTCTACCGAAATAACAATAACAATAATAATCATCTTATATTTTTTCTAGCATTTTTCTTTTCTTTTTGTTAGAACATTTTTAAGTTATCATGCAGGAGTTAAGATTTCTGTTATGGGTTTGTAAACAAAATGAAAATGTAACTGTTATCGTTGTTGTATGGCTTGAGCCTCTTTTACTGCAATAATTTTTTTTTTTTTTGGGTAAAATTTGTGTAATTGGCAAAAGTTAGGGACTAGTTATCTTATGTTTTCATCTCTAAAGAACTACAACCGTTGTCTTTTCTTCTATTTATCATTGTCATTTCTGGTTTTTTATTTTTTATTTTTTTTATTTTTTTATGACTGTCATTTCTTTTTACTATTGCCCCACTCGGTTTTATATGAAGAATTATTCTTATTGAATTACTTTAGCAAAACATAATATAATCCTTATTTTTGGAAGAAAAAAAAAACCTTTTCATAAGGTTGGCGAGATGAAAATTCCGACATCAAAAGCATGAACAGAATATTAATCTAAGAAACGACACAAATTACCAATAAGAGTTGGATACAAAAAACCAACGATGTAAAAATATCTTCCTGTATTGAAAATTCGAAATCGTTGCATTTTGCCGGAAAGAAAGAAACAGAGAGTTGGATAGAATTACATAAAGCACAAAGTAATTAAAACGACGAAAATTTATTTATTTTTAAACGTAAGGTGGAATAAAAGAAGCTTAATTAGGTTGGTTATTGATATGCTTATATTTTACCTATTTATTATATCCCTAATTTGTGATTTTTACAAAATATTTTGAGTATAAATATGTTATGTATATGATTTTATCTTTATTTGTAGGTTTTATACTCAAATAGAAAAATTGTTGAGATTTTGGACTAAATTGAAAAGAAAAAGCAACTCAAAGGGAGAATTGAAGATTTGTTAAATTGACAAGGAAGAAATTGAAGCACTTGAAGAGTTGGACGAGTTTTTAATTTAAATTGACTTGAAAAAAAATAACTTTCTTATTCTTGAAGAAATAGAGTTTGACAAAGCCTATAAAAAGAGGATTATGGTTTTATTTTTGGGACAGATCTTTACCGTCCTTCACCAAAAAAAATCCTCCATTCCCACGCACCACCGACACACAAAAACCCACCAAATCGGCGGCAACCTTCTTCTTCTTCATCACCTCTCTTCGCACCCTTTTCCTCTCAGCCTCTACGATCTCCATCATCATCATCCCACCACCGAACACCCACCTTCAATCACCTCTCACGCACATCATCTCCACCATCACACCACTCTGCTTCCCTTCGCGCACCTCACCACCATCATCTTCAACGCATTATCACCATCATCTTTAGGAGGAGTAGCATTAGATCAATTTTCGGACTCAATTTTGCGACTTCTCTCTCCCGAGTTTCATTATTTTATTTATTTTTGAGATGATGAGTAGCTAAATTATTTAATCTAGGGTTTTGGATGTAGCCGCCGTACTATTTAATTTAATTTAAGTTATGATTGTGACTTTTTCATTAATTAATATTTATTATTCTTGTTTTTTATCCACGTGAATACCTGATCAATATTTGTATGCTTTAAGGTGCTAGCTGAAGTAGCGAGAGTGGAAGGCTAGTATTAGTTTGTAGGAATAATAGACTTAGGTAGTGAGCCACGAGAGTAGGAACACCGCTTTTGCGACTAGTAATTCCAAAGTTCTTAATGTACTTTTATTAATCCCTATAGTCACGAGAGTAGTCATAGGGTTAGTTTAAGTAAGAGGGTTATGACACGAGAGTGTATAATTCTTAAATTGATGAATTGTCGTGAGATTAATGAGAGTCGAAAGTCATATATCTATAGTTTAAATTAAACTGAATAATCGGTTGGTGAACCCTTTGCCCTAGGTTTTTCTTTTACTTATTTATATCTTTAAATAATTACAATTGTTAGTTTTAGGTTTAGAATAGTTTAAAATTGATAAATTGTTAATCTAAATAATAATAAGAAATAATTTTAACCTGGTACTTGGTATCCTTCTCTGTGGGATCGACCCTGCTTGCTACTTTATTACTAGTAATTGTATTAAGTAGGTAATTAATGTTTGACTAGTGTGACGACGGCTTGTCAAATTTGGCGCCGTTGCCGGGGAAGGCATAACCAATATCAAAACTAGATTATTTCTTTTATTAATTTAGATTTGTATATAGTTTTATTTGTTTTATTAATTTATTATTTTTATTTTTATTTTTATTCTCTTTTCTTTCTTGTATCAATATTTTTGTAGGATATTTGAGCTATTATGGAGAATTTTAATTATGGATATGGAGAGACTCCGTATTATGGTTATGATTCTGAATATGGAGACTATCCTACTGATGGAGTGTCAAACCACACAAATAAATTAACCTACTTCAAACTACGTAGTATAGAGAAGTAAGGTCGTTTCCTCAAGGAACGATGGATTATTTCCTTCAAATTAATGCAAAGATGGATTTTTGGATTGTTGTTCTAAATCCATGATAATGAAATTCAAATAACAAAAACTAAATAAATGAAAAGAAATCAAAGTAACAGACTTCTGACTCAAGGGACGGATAACTCAATTATTTCATTAATCACAGGCTACTAAAACTACTCTTGCAATTTAACCATTCAACCAAAGATCTATTAGGATAGCCGTAATAAATCAGTTAATCTCCCTAAATTAACTAACCAAGCCTAGCACTCAATTAGTCCTTATCATAATTCGGCTGGGCACGATAGCGTTCCATGCCAAACAATGACAGCATAAAAACCAAAGAAATCTAGTTGAACCAAAATTTAAACAATTGAGATAGCTACAACTATTCAGACTTTGTCTCATTGATTCCACATTTAAACTAACATGCATATTCAAGTTTCACCAATACACATGCTTTGTCTAATTGCTACACAGTACTGCCGGTTCGTGTCTATTACGTAACATTCAACTAGCAGATAGAACTAGAAAGTAAATAACAAATCAAGTTGTCAATTCCAATGATTTCTACTTTCATAAATTAAGACAAGAATCAACAAATACTTAAATTATAGGCAAGAACAATAAATTAAGAACAAAACCTCATAATGGAATAGCTGAATAAATTTCTTGAATTAGAAAGAAAATCCTTAGCCACTCATGGACGGAAATATGGCGGCTTGATTCTCCATGGAAAACAAGAAAATTCGGTAAACGAAAAGATAGGAGGTGCTAGCCTATGGCTACACACGGCTGCCCCCAAAACATAACTCAAATTCTATTTTATAATCGAAATTTAGGTCAGCCGCTGGAATAGAAGAAGAAGTCCACGATTTTCAGATTTGGTCCTCCAAGTTTGACTTATTTTCACTTTTGCTCTAAAACTTCTTTAATTTTTTTTTAGTCCCTGATCGTGCAAAATCACCCAAAACAGCTCTAATCTCTTATTTCCAGCTCCTAACATGAAATAGTAACAATATCAATGAATTAAATCCATTCAAGTCCATAAACTAATAAAATATCAATAATTAAAACACAATTTATGGACTCTATCACCTAAATATCAAGAAGATCCGTACTCTTGGAACAATTCGTTTTCTGATCCTTACTATGGTTGTGATTATCAAGAGTATTCATTTGATGCTGGGTACAATTCTGGTTTTGAGAGCGCGTATATGAGTCCTAAGATGTTGTCATGTTTGGAGAGAATTGATAAATTGCTGAATGATATCGAGAAGAAAAATGCTTCATATTTATCTCAAGAGGATTGTTACCACTCAAATGCATCGGTATATCAACCACCACCTCCTCAACCCACTCTAAGAGAGTTAGCAGCTTGTCAACCCACTCTAAGAGAGGTAGCAGCCTTACAGTCATCACCTTGTCAACCCACTTTGAGACAGTTAGGATTTTCGTATCAGCAGCCACCAGCTCAACCCCAGCTTAGTGTTAGAGAGGGAGCTCTTCGAGAATTGCGAAGTGAACAACTTATCAAAGAGGTCAACCAATATAGGATGAGTGTGGGGTTGCCGGAATATGATCCTATAGGAAATTTGCTTAAATTGAATAAGAATGAGAAAATTTCTGAAGATGATTCATTGGTCCAGTCTCCCCAACCACCATCTCAAACTGACCTTGAATGTGAAGAATTAGAAGAGACCAAAGAGATTAACAGTCCATATATTCCAAGTTCTCCTGATTCTTCTGGTATATACATAGTAGTTAAGCATGATTCGCTCGTTCCGAGAGTTGGTGACAAGGATGTAGATCAAGTTGATTTCACTAAGCAGAACATTCCTATAGTTTCAAAAGAAGGGTTTGAAGTAGACACATGTGGTGAGGTTGTCCCTAGTATAAGAGATTTTGAGGATGATGTGAAAAATGGTTTAATGAAAGACCAAAAAGAGGATCAATGGTACAAGATTGAATTTGAGAAAGAGGATATAGTGGTCTTAGAGTATAAGTTTATATTTTCTCATGGCAAGGAGAGCCACTACAAGAGATTCATTGTTGCTGCTGAACATGGTTTCTTCTGGTATCGAGATGGGTACTCTGACAGATCAGTCCTGGAGTCCGGCTAAAGACTTTAAAACAGCGCTTATTGGGAGGCAACCCAATTCTTTATTTTGTTTTATTTCTCTTTTTCTTTCATTAATAAGTTGATGGTTAAGTTTTTTGTTCCTGATTATCAGGAGATCTTTGATTTCTGGATTTTCGTGATTTTTCTTAATCATCTGTTTTTTTAAGGTTTATTTTTCTAATTTATTTTAGTTTGCAATTAGGTTTGTTGGAAGGGTGAAACTCTGGTGTCCAGTGGTGCTGAAAATGAAACATCCAAAATTCTGAAGAAGTTAGTCGTGTACTTGGATAGCAGTTGCAACAGTTTATTCAACAATTCCGGTCCTCTGTTTTGCATTCCCAAGGTTGTGTCATTTCTTTTCATTTTTTTTATTTTTATTTTTTTTTCTTTTCACTTGGTTGTCTTGTCTTTTGTGTTTTATACATTGAGGGCAATGTATGCTTTAAGTGTGGGGGAGAGGAATATTTGTGTTTTGTGTTTATCTTTCTTAAAAAAAAACATAAAATTTGAAAAAATTGAAAAATCCAAAAAGGCCTATGATGAAGATGGTTTAATTATCTATAGCATGTGAGAATTAGACTATTTTGAATTGTATTGGTTAACTTATGCATTTCTATATGTTGCTTTGAATACCCTGCTTTTTATGCACTTAGTCGTGACTGTGGGATAAGCCTAAAAATGAGACATAGTTGCATGAGTTTGATGTAGATATGCCATGAAAATTTGTGTTTGATTCACTCATACTTATATGATTTGTATGTGGAACCCATCATGTTGTGAAGGAAAAGCAAGGCATTAACCCAATATCAGCCTTAAAAAACCTTATTACTTTGACACTTTGTGTTAAGTAAGTTTGGGGGAGGGGTGTTGGCGGATGCTTCTGAGGTTAGGTTAATTTTAATGAGGGAAAAAAGGAAGAGCATTCAATGTTGATGCTAGCCCCATTAAGAGGTGAGGAAATGGCAACCATGAGTGGAGAGTCCTCAGGCCCGGTGATGAAAAATAGATATATAGACTGCCCTAAGTTGCTGAGCCACTATGTATAGGAGTGGAAAAATGCTCTGGATAGTGGCCTGAGTTCGAAAGAGTCCTGAAGAAAAGCCGCATGGACCGAAGAATGGGTTACGAGGGGGAATAGGTTGTCTGTGAGATAAGTCCTTCTAGTTCATAGTATGTTTGGCGGTCCATTGCATTGAAATATAGTGTGAAATGTGAATCTGTGTTAAAGTCTTAATATATGGCATATTTACAGTAGAGCTTTTGTTTTCTATGTTAAATGTAAAGTGATGTCCCTAAGAAACGAATCGCACACACACACACACAAGCGTGGGGGCTAAAAGTGCATATGGTTTGCATTTTGTTAGGTAGTGCATATTAAAGGTAGTCGAGGTCTTTGTGTAATATGATATTAAATCTCTAAGGCCGCCAAAATTAAATAATTAATTGTTTTTATTTGTTTTAATTTTTGGAAATGCTTGAGGATAAGCAATAATTCAAGTTTGGGGGTATTTGATATGCTTATATTTTACCTATTTATTATATCCCTAATTTGTGATTTTTGCAATATATTTTGAGTATAAATATGCTATTTATATGATTATATCTTTATTTGTAGGTTTTGTACTCAAATAGAAGATTTGTTGAGATTTTGGCTAAATTGAAAAGAAAAAGCAACTCAAAGGGAGAATTGAAGATTTGTTAAATTGACAAGGAAGAAATTGAAGCACTTGAAGAGTTGGAAGAGTTTTAATTTAAATTGACTTGAAAAAAAAATAAGTTTCTTATTCCTGAAGAAATAGGATTTGACGAAAACCTATAAAAGGAGGATTAGGGTTTTATTTTTAGGACAGAACTTGACTGTCCTTCACCAAACAAATCCTCCATTCCCACGCACCACCGACACACAAAAACCCACCAAATCGGCGGCAGTCTTCTTCTTCTTCATCACCTCTCTTCGCACCCTTTTCCTCTTAGCCTCTACGATCTCCATCATCAGCACCTTAATCATCATCATCATCCCACCACCGAACACCCACCTTCCATCACCTCTCACGCACATCATCACCATCACACCACTCTGCTTCCCTTCGAGCACCTCATCACCATCATCTTCAACGCATTATCACCGTAATCTTTAGGAGGAGCAGCATTGGATCAATTTCCGGACTCAATTTTGCGACTTCTTTCTCACGGATTTCATTATTTTATTTATTTTTGAGATGATGTGTAGCTAAATTATTTAATCTAGGGTTTTGGATGTAGCCGCTATACTATTTAATTTAATTTAAGTTATGATTGTGACTTTTTCATTAATTAATATTTATTATTCTTGTTTTTCATCCATGTGAATACCTGATCAATATTTGCATGTTTTAAGGTGCTAGTTGAAGTAGCGAGAGTGGAAGGGTAGTATTAGTTTGTAGGAATAATAGACTTAGGTAGTGAGCCACGAGAGTAGGAACACTGCTTTTGCGACTAGTAATTCCAAAGTTCTTAATGTACTTTTATTAATCCCTATAGTCATGAGAGTAGTCATAGGGTTAGTTTAAGTAAGAGGGTTATGACACGAGAGTGTATAATTCTTAAATTGGTGAATTGTCGTGAGATTAATGAGAGTCGAAAGTCATATATCTATAGTTTAAATTAAACTGAATAATCGGTTGGTGAACCCTTTGCCCTAGGTTTTTCTTTTACTTATTTATATATTTAAATAATTACAATTGTTAGTTTTAGGTTTAGAATAATTTGAAATTGATAAATTATTAATCTAAATAATAATAAGAAATAATTTTAACCTGGTACTTGATATCCTTCTCTGTGGGATCGACCCTACTTGTTACTTTACTACTTTACCCTGCTTCAATCTCTTCCACAGTATAAGGAGCATTCAGGTTACTTTGCTCATCCGCTGAAATGTGTAGTGCCACCTCTTCATAGATGCTGCCCAGGCCGCGCAAGTCTTCGATCTATGGAGGATAATTATCAGGAAGAGTTAAAATATCTTTGAAATGCTTCAACATCAAGTGCAGTTGCTCCGATGGTTGTGCGTGCCAAGAACCTTCGTCATCCTGCAGCTCAGTCACCCAATTATGATTTTTCCTCTTAGTTGCCCGCTGATGAAAATATTTTGTATTTCTGTCACCTTCAACATGCCACTTGACCTTTGCTCTTTGAGCCCAATTATCCGCCAATAACTCCAAAAGCTGCTCTAATTCAGCTCTTACAGCTCGCTGCTCAGCATCTCGGGTAAGAAGTTTGGGGACTATTGTAATGCTTCTAGTTCTATAGTCCTCTTTTTAGTGAGAGTATCTAAATTTCCATAACTACGAGCACTCCAATTTTGCAAGTGCATTAAGGTAGCCTTAAATTTTAGAGACAAAAAATCTCCATCATTAGGATGTAGTAAATCAAGACTCTCACACACCCTATCAACAATTTGACGAGCAACTTCCATCCGTACCCAGAAAGCTTCAAATCGTAAAGGCTTCTAATGAGGTCTGCGCACAAACTTTGTGTCGACCAAAGTAGGACTGTGATCTGAGGCCATTATAGGGAGAGTCCATACTGATGCTTTGGAGAATATATGCAACCAGCTATCAGTGACAAAGAAACGATCAAGTCTTTCCAAAATTCTCTGATACCCAGCTCTATTGTTCGACCAAGTAAACCAATTTCCAACAGAGTTTAATTCCGATAAACCAAAATCAGCAAGTAGCAGCTTAAGCTCAGTAGCCTTTTTTCTCATCCACCCTATTACCACCACATTTATCTTTTTGCTCCAAAAATTGATTAAATTAAAGTCCCCAATTATCATGCAAGGACTTTGAAAAACTTCTAAAATGACACCAAACTTCATTCCTCTTCTCATTTCACCATGTCACCAGCCGAGAGTTTAGTTTCCATGGCAAACAAATTGTCCGGTCGATAGTGCTTGTGCAGCCGCTTTTAGTAATTGAATTGCAGGAACCCGGTTGAGGCCCCTGCTATTCCAGCTAAGGATCTTCATGGCGACCCGGGTGGTTGATTTGGTTCAACCACCGCAAAACCTTCCTCATTCGCATCACATTTCTGCAATCCCCTACCGATTCTGATACTCAAATTGAGTCCTTCATCAGAAAAATGCGCCAAATCAAAATCATCCCCACCTCCACCGACCTTTGGTTTCTTTACAGAGGACCTAGGAGATGAGCCATTTGTGGACAAATTAGGGACTGCCACCCCGTCAATATCAGAGAATTATTGTTTCCCCGCAACTCTGTTATGAGAAAAAGCACTGACTATCCCTGGAGATTCACCTCCGATTGAGAGGTGATACTTTGCTTCTTTTGATCGTCTTTGCCTTGGTTCGAAGGAGAGTTTACTTTCGACTGCCGTATTAGGCTCGTGAAGGGAAGAAATTTGGATTACTGGTCCATCCATGGTTTGATGGGGGACTTTTTGAGCTGGCATAAGTCCAAAAGGCAGAGATGGGCTGAAACTTGGAATTGGGTCAACTACGAGACACTGAACAACATGAGGAGGCCTGCCATCCTCCACGTGTGCTTCCTGGTTCACCTCGCACCGCCTAACAGTCTCACGGGTCAACGGCTGCAGACCGCTGTCATCGATCACGTCACGGTGCTCATCATCAACGGTTGCCATTGACAATTCCGTAATCATCGGTTCCACCTTACGCCAGATTGGGGGTGATTGCTTCTTCCTTTGATAGTGCCCATGCCGACGAGGAGGACCAACAGGAGAGGGCTGACCTTGACACTGCTGACTTCGACTTCGCCATTTATTCCGGCGATGACGCGTCCCGTCAGAAGAGGCAGAGGCTATGAAAGAGATCGGGCAAGCAATGGTAATTGTGACCTGGGGAACAGCCTTGATCAATCGGCAGATCAATTTCATAGTGGCCATGGCATTGGGGATAGCACAGCCCATAGCTTTGAGCACCACCTCAGTGGTGCTTTCCTGATGAAAAAGCTTCAAACCATAGGCAACATAGTTGTTGAGCCGTCCAGTCTTCGAGATCCGAACCTCATTTTTTGGTAGAGTAGACGAGCTTATGTGTGTCACCATTTTTTTTGGTCATTCTTCACGAGATTTTTAACGGTGTGCATCATCGTTCTAGTGAATGTTTAGAGTTAATTGTATCACTGGCATGGGCAATGATTTGGCGAAACAACAGTTCTTTCCTCTCTCATATTCTTGCTTCACTTGTCTTTTTTTCTTTGGATTATTTGCTTCATACTATTTTATTACGCCGCTCACCGAGAAACTATTATTTTAGTACATTGCTCAGAAAAAATCAATAGAGTTACTCAATAAAAGATGCAAAACGTTGAGGACAAGCTCACTGAGGTGCATAATCCAGTATGAGTTGACAATTCTGTTGACAAATAACTCCTTTAAAGTTAGAATTTTTTGTGTTGTTAAAGGTGATAACTCTTATGCACTGTCGCTTCCTCTTTATTTATTAATTTAAATAAAAGCGATCCTATTCCCACCAGACACTGCATGTTTTGATTTAAAAAAAATTATTTTATTAAACTAAAATATTTTAAGATGAAAAGAGTAAAAAACAATATGAATATAATCTCCGCCATTTGCAACGACAAGAAATATAACTTAGGACACAATTTATATTACATGGGAGTTTATTGTTGTTGAATCCAGTACTCTTTCCGTTCCTAGCTATAACAATAATTTATTATATAAATTTTAAATTTTGGTAAAAACAATAGCACAATTTATAATTTAGATCACAATCTAAACTATTTGTATGAGACGGTGGAGTACCGCTTCACAAATTAATGACGCGCAGCTACATATATTAATTATTCATTTGGATTTGTGATTGATTTACACATGTTCTCTGTTTTCCTTCTAGCATCCAGGCCAGCACAGATTAAAAAAGATTTTTCATTCAGTCTGATCTGATGAACGTGAAGATTGACCATTCCCTAAATTGCCGAAGGACAAAACATTGCTAGACCTTGAAAACACAACCTACATGTAGAAGATCAATTGAGCAGTCTATCCATTTATTAATCTATTGCATTTTGTGTGTGTTGTGAGAAAAAAAATACATGATCCGTTTTTTCCTAAAAACTAAAAGAGTCATGTTTGTTATGGGGGAGTGTAAGAAGTGAACATTAAATGCATGTTGGAGAGACATACGTACCTGATAGTCTTCAAGGGTACTCCGTACAAGTTTTGAATCCAGCAGCACAGTAATCAAAGTAGTATTCCCATGTCCTAATGAACTTCGTCAAACCCCAATGCACTGATTTTACTAAGAATTTTACACAGGCATGAAAATTTTATGGACAAGCATTCAAAATAAAACTTGTTCTACTATGGACTATGATCAAAATTAAGCCTTAAATATGTGGATCAAGGGTAATTAGAGAGGGAATTGTTCAAACTTAATTATACTATTTGTACCTTTGTTTTTTGGGAAAATTTTTCCTCCAATATCTCAAGGTAGGATAATAATGAAACCCAATGTTTTCCACATGTTCAACACTGCAAGTTTTTGAGACACTTTGTGATCACTTCTCGATTTCCAGACAAATCATCATAAGAAGAGAAATAATAATGATAGACACCGTGAATTTGGTACAACAAACGTTTGACTAATGTGTGTATAACACATTTAGTTAATTAGTGTTAAGAAATTACTATCTTGATTAATTACCAGAGTTTTGATGCAGTATTCATGGCTGTCATGAGTCGGGTTAATGATGGCAGGCAACCACCTGAAAATATGTATTCTCTAATGAAACTTGGGAATCTTCTGTACTCTTCATACCTTTGATCCGGTACCGATATGAACTAATTTATTAAGGTAAATGACATCATCATTCAACATTGGTTTTTAGAAAAATATATCGAATAAAATTGTCAATTTCAGATGTGAGAATAGCTAGAAAATTTGATTCGTTATCCTTAGGATTCGTTACCATTTTCTTCCAATTCTGAGTCGCAGCAACTGAAGAACTCCTCGAAGAATCCATGACCAGCATTTTCTATCATCTCACTACAATTAATTAGCTAAGATGGTCATTCGGTTTTTGTTTTGTTTTTTTTTTCTTTTTCCATTTGTCACTCATCGCGTAAAGGATTAATATTAGATACACAAAACTTGAAAAGTTGGAGGAGTACTTGATTAACGAACATACTATGACATAATCCTGTCGAATTTAAGGTTGTTTGGCAATTGACGGTAATCACAAAGCATTAGTTTTATGTGATCCTACGTACATTACAAAAAAACATGTCATTACCCACGACTTTTAGACATCCGTGAGTAATTTATGGGTAATTACCCACGTAATATTCACGTATTACCCATGAAATGTTGACCAAAGTCTGAGATTTAATTCACCCACAATGTGCCCACAGTTTACCCACAAAATTACACACGACAAAAAAAATCGTAGGTAATTTGTTGGCAATTTTTTCCGCCAACAAATTTGCCATGCATTACCCACGGATTTTCTTGTGGATAATTACCCATGAAAAGTGGGTATTTTTTTCGGTAACAAATTTCTCACGTGTTACCCACAAAATTTGTTGTGGGTAATTACACACGAACTTTGTCGTGGGTAAGGCATGGGTAAGAATTACATTTCCCACAATATAAATATCGTGGGTAAATGCTTATTTGTTGTGGGTTTTTAATTAACCTTTTAATTAACTTGGCCACTTAATTAAATGTGCTTACATGGTTATAAAGATATGGAAAGGGGAGCATAACCTTAGAACTGCTTAATCTAGTCTATGACAATGGAGGAAATCTGTCCTGCGGTTCCAAACATCAATAGAAGTTAGGTGAACGGCATAGGCGATCAAAGAGGGCTTAAGAACTCAATGGCTTAGTTAATCTAGGGCTCTTTATTCTGTCTGGAAGGAATTATAAAGAATATAAGTGCCTGAACAAACAACTAATCATACACTACAGGAATACTTGAATAAAAACTGGATCATAAAGGTAGGAAGGTGATTGACCATTCTGTCTCTTCACTCTGTCAAGTGACTATTTTCACTCTCCCAAGTGACAATATGTTCAATCCATTTTTTTTCTTTTCTGTACTTTAATCAGATTTTGAGCGGTTGAGCACTCTTATCATAAATTTTCAGGTGTACTTGTGTGGATGTTCAACCAGAAGTGCCTTGCCGACTATGATAAAATTAGAATGGCAACATTTCAGTTTGATTATCTAACACCGGCAAGGAACAAAGATTGGTCGTCTCACTTGGGCGAGTGATGGACTCACTTTCGCGACTGAGATGATTGACCAAAGATGACTTGCAATTCGTCATATACCTTGCATTCTAATTTGACAAAAAGGAAGGGAAACTTTGTTTTGAAATCTTTTAAAGAAGTGGGGTGCCTGAGTCGTCAAAATGATGAATTTGGGAAAACAAATCAACCCACTCTTTACAAAAACGGCTGCCTATTACCCCACTCTCTGCAAGTTTCAAAAAATACCTCCCGCTCTACCATAACCCTGATTTACCACTCTTTAAAAACCCAAAAGAAATGCAACCCAAATCCAAACACTTTACTAGTGAATCCACTGAAATACACCCCTTTCATTTGAAGCAAAGAATCAACCATTCTTATAACATACACCTTCATTTATGGCTAGAGTCAAACAAACTGCCAGAAAAGAGCTTATCGAATCCAAGGGATCATCTCTCTCCCGCCACATCTTCCCAAGAATCTAACAAGAGCCCAAAGGGAAGAGCATCGGAATTACCTCAGAGGACTCGGAAATTCCGGTCTCATCACAACCCCTGGAGGGACAACATTCTATCAAAGAACATGGGAAAGGAAGGCTATTGTGGAGAGGGAAGTGGACATTTCAACATACCCACATTCATACATAAGTGAACGTGGCTGGCAAGTATTCTGCACCTTCGCAATCCAGCCGAACCTCACAACTGTCAGAGAATTCTACAGCAATCTATGGGGGGCGGATGAAGATGAAATTGTAGTAAGAGGCAAGGCAGTCGATATCAGCAGAGCGACCATTCGAGAAATACTTGAATTACCGGCCAACATCCCTCTGTACGAAGATACGGCCTTCGATATGATGGATGAAACACCTGAAGGAGAATTGCCAATAGCACTTTGTGAAGATGCAGCAGAGGATATATGGACCATTGACAGTCATGGGTTTCAAAAAAATTTTCGACTGCAGAATTGAAGCAAGCTTACAAACCAAGGTTCAACTTCATTTACACTAATTTGATGCCCTCTAATAATCGAGGAGTGGCGACATTCGATGCAGCTATCTTGTTGTATCCCATTCCCAGAAAATAGTGCACATTTAATTTTGATATTTGTATTATTTAATATAAATTATTTTTTGAGACAGATGAAATATTATATTTTTAGGACGGAGAGAGTACACAACATATAACTTAGCTAAAATTGAAATCAAATGAAGCAAGAAACATAGAGTTGTAGTATTAATTTTACCTTCCAATAAAACCGAGGATCATGAACCTTGAGTGAAGCTTTCAGGGAACATTTCTCCGGATCAAAACCTCCGAAGGTAGGATTTGTACTATCTTCTTCCAATAAACTGGCATGTTCACACGGGGCAGATTAGAACGTTTGAAATGCTGCATATCTTATATGCTTGTTCACATCAACTAATTGGCAATAAATTAAGTAATCATCACATTAAAACTAACAACTAGGAAAGGATCAATTTACAAACACATTACTTTCTCCGTCCCAGAATAAAAGACGTATTTTTTATTGTACTGTTACATTAGAATGATCGAGATTTTTATATACTTATCCTATACATTTCTTACTCACATTAAGCTGCCGGAGGCAACAAAGCCATTGAGAAACTGAATAACGCCATTTTCGAGAACCACAACTACTAAGCAATAAGACATTCAAACTCGAGGTAGTTGAAATGGAGTCTTGGTTTAAGAATTGAAGGATTAACAAAAGAAAAAAAAATGTTATACACATTTTGGTTATACATTTAACATTGGGTTATTGATTAAGAAGTCATCACACTCTTTCCTTGTTTGATGGATCTCGAATTCTCTTTGTTGTGTATCCATATATATATATATGTATGTATGAACCGAAGTCTAGTATTTATAGGCTATCTTGGGTGATAAAGAACAAAGCCAACGGACTCTTGGTGATCAATATGAATTGCTAACTAGCGAGTATTGAGCAGTCAATAAGATGATTGGAAATGATTTATGGTCAACTAATTCTCAAAAAACACACCTAAAAAGTAACAAACACGCATAAATTTTTTATTTATTAAAAGTATAATGATTTGTGTAAGAAAATTTTAACGGGAAATGAATCATAATATACTTATATAATTTTCTATAAGGGTTTATAGATTTAAGGGTTAGGTGATAATTAATATTTAGTCACCTCATTGTACTATTTTTGTAAATTTTCTTGTCACCACTCATTAAACTATTTTGGATGTTTTGAATTTTATAACACGCCTAGTTGATTACACACCGTATTAGTTTCTTTTGCCGCGGTAGCTTATGAAATCTCGAGGATGAGATCTTCTGACATTCTTATTTCTAACTAATTTCGCCTTCGCCGTCAATATTCCGTTGAAAAGTGTCAATTTTTCCACATGAAATCGAGGGATCTGGTCGAATTTAATTAATAATAATTGTGCTTCGATGTTATCTTTTTCAATCACAGTTACGTATGAAGAAAATTATCAAAGCAGCTATACGGCATTGACTACTTCTTTCCTTTTTTTATATTATTATTTCAAAGAAAGTTAAGAGTATGCTTGGATCATTTTTCTAATATGTGTTTTAGGTGTTTTTCTATTGGTATGTTATGATAGGACAATTATAAATAAAAAGAAAAATGATAAACATAGTGACAAATATATAGTGAAAAGATATAGTGATTTAGTTGGCTCCTTATTTTGGTGGCACTTAGCCGTAGAACTTATATATTTTTTTATTTATATATTTTCTTATTAAATTTATATTTTTACCCTTAATTAAATTGTACACGTCCGTCACTATTAATTTTTACTATGAGTTTTCATTGTCTATGTCACTGCGGTAATAAAAAAAGGTTTTCTATTGGAAATATAGGACAGGTTTTGGCAATGTACGGGACTTCTTCCTTTCCTTTTTTTTTTCCTTTTCTTTTTTTGGTCTTTTATGTGGTCTCATTTACATTGATCTTATTTCTTTTCAAGATGATTTTCTTTCAAACATAAATTTAAGACGAATTTCTTCGTTCTAAAAGATGATTAAAAACGAAAATGATAAAACTATCTTAATAATTAAATCGGAATTAATATCCCTTACAAAATCGAAACCTTTCGTTATCTGGTGATACGACTCTTTTAGCTGGTTGAATAATGTTGTTAACTTGTAAATGACGTTATTAAAAACCAATCACATTAACAGATTTATACGCCATTGACAAAACTATAGTTAGAAAATTCAGAATGCAAACTGAATGGAAACAATCAGAGAACAACTCAGCATCTTATATATAGACATTGATCTGTACTTTCTTCTTCTTCTTTTTTTAGGAACACAGCACTGTATGTTTCCATATATGCACGTCATTTGTAATATTCCGTTTCGGTACGTAGCGTATTTTATCTGATCACTATAAGCCTTATTTACTAAGATAATGTTCTTCATATGTCTAATATACTCTCCTTCGATCCGTTTACACAAATATATAGGTACATCTTTTTTATTGAACTAAAGAAATACTAACAAATAAAGCTCTTTTGTTTTGGGAGTTGAGACTGCGGAGGAAGAATCTCTTTTTCATTTTTAGATTAACTTATTGTATTAGTATAAAAGAGTGTGGAACACCTAAAATCGCATGCAAAACAATATATTAAAAGTAATGATATTCTTCTCTACTATTATAACTCTACTTATAATTCAGACAATCCCAATTGATACATCTAAATCATCAACTCATGAATTTACAATAATATTTTTTTTAGAAAAATAAACCTACCGTTCTCGTCGTCAAATTTCTCTTCTCTCCTTTTTGTCTTTGACTTTGCGATCGCGTATCAAATCCTCTCCTTGTCTACTCCTTCTTCCCATCGACGGCCGGGAGGTTGGCATGCAGCGCCGGTCTGATTGTGCTTGAGATTCTAGACGACTCAAGAGACTCGCCAAGTTTAGCTCGTTGTATGATTTTGTATCCAAAATTAGGTTAGTCTTTTTTTCTAGTTTGGCTCTTTACTCCAAAAGATGGGGACCTGCGTTCCATTTTTAATGTTTTTGAGATTGCTGGGCACAAAAGATGGGGACAAGCATCAAACAAAACAGACTGAACCCAAATTTGAAGACCCCTTGTAGACACTAGAGCCTAGTATTGCTCCAATACTATCTACACATCTGATCGATTGATCATAATCAAAATGGGAACACTTGAGTAATGATATATCCGACGCAAATTGAAAACTATATTTTCACTAAAGTCTTATAATGAATGTTAACATATACTATGAAAAGAGAATCGCCTCCCGATTGCTACTTTTCCGAGCCTCTTCTATGTTTCGGCGATCGTAAAAAGGGCGAATGGTCAATTTTCGATTCAGAGAAGGGTCAACTTTTCGGCTGTGAAGATTTGCGATGAAAATTAATAATTTTTTCCCCTTAGGAATACAAACTGGCATCGTTGAGGAGAGACAAGCATTTAAATTCTCCGGCCAAAGAAATTTGACGATGAGAAGTGAGAATGATGGGTTTATTTATTTATTTATTTTTAAAATATTTTTATAAATTTATGAGGTGATTATGTAGATATGTCAATTGGGACATACAATTTTTATTTTTATTTTTAGAAAGTACATACAAATTAAAAGAAGAAAAGCGGAAAATTTTTCTTAGAAAAACTAAATATATATTGAAATAAAAAAAAAAAAACTAAACATATTTGAAGTAATTTGCTGAAACTTTGTTGGTCTCGACTGATACAAGAAATCCCATGACAAACATCCAACGATAATATCGTCAACAACACTAAATCTCACATAATGAGCAAGTTCATGGGTTACACAGTCTCGTCATTCCTAATTTTCCCTATGACATTTTCGTGAGGGTTCTAAGAAAAATGACATTTCCGACATAACACAAAAAAATACAATTATGCAAAAAACAGTACTCTGTTGTCCTATATAACTACTAAAGCATCATGAGAGTCTTCGTAATCCTAAAAGAACAAGTGGGCATGAGAAAGTTTTTGCAATGAATAATTTTGTTCTCTCATAATCCTAAGAAAGTCTTTCAATGATACCAACGACAAAGTCTCTGTAATTTTTTTTTTTTTTTTAAAAATGCAACTCAATAGACCCCATTTAAATATGCGTAAAATCCCCCTTACAACTCTGGGTGAGAATCAAACCTGGTCTATTATCATGAAAGACAACAACCTAACTACTAGGCTGTCATTCAATTCCCGATAAAGTCTCTGTATAATCGATACCGAGACATCTAAAAGTGAATACGGAATTTTTTATTTTTTTTGGGTAAAATAGCAACTTCTATTATAACCAAAACAGAGGACCAAGTTTTTACACATCTCATTTACTATTTACACAGCTTTGCTAATTTACAAAAATGCCCAAATGGACCAAAAAATTCTGCTCTATTGGTCTAAACGATTTACACATGACTTGCGTTCTCCAAGTAACCTCCTGCTTGATCATTCGGACTCTAGTTTCCACCTCCAATCTCTTCTGTAGGGACTTCCTACTATTGCGTTCAGCCTATATATGGTAGATACAGGCAACAACAACAGCAAAAAACACCCTCTTCTTTATACTCTGATGCCTCTAAATTTTCTTAAGCCTGTTGACAAATGAGTGTAACTCATTTAAGCACAGCTTGAGACCTAACCAATTAGAAACAGAAACTAAGAGTTCCTGTGAGAAAGGGCATCTGAAAAACAGATGACCACAGGATTCTTCCTGCTGATCACAAAGCTCACACTTCACAGCTCCATGGAAGAAGTTAAGCTGCTTAAGCCTTTCCTATTTTATTTATATTATTTTTAATTTTTTATAGGAAGGGAAGCTGTAGGGACTAATACTAGGCATATAACTCAGCTAAACTTGCTTCTTGAATGAATAAGACGAAGGTGAAGATCCACCGTTTCCTAGATTGCCAAAAATGAAGCATTGCATGGCCTTGAAAATACAACCTACAAACAAAACGCGACATTTGGAACTGTCACAATTTATGTATTTCAATCGCCAATTAACTTGTAATTGATTGAACAATTACTAATAATTCAGAAAAACGAAAGGTACATATCAGCTAATGCATGTTATGTGCGTAAAATCCTCCAAGGAAAAAAAAAAAGGAGAAGAAAGAAAAACCAATAATTGTGTATACCTGATAATTCCCAATTATACCAGTTTTGAATCCAGCAGCAGTATAGTCAAAGTAGTACTCAAATGTCCGAATAAACTTCTCATCGAACCCCAAATCAAGTATTTCCCTAAAGACACGGATAGCAACAATTTAATCAGACAAAATTTTTAATTTAATTAGCTATTGAAATTCAAGTACAATTCCAATCAATTAAATTATTCTGGATGTCACGACATATTACAACTTGCATAGCTCAACATTGGGGGACCTGATCTTGACATTGTTTGACCTGGTCAGCCTTATTTAGAATGATAAATAGAACTTTGAGGGAAAGTTTCTTCTTCAGACAAAAAGTTCATTTAATTAAAAAAAAAAAACGCGGATAGGAATTCGAAAATTTAAGGTCAATGTGGTTCACCCTAACTCCTACCTTTTGCTTTCGACGAAGTTTTTCCTCCAATTCTTCAGGGTAGGGTAGTAATGAAACCCTATGTTTTCCACATGTTCGACACTACAATTGGAGGCAGGTAAAGAGGAATGAGTTTTCCAATTGGAGACATATTTATTGTTTTATATGCATCTTCTTACAAAATTATTGACAAACTAAATATTGTCAACTTCAATTATTACCAGAGCTTGGATGCAGAAGTCATGGCTGTCACGACTCGGTTTAGTGACAACATGATACCACCTGGAAACATGTATTCTCTTATGAAACTTGGGCATTTTCTGAAATCTTCATACCTCTGATCTGGTACTGATGAGAACTAATTAAGGAAAAAAAAAGAAAAGAAAAGAGCATCATTAATGTCGCTAACTTTGTATAAATGTTGTCAAATATTCCACACGTCCTATTTCAATAGTTTATTTTATTGAATTTTATTTTTACCTGTAAGACAAGGATCCCATTTTCTGCCAACGCAGAATCGCAGCAACTGAAAAATTTCTCAAGGAATACATCACCAACATGTTCGACCATCTCACTGCAAAGGATAATTGTTTTATGTCTTTTACATTTGTACAAAAATATGATTAGTGAAAAAAAAATGTTGCGTGTACACTAGGATATTATTCATACCATGCTATTATTCTGTCATATTTAATGGTTTCTGGCAGATGACGGTAATCACAAAGCATAAGTTTTACGCGATCCTGGATATAAAAAAAGAAAAAAGATTTTGAGAATATACAAAAAAATATATATATATTTTACGTTCCAAAATCAGTTAATACAAAGCATTAAATAAGTTACTTGGAGCCCGGCTTCCTTCACTTTTTGTTCTGCATAAGCAAGTTGCTCCGTAGACAGGGTGATTCCGGTGTATTGACACCCGGTTCTTTTCACTGCTTCAATAGCTAATGTTCCCCAACCACAACCAATTTCAAGTACATGGTGCTCCTTACTGATTTTGGCCTAAATGTTTGACAAGAAAATTTCATGATTTCAGGATAAAACCAATTTGATTTTCATTTTTTAGGGTTTGGGGGGAGAGGGAAAATTTAGAGAAAAAGAATTCAAATCACCTTTTCAATGAATGACGAAATCTTCCTTAACTGAGCAGTTTTCAAATCTTCGTCCACAGACTTTAGTTTAACAGGGCCAAAGAACAAACCAAAAAAAAAAAAGAAAAGAAAAAAAAAAAACCTGTTACAACGAAAATGAATGGAATGCTCAAGAAAGACCGAGGAACCCTAATTTACCTTAAATATCGCACAAGAGTATGCCACTGTTTCATCCATGAACTGGGTAAATAAGTCGTTACTCTTCAAAAAAGGGGAAAAAAAAAACAAGTAATTCAGATGACGCGACAAAATTAATATAATTTACTTTGTTGAACTAAAAATTATGAATTACTTTGTAAAAGAAAATTATGAATGACTAATTAGTTATAAATCGAGTAGAACTTTGAATGATATAGATTCATTACCAGGTCATAATGGTGAGATACATTTCGATGAGCTTCTGTAAGGGTATTTTTATTGAAAACATACTTAAAGAAGGATTTTGCATAAGTTAATCCGGCTGACAGAAACAATGGTGTACAGTGCCAGTTTCTGCATTAAAAGGTAAATCAACATGTAATATTACTGTGGAGATTACATATTGCGGAGGAAAAGTTAAGCCTTTTTTTTTTTTTTTGTTCCAACCTTAGGGAGAATGAAGAATTTGGCAAAGAAGCTTTTCGTTTTTCCTCGCTGGAAATATAAATCTGAAAATGGAAGATATGATTAGAAAGACAATTAATCTCCAAAGAAGATAATAAAAACAAAATTTATTTTATTAAAAAAAATAAACTAGTCTCCATGAATCCTTAATTACCACGAAAAAGTTGAGCAAGCCTTCATTTGGGTCAAGAAAAGAAATGTCTCCATTGATGTAAGCATCTGCGAAGCCTAAATCCGCTTCTGTTGCGACCTGGAAAGTGTGGTTAAGGTGACATGGAAGACCATTCATCATCATATAAACATCCTAAATTATTTACTTCTGTTCAATAAAATTAGTGCCGTGATAAAGCGGGGTTGAAAATGAAGCAGAAATATTAACTTTAGTTACCTTCCAATAAAATTGAGGATTGTGAATTTTCAGTGAAACTTTCAGGGAGCTTTCCTGTGGGGTGTCTCCAAAGGTGAGAACTGTACCATCCTTTTCCAAGAAACTGGCATTTTTTTTTTTCAATGGGACAAATTAGATTAATCCTTAGAAGCTTGAAAACGTAAGAAAAAAGAACCATGCCATCCTTCTATCCCACAAAATTTACTAATCTGAGTTTTCACTTTTAGTTTAATTTGTACTAAAAATGAAAATCCAAATTAGATAATAATTTCGGGACGTGGAGAGAGTAATAAATGTCTTATAAATAAGAACGGAATGTGTTGGTGACGTTTCTAATTATACTCACATTAAGCAGCCCGAGGTGATAAAGTCATTCAGAAATCGAATAACGAGATTTCGAGCCCATCTATCCCTCCAGGAAAGCATCATTTTTCTGAGCAAGGCAAAAATAAAAAATAAAAAATAAATAAAATTAGCCCGATAAACATTCATGTTCAACATTCTTAGATTGCAACTCCATAAGAAAAAATGAGATTGTTTTAGTTCATTCTAGTTAAAACTCATACCTTATTGACCCAATTGTAGGCACAATCACTTGCTTTTCTTGCTTTTCGGTTATTATGTTGTTGTGTGAATGGTTAAATACAAAGCCCAGAAGGGACTTCTATTTATAGGCAACAAAGTACAAACAGATTCATACATTGAATGCTATATTCAGTGAACTACATTTGTAAAAAAAAAAAAAAGTATAGAACAAACAATGACAATTTCATACTAGGTTGACCAAATTAATTATGAGCAACTTGTCATAACCTTAAAATGTTTATTTAATTGTTCGAATGGCGGGCGATAATTGAGAAGGGCAACTAATTAAGTTGACCAAATTAATTATGAACAACTTGTTATCATAACCTTAAAATGTGTATTTAACTACTACTATACATTTTCTTAAGAAGGGCAAGTAATTAAGAATGGCGGGCGATGATTAATTGAGACAGGCTCTTATTCTTAATAGTATTGACTGATGCATTTGTTTATTCAATGGTTTTATGACAATGTTTTGCTAATGCCGCCGGAAAGGCCTTTTAACAATTTGGCGGCCTTCTTCTTTCACCATTTTAAAAAAATAGAATTTGTTTATGAATATGAATAGATTTTGGAAATGTTAGCAAAAGTTGTCAAAGTATATAAGTACTTTGGACTCTCATCTCAAAAGCAATTGGTAATGAGTGAGTTAACCTTTGATACTTATATACAGAGTCACTTCTCTTCACGGTGAAGATGTGGGACAAGATTATATACCTTAACACCCTTCCTCAAGTAGAATGGGACATGTGACAAGATTATACACCTTAACACTCCCTTCAAGTCCAATGGGTCTTTTAAACTTTTTGCTCAATGGACTTGGATCAGGATAAGAACAGAATGACCCACGAGTCAACGCTCAAGTGGGAGAAACCTAGTTATACCACTGAATCGGTCAACAATGAGCCCACGAGTCTACACTCAAGTGGGAGAAAAACCAATTCTATCGCTGGATTAGTCCACAACAAGCCCACGAGTCAACGCTCAAGTGGGTTAATATAAAATCACCACAAGTCACCTCCGGCCAGATCACCACCACAGGCATAGACCGCTCTGATACCATATCAAAGTATATAAGTATTTTCGGCTCCCATCTCAAAACCAATTAACAATGAATGGGTTGACCTTTGACACTTATATACAGAGTCACATTTCTTTATAGTCCAATGTTGGACAAAATTATACACCTTAACAAAAGTAAATGAGCTTTCATGCAATTAAATGAAACTAGAGTTCGTTCTTCTTTTATTTTTGGAGAGGCTACTCCACATGATTTGCAGGCGAGAATCAAACTTGAGAACTACATGCGTGAAAATTCCTTTCAATAATTGGTCAGTGATTGTAAAAAAATAATAATGCATAAATGGAAAAAATACAAGTAAAAATCTATATTATCCTCTTAAAATTTATTTAAATACATAAACTCTAATTAAAAGTATAAAAATATATAGATGTAATTTTGATCCACATCATTGTCATTTCGAATAGTTTTCAATCACCAGGCGGCTTCAGATGCTTTTAATCGGCATCCTTTGTTGACGAGAATATATAGCTAAGTCAATTTTAGGCGTTTGTTTTGAACGTCTACTTCTTTCATCTCATTTAACACCCTTTGGTATTTAGAAGACCGATGAATATAATATTGTGTTAAAAATCAAAATTTAAAATAATACAATCATCATGAGATTGAAAAAAAGGAAAAAGAAAAGTCGGAGAAAATAATTCATGATTCTATGACTATAATATGTGTCGGCCAACTCGTGATAATCACACACAGAGAATACTTGTTTTGTGATCTTTGATGAAAAATTGCGCAAGAATATGCGGTCAGTAAATTTGATGACGATGAATGTTACTTTTACGGTTGTGAAATAGTTGTTCGGTTTGAAAATTTTGTTTATATAGTATATTATATTTCACTGTCCAAAAAAAATCCAAGTTTCAAATGTACAACTTTTTTAATTAATTAGTTAACCCTACCAATGTACAACTCGTTTTATCCTTTGAACTACCAATAATGTCTCTGCTTATTCTAATCCCCATCTTACATCCAATAATCCAAAAGATAAGAACCAGGAGCTACGGAATTTTTTTTCCTCTCTCCCTTTTTTTAGCAGGAAAAATACAAACGTAGTCTACCAAGAATGTGACAAACAGTCGAGATACAGTTTTTCTCTTCCGATCTTATTCCTCGCCCGGTTCTTCTCGCCGTTCGGCATCTCCCATAAGCAAAAAAACTCATTAAATTTTCAGCTAGAATTAATATCAAACAGTTAATAGTCTTTTCAAAACCTCGATCAGAAACTCGTGTGTGAAGAATTTTCACCATTTGATCGATCGCTATAACATTCTTAGCACTTTCAAGGAGCTTCATAGTCAAATTTCTGGTGCCGGAAAAAGTCGTCGGCGCCGGAGAAGTCGAAGGGGTAAATTGATCGGCGGCTATTTGACAATGGAGATTGGGGAGTTGTTTCTATGACGGTGAGCAAGCCTAAATTATACTACCTCGTCCTAAAGAAAACAGTCCACATTGAGTTTTTAAATTTGTACTAAAAATGTACAAGACTTAAAATTCAATGTATACTATTTTTGTGGGAGGGAGGGAATAAATTTTAACAACAGGTCTCAAAACCTACCAAATCACTTTTACATACAAAAGAAGTGAATAAGTTTCTTCATTCACAATTAGTCAGTGTTGTCATGCTCGGCTCGGACCGGTCAATCGACCCGGTTAAACCGAGAACCGGCTCCTAAACTGAGCCGAGCAAGGTTTAAAATAGCCGAAAAGAAGATCGGTCAAACTCGGTCAAAACTCCGGTCGAACTGCGAATCGGTTAAAACCGAGTCAAACCGGGGTTTTAGTTTTTGGACCTTTTGACCCAAAAATTGCACATTTTTCTTTGGATTTCAACTTCCAACGTTTTCCAGGCCAACTTTTTCTCTTTTGTTCAAAATTGCCCTACAACTTTCAATTTTTTGTACTTTTTAAAGTTTTAATTTAATATTTAGTCCCCATATTCAATGGAAGGCCAGTCTTCCATTGAATATGGTTGTACAATATGAATTAACTTCAATTTTTTGTACTTTTACCCATATTGCGATGGCGCAAGTTAATTCCCATGGTAGGTCTTCTCACATGGTTGTACAATGGAGAAACCTTTCTTGGGCTTATAAACTAGACATTCACTAACATCATTCTTTCTTTTACCCATATAAGTATTTTGTTTGGGTTGGTCCATTTTGTTCATTGATGGATCCATTTCAAAGCTCTTTAGCCCATTTGATGTGGCGTTGAAAGCTGATTCTTCTATTGTTGCAGTTGTTTCAGTAGCCATTGAAGCCCTATTTTGAACTGTTGGAAGTGTTTACCTAGGTAGGTGACGGGTGTCGAGTCCACCAAAATAAAACCAACTTAAAACTGCAGATAGTAGTAAGCTGGGTCAACCTTACAGGGACGGGTGAAACTTAAATAATTCCAAATGATTCGAGTAAAATAACAAGATAACAAAGAAAAAGACGACTTGCAAAAGTGAGAAATTGACTTATCTAAATATCTTGGGGTTCCTACTCCACTATCCTCTCTCTAGCTTCTTATTCTAGTTGCTACTTTTGTGACATGAAATTGTGTTTAATCAGACACAATTACACTGTAAAGTCATTTTCGATTGTTACAGACAGAGTCCTAGTAGTAACAAGCCCACTAACTCTCGTTGTTGACTCCGAATACTAATAAGCCATTAAGTTTTTAAGCTTTTTTGATTGTCTCTTGCCAAACAACTAACTCTCGTTGTTGTTTGAAATCTTGAATTGGTACCTTCTCGTCACCAACTAATACTAGAAATTCTAAGTTAACTTTATCCTTTCAGGATTCCCCTAACATGCATGCACAATCTACTAATTAATCATTCTAATCAAAAGGTTAATTCAAGCTCTAGTATTAGGCACAAAAATATCATCCAAGTACAACAATGTATAATAACTAGAGAGATTCAAAGGATTAAAACCACATAAATAGTTTAGTTGTACATATTCTTAAATACAATGGATATAACAATGATTCACATAGCCAAAGACATGATTACAACAAGAAAAAGACACAAAAGAAAGAAAACAGGGGAAGGAAACAAATCTGCTACTGCTGCTAGAGGCTGGCTACTTAGGCAAGTGACTCCGTCACTTCTCCGAGTAGCCACCCGTAGCTGCTGCTTACTACTTCTCTTCTTCTCTCTCTATTGTGAACCTATCTATGAGTCTCTCTCACTCTCATTCTAATCTCCTCTGCTTGCTGCTGATCTTCTTCCTTTTATAGAGAAGTATGGCCTCTTTCTCCTTACTTTTTGTTTAGTTGAGAAGGAAAGACTTGCCATTTGATTAGGGATGGGTGCCCATACCTTCCTTGTCTTGCTTTGCTTAAGTCTCTTTCATTCCCATGCCTTTGACTCTGATTTTTGCAGCCATCTCCTTCACTTTTGCAGTGACAAATCAACAACATCACTTCATTCATGCCTTCTTCTACCTTAACCATGAAGTTTAGATTTAATTCTTCTTTCTTCCATTTCCTTAGCTTCAAAACTTCCAAGATTGTTCACTTTTACATGGGTAAAAGCTGCTCCCGCTTACTACAACAATCATGCTAGGATTTCTAAGTAAAGTAGGTTGTGCTGAAAGCTGACTAGAAGGTGGCGGAACTCTTTGGTTTGATTTGCAATGCTCTTTGGTTTACTAGGAATGGATGCCTTTTTGATGATGCTCAGATTTCGCCCTATCTTCTGGCAACTACTACAACTAATTAGCTGCGCGTTTATCAAATTGCCAATCACAAGGCCTTGTCATCATCCTCTGCCCTTCGTTCCTGTCATCGACTATCTCCAAATAATCTGAAGACTTGTGTCTTCTTTGATAATAGAGTATCGAAGATACAAGATTGTGTTGGGATTGGTGTTTATGTCCAAAATGAGGATGGTGGCTTCCAATTAGCAAAATGGCGTTGTTTTAAAGAGCTCTAATCTCTAGAATTGGCTTAATTCTTAGCTTTAAAGGAAGCTTTGCTAGTATTAAAAGATCTTAATGTCCGGAATGCAACTATTTTAGGTGACTCCTTGGTAGCTATTCTAGCAGCAATGGGGGGAAGCCGATTGTTCAATAATTTGTGTTCCAACGCTTTTGGAAATTGGAGGTTTGCTAGCGGAGTTAAAATTTTCAGTTTTATATTGGATTCCCCGTTTGGAAAATAGCATAGCTCATGTTATAGCTAGTCATTCGAAATCTCAATTGTGGGATGCCAAAACTTGGAATTCGATTCTAAGTTTTATATATCAATCAGAGTTGACTGAGTTCTAAAAAGTCTAATGAAAGTTTGTTCTTAAAAAAAAAAAAAAAAAAAAAAAACCTCACATTTTCTTGCGCATGTTTCCCTTGTCAACACACTAGGGGGTACAAGGAACAGTTTTGAAGTTCCGATTGAATATCGAAACAATTTAATCTTAAAAGAAAGAAGAAACTAAAGTGATATTACAAATACACAAAATGATTATAGAAAGTAAAGAAAAGGTAAAATGGATGTTTTCATTAATTTTCGGTTCTTCTTGCGTCTAGCTAGAGAGATTCAGATGCTGAAAGATATTTTTCTTGGCCAATCAGTCAATGAGAATTAATTAAGGAGAGGGTTGACCATCAATTTTCCACATTGCCAAAGGATGAAACATTGCCTGGCCTTGAAAATACAACCTACCAAAAGAAAAACACGCCATATCATTTGTAAAAACTCGCTCAATCACAGTGGGTTAAGGCAAAAACTACTATTTCCGAGTAATAAAACAAAATCTACTACTACTAGCAAAAACACCTTCAAGATTTAATTCATAATCTGAAATACCCAAAATTATTTAACAAAATATAGAAAATATCCTGTCATCGATACGAAGAGGTCTTCCAACCATTGAAAATTGATGCATGCCCATGAACTAAGTAAAAAAAGAAGTGCTAAAAAAACGTTTGTACCCCAAGGAAATCCTCCTTGATTTTTTTTCAAACTCTAATAAAATCAAAAATCCAAAATTCAACTATCAGGGGCTCACAATAAGTGAATAATAGATTTAGAAGTGGATATTTAATTTTATTAGAGTTTGGAAAAAAATCTTGGAGGTTTCTTTGGGAACTTTTTTTTACTTTTTTTGCCAATTCATATGAATATATCAATTTTTTGTATTCGGAGGACCCTTTTAACATTTGTCATGCCAGTTAAAGAATGTTTTTTATTTTTATTTTTTTTAACAGTGAGGTATTTTAGATAATGAGCTAAATGTTGAGATCGTTTTATATATTAACTCAACAAAATAATACAACAAATTGAATTCTTATTTTGAGATGGAAGGATATAAATATGCAATGCATTCTGGATCTAACGTACCTGATAATTCCCAATTATGCCAGTTTTAAATCCACCAGCAGTATAGTCAAAGTAGTATTCCCATGCCCGAATGAACTTCTCGTCAAATCCCAATGCCAGGATTTCACTGACAGACACACATCGAAATTGGATATTCTCAAACTATAAATCCAATTTTGACTTTTTGAATCGATTGTTATTACTCCTTCCATTCCAAAATAAGTGTCATCTTACAATTTGCACATAGTTTAAGAAACTCTTAAATGAGGTAATAAAATTATTTGAATATTCTCAACCAACCCCACTAAAAAAATGTCCACCAATAGTAGTAATTCTTTTGAGGATAATTTTGGAAATTTTGGACAAAAAGTGCATTGAAATATGAGAACGACACTTATTTTGAAATTTCTCCATTTTGCTAAAACGACACTTATTTTAGAACGGAGAGAGTACCGACTAACTTGAATGTTTTTATTTTTATTTTTTTTAGAAATCAATACCAAAAAATCCACTAAAGCCCAAAAATAAAGGTAATTCACCTTAAACCTAATTATATATACCTTTTATTTTTGGCAAAATTTTTCCTCCAATATCTCAGGGTAGGATAGTAATGAAATCCTATGTTTTCCACGTGTTCAACGCTGCAATTCGTAGCATTTAATCGTGAGTTTTGCCATTCGAGGACATCGTTTTAGGGAACATGACAATTATTTAAGGGCAATTCAAATGTAACAAACTATACCATAGCTTGGATGCAGTAGTCATGGCTGTCATGAGTCTGGTTAGTGATGGCAGGCAACCACCGGGAAATATGTATTCCCTTATGAAACTCCGGCATCTTCTGTACTCTTCATACCTTTGATCCGGCACCGATGTGAACTAAGAAAATAAGGGCACTCTCAATTTCTCTTGTCAAAAACAAGTAGTCATTTTATTAATAGTAGTATTAAATAGGTGCTTCCATTTTTTTTATTTTTTATTTTTTAGTTCTCGCCGCATGTATCATTACTCTTTTTTCTTTTCAAATTCAAAGCTTATATTACCTATTAACATGAGATTTTGAGACCGCTTGATTTTTTTTTTTCCTTTTGTTTTTAGCTCAACTCAAACATGAGTTATTTATTAGTTTAATTATGACCTTCATTTCTTGCTAATTGATTAAAGTTAGTATAAATGAGATCCACGAATAACATAATTAAATTATTATAAAATGTGGTGTAATAGGGTAAGTATTTTTCATTAATAAAATAGGTATCCTTTAAAAAAAAAAAAAAAAAAGGAATACACGTGCCGACATTGGTATATATTTACCTGTAGAAGAAGGAGCCCATTTTCTGCCAATGCAGAGTCGCAGCACTTGAAAAACTTCTCAAAGAATCCATGACCGACATGTTCCACCATCTCGCTGCAATTTATGGAATTGACGAACGGATTCAAATTGTAAATTCCGACAGAAAATTCACCACGAAATGATATATTATCCGATTTGAATTTTTTTTAGTTCAAATTATATTAAAGATACAAAACAAAAATATAAATTAGAAGATCATTTCGAAGAAATATTAAAAAAGAAATAATGTATACCAAGATATGATTATGTCATATTTAAAGTTATTTGGCAGTTGACGATAATCACATAGCACGAGATTTATACGATCCTGCATATATAAAATAAAGTTGAGTTGAGCATTAATGACATGGGATCCATATGTTGAAACTAGATACTCCCTCTATTTTCTATATATGTCTTTCTAGAAAATTCATCAAAACCAAGAAAATATTAAATAATATAATTAAAATATAAAAATGCCGTTATTTATTTTCTATACAATTCATCACAAAGCAATAAAAATTCATTATAAATATTGTTTCATTCCCAATACAGGGCAACATTGGTAAAAAGTGATCAAATGTGTCTCGATTTGTGAAAGTGACATATATTTAAAAAATTTCACTAACTTGTAAAACGACATATATTTCAAAATAGAAGGAGTATCTTTCCACATGGCTTTGTATAGGTATGATAGGACAATGGACAACTTGTTGAAGGAAAGCAATTAACTAAAATCGCTTAAAGATGCCATTTATGATTGACTATTCTAAACCAATGATCACAGTTTTAAAATGGTGTCTTATAAAATTGGTTCAACAGAAAACCACACCTGGAACCCGACGTCCTTTACTTTCTGTTGAGCGTAGACCAGTTGCTCTTCAGATAGGGTGATTCCCGTATACTGACACCCGGTTCTTTTCACTGCTTCAATACCTAAAGTTCCCCAACCGCATCCAATATCAAGTACATGGTGCTCCTTTCTTATTTTGGCCTGAAATGTTTAGAAGGAAAAGTACCAAGTAACGTGACGATTAAATGATAAATAAATCGACTTGGTGATCTAACAAAACTGTATTTTGGAAGAGCTTGTCATACTGTTTCTAGCCAACTCTCGACATATATATATATATATATATATATATACACGAAAAATTAGGGTTTGTGTAATTAGAAAAATTGAGTTACGTAAAATAAATAATACATATTAAAGAAATAATTAACTACTTATACACACACACATATATATATATATATGTATACTCTAATTATCTACATGAACACGATGAGCAGTTACATCATAGATATGAGCAATTCAAAAGAGAGTGGTCTCACCTTTTCAATGAGTGAAGAAATCTTTCTTAATTGAGCAGTTTTCAAATCGTCATCCTGTGACTATACCCCCAATCAGGACCGACAAGAAATCGAAACATTAATTAATGATGTGTAGTTGGCTGAATTAGACAGAAATGACTAAAAATCATTTTAAAAAAAAAAACAACTAGAACTGCTGTATTACCTTAAATATTCCACATGAGTATGACATTGTTTCGTCCAGAAACCGGGAAAATAATTCGTTACTCTAAAAAAAAAAATAAAAAAAAAAGAAAAACCACATTACGAATTAATTCAACTGAATGCCACAACAAGGTTAAAAGTTTCTCCTCGATTTGTTAGGTTATAACTGCACCCCGTCTAAGAACAACAAAGAACGGTTACCAAAGTATCTCATCATGATCCAAAGATTCAGAACTTAGAAAGAGATATGAAGCTTGATATGTACTCTCAAGTACCAGGTCGTAATGGAGAGATACATTTCGACGAGCCTGTGTGAGATTATTTGGTCTCAAGACATACTTAAACAAGTACTTTGCAGATGCTAATCCGGCTGATAGAAGCAAAGGTGCCGAACCACTTGACAAAGAAGCTTTTAGTTCTTTGTTGGTAATAAAAATCTGAAATGAATTATATCAGAGAGGCAATTAATCTTCAGGAAATATTATATATATAGAAGATAACTATTTTATGTTTTCTTTTTATTTTTGCTTTTTTAATGATAACTAATTAGGCTCCATCAAACTTACCAAGAAAAGATTAAGCAAACCTTGGTTCTGGTCAACAAAAGAAATGTCTCCATTGATGTAGGCATCTGCAAACCCCAAATCAGCTTCCGTTGCGACCTGCAGGGAATTCACCACTATAAACCCGGATCGAAAAGAAGAAAAAACAACTATTCGTTCCGTCTTAAAATTAGATTCTTGTTTGTCGAACCTATTTGAGTACAACAAACAAGATTAAGTGTCTATTATTTTGTGACGGAAATGAGTAAAATTTTTAATTTCTAACCTTCCAATAAAACTGAGGATTGTGAACTTTCACTGAAACTTTCAAGGCAGTTCTTTTCTGTGAAGCATCTCCAAAGGTGAGAATCGTACCATCTTCTTCGGAAAAACTGGTGCATAAACGAATACACTACATTGGACATCTTATAAGAACCATCCACGACATATATATATCCAACACAAACCCAGAAATAATAAAGAACCAAACACACACACACACACACTCATAGAGGGTAGGAATTTATAGAAACAAAAAGGTGTACAGCGTGTTTGAATATTATTACTACGCACATTAAGCAACCAGAGACAATAAATTCACCAAGAAACCGAATGATGAGATTTCGAGCCCATTTATCCTTCCACGAACCCGGCAACATTTTCTTCTGAGCATGAACAAACTATTGCAACAGACAAAGAAAAAATTTAAATACTCCCTCTGTCCTAAAATTATTATCCAATTTGAGATTTCACTTTTAGTACAATTTGAACTAAAAATGAAAATTTAAACTGGATAATAATTATGGGACGGAGTGAGTATATCATATCAACAAATAAAAAGCACTTACAATTTTATGTACAAGAATTTAATGTTGTCTTTCTTCAGAAATATAATTAACATACTAAAAGTAAAAAATAAAAAATAAAAAAACAAAAATAGGTAATCATCTACTCATATACCTCGTTGAGCTCCTAAGTGATCCCTTCCTTCTGTTTTTGCTAGGACGAAGTTAGATTTTATTCCCAAAGTTTGAGAAATTAAAATAATCTCATATCGAACTTTGAAAATTTGACAATTCATCACAAGGTGTGAACTTATTCATTAATTTATTTCCATCCATCGGAATCCACCTACAAATTCCGGCCACATTTTGATTTTTTATTTAATGAAATAGGTGGATCCCACACTTTATTAATTAATAATTTTTTTTCCTCCTCTTCTTTTGTCCCATTTCTCTTTATTCAGCAACCACCACCACCAACATACAATATCCCTCTGCCACCTCCTCCCATGTCCCTACATATACCGAATGAGACAAAAAAAAAAAAATCCAATTTAGACAAAAAAAAAAAAATTCACTCATCAAGACATCAATTGAATGCTATATACAAAGTGCAGTTGAAGATTTTAATGATCATTTATCATCTCAACAGCATTCAATCCAATCAAATGCCACCTTTATCCCCGAAAAATCTATAAGCCAAACTTAATCTTGCTATCATCAAATCATATCCTCTCCGCTATATTTGTCTATAATTATTTGAGTATCTTCAATTTAGGAATTAGAACCAATTGACTCTAATAAAACTAACATCACCGGTTGAAGAAGTCGAAGCAAAAAGGGTGCTCAAGCTTTATGATTTTGGTGGTGGTTGATGAAGAAAGAGAAACCTAGGGAGAGAGGGAAAGAAAAGAAGAAGAAAAATTTGGCTAAAGGGCAATTTAACAGCTCAAATTAATAAAATGTGTATGACCTAAAAATATTTTTAATGAAGGACGATAAATTATTTATCAAAAATCACAAAATCAATATAATTTTATAATGACATAATTATACTTATTTTATAACTTTTTAAAATTAGAAAATACATGAAATAAAAATCATCTCGTGGCATATATTGTTGTTACTATGCTTGATGAAGTCCGAGCTTTCCCTATATTCTTTGTACCTTTCATCCGGTATCGATATAAACTAAAATAGCAAAATTTAGTGTGGAAAGAAACTGTCATTAAATACGGTCATTCAGTTCCCGAATGGACCTTGATTAGTTCAGTTGTATATTTAGCCATCTAGTTTACTTGCAAGACCATTAATTATCACATTTTCTGCCAATACAGAGTTGCAACTTCTGGAAAACTTTTCAGTAATTTGATGGCCGTCACTGCAACTTGCGTCGGATGATGTTATAACGCTTATGGGCTTGAATTGCAAAATACAGGACCGGTAGTCACAAAGAATAATATTCTCTGTCCCAAAAGAAATAGTTTATGTTGAAGTTTGTTCTTTGTCATAAAAAGAGCATGAATCACAAATTAGTTATTTCTCCATATCCTAGAAATGAAATTCAATTCAAGGCACTGGGTTTAATGTCCAAAAGGGATCAAATGCAAGAACAATCAATCTGTCTCGACATAAAATAGATACAAACATCTCTTCTAGAATGGGCTTAACAATTTCGACATGAAATCATATTATTGAATGATACGTTCTATATTCAGCTTCCTACCTTTTCTATTTTGCATACATTGGTTGTTTTCTTTAGAAAGGGGGATTCCAGTATATTGGCAACCTGTTCTTCTAACAACTTCAGTTTCTCTTGTTCCGCAACCGAATCTGATTTCTAGAAAATGGCATTCTTTCCTAAATCCGACCATAGATGGTTAGCAGGTACTGCCTCCATTTTTTAGTATATGTAAACAAGAATTTTTAAAATATATGTCGTTTTACAAAATCGATGCAATTTTTATCTTATTTTTTTAATATTACCTTTACATTGGAAATGAAAATGGTATTTAAAAGAGATTGTATTGGTTAGCAATGAGTTGTATGGATAATAAATATGGATAATTTTGTATTTCAAACACATTGATTTAACATTCTATTGGTATTGATGAAATTGCTAGAAAAACATACTTTAAAGTCGAGTAATTTACAAAATGAACATGACTTCAGAGTCAAAACAACTTTAGGATTTAAGGGCAATTTCTATAAGAACAAACCTCATCTCTTCAATCAGTAAATGAACCTGTCTTAACTCGGCAACTTTCAAAATATCATCTTCTGAGCTCTGACTAAAATGAGTACACAAGGAAAGCAAGTTCAGAAGTTGTGAAGTAAAGAAAGTGAAGTAAAATAAAAAAGAACAATGGCACACGAGTATATAATTGTCAATTTAGGAACGGAGAAAAAAAAAGGTCACTCTATTCTGGCTAGCAACAGATGAGATAAGCATTCCTTTAATCTTTCATCATCTATAAGAAAATTGGTAGTTACTTTGTCAACGCGGAAAGGAAATTGAAAGACCAACATTTCGGTATTTATATGGTTAACTATATCAATCTGAAAACTACTGATTTCTTGCGGAATAACACAGGTAAGTATCAGAATAAAATGATTTGTCATCTGAGAAATAGGTTTACATCGTCTCACGAGCTTACCTTTAATCATTGTCCATGAAAGAAATGTCTCCATTATATTCATCTACAAGGACTACATCGCCTTGAGTCGCGACTCTGGAAAAATCATGACAAGGCACACTGATTAAAGCTTATGAATAATAAGTTTTTCCGCTTTGTTCAAAGTTATGCAATGGCAATAAGTTCAAATCTGAGAAAAGTCTACATTTAGTCCTCCATCCATCTCATAAATAATCATCAATGATTGGAATTAATGGTTGGAAAAAAGAACGTCAATGAAGCTGCCACGCGCAAGAAACTACCAATTACTTGTTCAAAAGGCTTTGTCCATACAATAGCATACAATAGCAGATGGTATCGGAATCCCAATTTCAGAAGGCTTTGTCCGAAACCGCCAGAGGAGCCTCTGTTCCTTCAGTTACCTCTGTTTGGATGAGGGAACTTCTGACGGCCAGACACCCTCCAAAAATAACATGCGTCCACCACCAATAGAATGACAACTCATTCATTGATAATGAAATCGATTTCGATCCCATCACCAAGAACATATTGAGTAATGAGCTGGTTCGGAAAACCTTTTTCTTCGGCCCGGCCGAGATCTCTGCTTTACGCAACTCCCTCCCGCCTCACCTCCGCCTCAAGTCTTCCAGCTTCGATGTCATTGCCGCCTGTCTCTGGCGCTGTCGCACCGCCGCCCTCCAATTCAACGCCGATGAGGAAGTAAGATTCGCCCCGGCTGTGAATGCCCATTCCCGGTTTAATCCACCATTGCCTGAAGGGTATTATGGAAATGCAGTCGCCAATCCATCAGCGGTTACAACTGCAGGGAGACTAATCGAAAACCCGATCGGCTACGGCGTGGAGCACGTAATCAAGGCTTAGTCGGAGGTGACAGAGGAGTACATGAAGTGCTTTGTTGACCTGACTGTTTTAAGAGGAAGGTTAAAAGGCGAGCTGAGATTCCCGAAAGCGTCCACATTTATTCTTTCTGATGCAAGAAAGCTTGGATTAAATGAGGTCGATTTTGGTTGGGGAAATCCGGTTTACGCTGGGCCGGCAATAGCTGATAAGCAGCCTTTACACGGAATTGTTAGCTTTGTATTGCCAAAGTCGAATAAACAAGGGGTGAAAGGGATGGTTGTCCCGGTTTGCTTACCAGAAGCTCCCATGGAAAGGTTTAGTGAAGAGATCAACATGACGGTGAAAGGCCCTGTGTTGGGGGAACTATGAAATATGAATGGTTTCTTCATAAATCTAAGAGTTTACTTGCTTAAGGGCATGTTTGATAAATGCACTTAATGATTCAACTTATTAGATTAAATATTTTTTATTTCTGCATGTTCGATAACCAAAAATAAATCCCATAATTGATTAAATAGTGGTGAAACTGCAGTATAAAATATAAGTAATAAAAGTTAGTTTATTACTTATTTCATAAGTGCTTAATGAATTCAGTATATTTAATTCAACATTAGGCATTTAAAATTAAACAATAGTTTTTATCAAACAGACCCTAAGACTAGTAGGTACTAATGGACAGAATGTTAATTAACTAGCTCACAAAGTCATTTCTTACAACTTCGCTTGTCCTTTAGATTAGATTGTGACTGCAATCCTCGAGGTCGAGGGATTAGAATGGGAGGATGGTTATAACCAAGAGGTCAAGAGTTCGATTTTTGCTGGAGTTTTTTATTTTTTTTTCTTTTTTTTTTCTTAAAATAGTGATTGCGATCCATTTGAAAATAAGTGCGCTATAGTACAATTTTCATGCAATTTGAGGAACACTTAATTACGGTATAAAAATGAGTATTCCTCCTATTCCAAAATTATTGCTCCGTGTATATTTTCACTTTTAATACTCTCTCTGTCCCAAAAAAGAATATTCACATTAAGTTTTGGAATTTTTATGATTTTTAGTACAAATATCAAAACTCAATGTGAACTATTTTTCTGAAACGGAGTATGTACAATTTATGCTAAGATTATAAATTAAAATTTAATAATCATTTTAGGGCGGCAGAAGTGCTTATTCGTTTTTAACCTTTTTAATAAAATGATCGAGGTGCTATGTAATGCTACTTTTCTTTTGAAGGAAAATTTGATTTTTTTTAAAATAATTGTATTGGTAAATTAATGGAATAATATTCTGATTTTGAAAAGGTTTCCAAAAAATTTCCACGACACATTACAAAAAGAAGTGAATGTATAAGATATGTTCTAACGTTTTGATTCGATTTTTTTTTTCTGATGGCCTTTGAAGATACCTGTTCATAAAATCCCTACCCTCCAAAGTAAAGTTATTTAGTTTAAATCAAAGTAGTCATTTCTAAATTTTAGATTTTTATCTTTTTCATCCTTTAGGTAGTAGTATATATTTTTGCCCGGATGAAGATCTCCGCAGTTATAATTTTTGTTATTTTAGGATCAGAACGCTGACTCCACTATTCGTAAATTAATTATGATTATATAGTTCTACATTGAAATACTAGACTAAGATTACGTATATCTTGGCCCCCCAAATCCCAATCGAATTGGAAATATATTGAGTATGCTGTTGTTGTAACCTTCATGTTCTCCCTAAATGCTCTGTACTACGAAATTTTAAACTAACTGGTTGAATTTATTGCGGGGTAAAAAAAAAAAAACAACTTGACCATCCAACAAATGTTGAACCCGGTCGACCTAGCTAGTAACGTTGATAGTTCCCGATCTTTACTACCCCAGTTGAATCACCGTAACTGGCGCTCTCATTTCAACTAACAATAATACAGTGTATTCCGACTGAATGATTGAGCCAACAACGTAAGGCATTGACCGAAATAAATTAGGAAAGCTTATGGGATGCCAAATTCTTTTTGTAGTTAATGTTAGCATTCCCAATAATAAATTTGTTAATGCACGCCATTTCTTGGTCCTTTCGTACGTATTTCCAACTAATCCATGCATTCACACCTGTTTATAACGCACGCCATTTCTTGGTACGTATTTCCCCATTTTGATTTGTACTAAATTTTATTCATTATATTTTTTTAATTGACCTTAAAATTGTATTTTTTTTATTTATTGTATCCTCTTAATTATTTTAAAATATTTTTAAGATTTCATTTTCAATTGGAAAAACACAGTATATTAAACCTAAGACAAATTAATAATATAAATAATCATTGTTCATCCAATAATTGGACAGTTGTTCATCAAGAATTATATCGCTAATCATTTGATGTGAAAGTGGATATTCTTATTCATTTGAAAACTTAAATTCTCACATACATAGTTATTCATCCATAACTTTATCATTATTTATCTAGAAAAACACTATTATTTATTTATAACATTCATCAAGAAGTAGAGCACTATTCGTCCAAATAGACATCATAATTAATCGAATGAGTATCACTATGCCTCAAGAACGGGGAAAAAAAAATACTAATAGCATTATTGTTCCGCTAACACTTGTATCATTCATAAGTCTCAAGGATAAACCAGATTCAATTTCAATAATATTACCATTATTCATCAAGATGTATTATTTTTTATTTTTATTTTTTCGCAATCGTCATGTTAGGGTATACTGCATTGTCCCTGGACTTTTATTTTGGAAGGGATGTACTCCCTCCGTCCCATAATTATTGTCCACTTTGCCAAAAAAATTTTGTCCCAAAATTATTGTCCAATTTGACTTTTTATGGATCAAGTTACACATTCGTCCTTAGTAAAAAACATTATCCATAAAATCTTAGTGATTAAACAATTACTTATGCAGGGGTATATCCGGTTGTTTAAGGTAAAATATAGTTAAGTTTGACCAAAAATAAAATCTTTCATTTTAGTAAAACTGGACAATAATTATGAGACGGAGGGAGTATTATTTTCAATCCCTAATGAATATTAGGGGGGAAAAAAAGAATGTGTCGCAAAGTTCAATAACTTTATTGCAAATTTATTAAGTTCTACAAAATCGACCCTAAATAACTAAATAACTAGTTGAAGGATCTCGTTTCGACAATGATAATATCCGATAGAAAGATTGAGCCAACAACATAAGGCACCGACCAGAGTATAATTATAATTTAGGAATGCTCATGGGGTGTCAAATCTTTTATAATTATTAATGTTGCTATAGCAAGCATTTCCAATTGTTTTATGATACTAACCATTTCTCCCCGGCTTTTCTTCACGTACAAATACAAGCATTTGTTCCAGCTTCAAATTGCATTAATAAGGATAATTACATTTCTTATTTCTTCATTCCTTCCCCCGAAGTTGTTTTGTTTGTCCTTTCTGATTTATATTAGGGTAACATCAGGCGGTTTTTTGACGATGTCGAAGACCTTCACGGTCAATAAGCAGATGCCGGAGCTGATTTCTCCGGCGAGGCTAACACCTCGAGAAGTTAAACCCCTGTCAGATATCGACGACCAAGATCTGCTACGTCACCCTTTTCCTTTCATAAACTTTTACAGAAATAGAGCTGATATTATTAGGACAGAGGATCCTGTTAAGGTGATCAGGGTAGCTCTGGCAGAGATTTTGGTGTATTACTACCCTTTTGCTGGACGAATGAAAGAATTGCCTGGGGGGAAGTTAGCGGAGGATTGCACCGGAGAGGGTGTGGCGTTTGTCGAGGCAGACGCCAACACGACGCTGGAAGAGTTCCAGGAGGAGGAGATTCAGCCGCCATTTCCATGCTTGGACAAGCTATTGTTCAGTTTTTCGTCCGGAATTATGGATTCCCCTTTGCTTCAAATCCAGGTATTCTTCCTTATATGTGTGTGTATACCAAATAATGTACTCCTTCTGTCCCAAAATTATCCAATTTAAGATTTTACTTTTAGTGTAACTCAAACTGGACAATGATTTTGGGACGGAAGGAGTAATAATCATTATTCCACATCTGTAGTGCTTGAATAGTGTTATTTTGTTATTCATCTTATTTCAGTTCGATAAAGTGGACTGTTTTTCTGGATCGGAGAATCATTTCTGAGGCGGTATTGAACATATTGCATAATGCGTGCATCACAAGTGACTCGATTTCGATGTGGTGGTTTTAGCTTTGGCCTCAGTTTTAACCAAACAATAGCAGATGGTTTTGGAATTGGCCAATTTCAAAAGGATGGACCAGAGGGAAGTTGGCGGTGAGTTACACCGGAGAAGGTGTGGAGTTTGTTGAGGCCGACGCCGACGTGACACTGGAGGAATTCAAGCAGGAGATTCAGCCGCCGTTTCCAAGCTTGGACAAGCTATTGTGCAGTTTTTCGTCCGGAATTATAGATTCCCCTTTGCTTCAAATCCAGGTATTCTTTTTAAATTGTACTCCCTTTGTCCCAGGAAAAATTAGTCCACGCAGATTTATGGGATTGCTTGATTTTGAACTATTTTTTAGTAATAATAATAATAATCCCTCCGTCTCACTAGTGTTAATTTGTGGTATGGTTTTAGCTCAACAAAGCGACATAATTTATTTATTTATTTATTTGTTTTTTTGGGTTGGAGAATCAATCATTTCTGACACGATGTACAATGTCAGGCTATGTTACCCGGACTCGTCTGTTTGGGGCATAATACCCGTGTCGACACGAGTCGACGCGAGTGCGGGTACGAAATACGGACGGGATACGGCAAATTGATTTTGGATCCGTTGACTTGGAGTTGACTGCGAATGAAGAAGAGGCGGGAAGGGAAGAAGAAATTGTGAGGTGACAAAGGACGAGAAATTTAATTCAGATTAGAGAGAGGAGAAGAAAGAAACAGAGGTGGTTGCCGGCGGTGGCGGCTGGCTAAAAAGAAGAAAGGAAGACGATGAAATAGATGACGGGCCTGGGCCTAGCAAAGGATTTTTTTATTCGGCTTGAAGTATTAAAATGGCCCAACCAGATTCAAACTTATTCAGTGCAGAAAGAGAAGGAAAACTACAAAAGTGTGATGGTATAAACACCCTTATAACCCGAAAACAGAAAGAGGATTAAGATTTCAGATTGGAAGAGATGAGTTAAGCATAGAGGGAGATGAGAAAAGAAAGAATTTTGGGGAAGAAAATGAAGTAGAAAGAAAGCTGAAATAAGGAGAAATTCATTTCATAATAATGCCCTCATCGGATTCTCGGTACATATATAAACAGAGGAGATTCCTGCTAATCCTTTAATTTAGCTAACAGCTCAGCAATTGTAAGGTAAAGAAAAAGACAAAGCAACGGTATTGGACAGCTGCTACTTAGTAAGTTTTGGACGTTT